GATGCTCGCGAACGTCTTCAGACCCGCTCAGCTATCATTCCATACGAGGGTAACAGCCATCAACGCTCTCCGAATTCCCCCGTAGTCTGCAATGGAGCAGGACTTGAGCACGGGTGAACACGATGGCGCTCAATCCGCTCACCTCCTTTGTAAGGGTGAGGAACACTCGCGTTGGTTTCGGGAGCGTCAGTCTCGCAACGACACTTCACTCTCGACGAACTGGGATTTAGAAACCCAGTGCGGTCCTTGGATCGATCCCGACGGTATTGGTGTCTGGTCCCATCGGTGACTACTTTAGACATGAACTTCATCGACTCCGGTTTCCGGTTGCTCGCCCCAAACAGATACACCGACCCTTTTTCGACGGAACGATCGATGAATGCTCCGCATGTACGAATTCCCTAATCTCGAACACGATACGATAGATCTAGATTGAACGAAAGCGGAGCCGTTCGGTATTCATTCGATTCTGATTACTCTTAATCGCGAATTGATAATCTGATATCAGAAGCGTAGGCCCGAATGGTCAGCAAGTTCGGGACATGACTGGTTGTTGGAGTCGAAAATACAAGGCCGTAAGAATCGGCCGCTTTCCGTATAGGTGTACTGAACAAGCTCACCGTATGATCTAAATATTTTCTCGATCCGAATGCGAACGCGGTCTTCGTCTTTCAATTAGACGGTTAATCACGTGGCGTGGATCTCTGTGACGAAAACAAAAACGATTGGAGCTCCCCGAATTAGGTACTCACGGATCTCGCGATTCATCGAAGCTAATTCCAGTGCTTTCGCTCAGAAAACGCATCGTAAGCGAGCCGTGCATCCAGCTGTTTTTTGCGGAAAGTGATTGTCATCGCTGGTTGCGCGAATTGCATAAGTGCGCACGGTAACGGCGTTCGCTCTGATGATGCGCTCACTTGCGCTTGGTTCGACTGAGTATTTTGTGATTGTTTCTCAAAGAATAGCTTGGGAAATCATATATCGTCAAGGTTCGCCTTCTGCTCGGCGCATTCGGCAAAGCTTCAGGGAAGCAAAACGGTGTTACGGTCCGAGACGGGTCCGATCAATCGTTCCAAGAGTCTTTGCGAGCCGGTTCGCCGGGCTTAGAGTTCGACAAGGCGGTGTTTACCCTCTAGACTCGGCCATGAGGAGCAATCGCACGCGAGAAATCCGCGGGAAGACTTTCTCATCATGCTCTCTGGAGAGTTTCCGCATCCGATCAGAGGCTCCTCGATTTCGGCATTTCCCAGTGGAGGCGAAGCGAAGGCGCTCCCGCGAAAATTCTCCTCCTCGCCGCTCGAGTATTCCATCGAGCTCCCGAATGAGATCGCTTCGACGTTCGAATAGACTTTGTGTGTGGACAGAGATCACGGCAGAATGTCAAACAAGCGAGCCAAGTGTCTCGTACGGAATGTACTCCGACCATGCGTGGGGTGTTTGTCCACTCCCTTCGAAGGTTTCTGACGGATATTCCGAGCAGATGTAAAACACTCGGGAGCAATGAGAGAGACTCCCTCGGTATTTCGACTGGTCTCCGCTGGTCGCAGCCCTTCATGCGCGAAGAGAGATTCCCGTCCGAATCTGAGGGAAACATCCGTTACCCTCATATTGCCTGATTCTCCAAGTGATGAAGTGTATCGGGACTCATTCCGCGTAATCCTTCGGATTAGGCAGCAGCGACCGTATCCGACAGAGGGTCCACGCAACACGTATCTATCCAGAGGAAGAATTTGTGGGATCCTTCCCGGGGCGCAGCGCTGTTATCAACGATTTCACGACCCTTTCGTGTCAAATGGAATCTATAGCTCCACTTGAGTCTTACATGTTCGTGTAGACCGACCATGTATCGATCGGGAACGATCCGATGCTCCAAGCCGACTCCTCAGGCTCCCCACCAGGTCTTCGCGCTGGCCACCATTAGTTGCCCTCATTTTTGGATTATTATCTGTATCGATCATCAAGGTTCCCAGTTTCCTGTGTGACGCCGGAGCATTCGAAAGTCATCTTCCGAAGTTGTGATCTTCCCATCGACGAGCTGTCATATAAACATATTTTTCTTTTGTGCGCGAAACGTTCATTCGGATCCATCGAAAACGCGTTTCGGTTTCAGACGAGCTCAAGCGCATTGCCCTCAGCGTTCTCGAGTGGAGAGGCTCGCTGGCGAGGGCAATGGACTCTTATAGATCGATTGAAAATTCGTCTCGGAAAAGCGATGTTTGCGGGCTCGAAAAAAAATGCCGGACGCGGTGGAACTTGAAAGAAGCAAATAACTACAACTTGACAACGAATCCTCTGCAAGCGTGGATCGAATCCTCTGATGGTTCGGCGCGGAATGACTTTTGATTCAAGCGATAGATTTTTCCGGGTGCATGGGCGACCTTGAGACGATCACCGCGATGAAGACTGGCTGCGATCCAGTCGGAGTAATCGGTGAATGAATGAGCGGACGCGGCGATCAGAGCCCGCCTACTGAGAAATTCCTCAGATATGCATTCCCGTTAACTATAAATTGGTTTCACATCACATAATGGGCGTTGTTTTGTATGACGACCTCGATGTTATGATCTCTCCCGTCGGGGATTGGAGTCCGGAAGACTTCTGGCCTATTCGGAGACTTTGAGCGACCGTCTCACGATGAGAAACGGCGAGATCTCAAATTAACCAGGATTCCCATTGCAGGCGAAATCTTCTCACCAGTCCGCGCGCACGATGTCGAGCTGTAAGTATGATAGCACTAAGTATGCCCCCCCGTCGATTCACCACGCATCTTTCCCTATGGCCCCAGGCAAACAAACTCAAGTTGTGCTCTCCTGTGGCTTCTGTTTGCCGGCATTCGATTCGGCTCACACATACGTTGCGAATCAGAGACGACCAGTATTCAGCAGAAGCATCTGGATACACCCGACGATCTCAGCAGCGCAGAAAATTTCCAACGTGGAAGAAATTTCGATGACGGAGGCGAGCTTCGAATGAGCGGGAAACGTACGCGACGGGCCGGAAGGTGTGCTTGGGATGATCATTCCACAGAACACCGAATCTGACTCGGCGATGACTCGTCGAGAATCCATCCTAATGGAAAGTCCTGGATGCGCGGTTTCAGAAGTCAAGCCTCCACCATTTTGTTTCTGCGACTTAGGGAACTAACGGGCTCCAGCCGTACCCTCACGAACCCTCTTCTCAATGCTCCGCCGATAGATACGGCTTTTGCAGTTGCAGTGAATGATTTCACCTATTTCAGCAACAACCGTCGCGCGTCATCGGCTATTTCGATAATCGATGCCGACTTCTGCCCGCACTGAATGTTACGTGATTCTCCGGAGCAGGCTGATAGACCAGTGGAAACCTAGTGAATTTTGTTTAGCCGGCATTAAACTCTGGGAATGCTTCTTGTGAGATTGCTCGCCTCGGAAAACTCTCTGCTAGACAGTGATAAGATTAAGATTCGAGAATTCTCACCGGGATGTGTCCTGAATTTTGTGGCTCTTTTTTCGGAAAGGATTCCATCCGACAAGTCCTCGGATTGAATCGTGGTTTGTGAGGCATGATCTTTGTTGGCGTTGATAGCTACGCCATAAGAGTCGTTCTTCGGTAATGCGTACGGACATCCCCTCGCATCCACAGACTTCGGCTCCCAGATATACATCCGATATGAATACAGTCCTCAGTTCCGTACTAAGCCCTTCTTGATCGTCCATCGGCTTCACCGTGATGATGACCTATTGATATGGTGATGAATGAAGTCCTAATTCAGCGGGAAGCATGGCAAATTTCTGGTGCTGAAAGAGTTCTAGCGAACTAGCATCATTTGGTTCGGCGGCGTGAAGGCCGGAGACGTTCTGTTCAGACGGCGTCTAAACAGCCATTGCTCCGAGGGCCGTTCGGGAACTGCTAGCACAATTTAATTACCTACGTCATTGAAGGCCGACCGACGTCGGCTAGTGTTTGTCCCACCCGCGTCATCTCATGGAGACCGTTCGTCGAGTAGGCGTGGACGTGTTTCTCTCAGCTCTAGGCTCCTTCCCTCATCGGGGCGAACGCTTCACTTTCAGGAGCGTAATCAAAGAGAAGAAGATATCTTCTCATGTTGAGCATCCGACCACGGACGTATTCGATTTAAGGGTTCGTTGTGCTCGTCGCTTCCGCTCCTGGAGCTTCTGTTTGGCTGCCTGGAGCGGATTTTCGTTCGCGGACAAAAGAGAAAGTACAGAAGGGGGACAAGCTGTTGCGCGACAGCCGTGAGAATACTTCTGTCTGCCGCCCAACCTTTGTTCTACGTGGACTAAATGAACGAAGTGGATTAAATGAGAGGATTTGAATTTCGCTCTCATCTGCAAAGACTCCTCCACAATCCCTGTCCTGGATCGCAAGCGTTTTTCATTATATTCCCCGGGTAGGGAAAGTCGTTCAATCGATTCCGAAACCCTTGCATCCTTATCCGCAGTGTATTCAAACGATCCGTAGAGTCCTTCCGTTTCCTCCGACGACGCGGATTAATTTTTGTCGCTTCCCGGCTTGGATTCAATGGAGAAAAAGATAAAGCGACCGGCAGGCAAAAGCAGTGCTGTCAGCCAACGTTGTTCCGATCGGGTGTCCCGAGCCTGCTTGGTTGTGGCTTCCGAGAGAATCAGAGTCGTCGGACGATTCAAGTGTGTTAAGGAAGCGGTCGAGACAGGCGGAGACGACCGTCCGTCGACCGATAGCTGGGAGCGAGTGTCTGTGCATCGAGTTTGTCAGGATCGGCAAGCTACCTAGGTAAGCGACGCGCCCTCTTGCGGCCTGAGAATGAACCTCCTTTCTCCTTGGAACCTAGCAGGCGCCTAGACACACACATCATGCAGTCGGCGCCTCCGTCTCACACGCGACTCTAGTAGATATGGAAGGCATACATTCGTTTCGTCAACGTCTTCTCAGTGTTTTCGGGCTTTGAAGTCAGTCGGACTTCAACGACCGTCTCCGCCGGTGATGTTGACGGAGCCGGGCCGGCGCCGCGAAGATAAACGATGCGTCTCACTTCTTGTTGTGTGTTCAGAAAGCGCGCAAAAAAGAAATCCAAATCATCTGATAAAGGAACTAAAGTGAAGAAGTTCGCTCCCGATCACAAGAAGCCGCTAATAGTCGCGGGCAAAGGTGAGCCGAAATATCTGTTTCGTTCCGTGTTCCGATGGAAGTCAACATCGAAGTCCCGCTACGGATTCCGGAGAATGGGTTCCTTATGGTTTTAACGAGCGTCGTACGTGACGAAGTTACGGTGCTTCGCATGCAGTTTCGACCGATTCGATGAGAGGGGTAGTTAGGGAAAGCTTCCTCGCGGAGTCGCTTGCGCGCCTCAGTCGTTCCGCCAGCTGATGAACTATCGGAATGAATCGGAACGCGAGCTGCACCACAATGTTTGCCCCGACCCAACTTTCTGTTTATTAGTTGCCGAGAAAAATGAAATAATGATAATGAAGACCGAATGCGCCTCACCTCAGGCTCGATTTTACCAGGAGGCCGTCAACCGCTCGATGGAGCTTCGGAACCCTTTGTCTACATCCCGGAGCTGGGGCGTATTGGATCTGGTTTTTCGCCGTGTGCGGATCCGACGCAAGCCTTCAGGGGTACATCGGCGCATCTTATCCCGGTGGAAAATGGGATTTCTGTCTCGGAGTAGGACAGTTTCTATTGTTTCGGAAGTTTCTGGCGCTCCACTTGCAACGAAGTAGTCGCTCGAACGCCGATTTCGGTCACGGTCGGCGTCTGAGACTCCGTGTTTCCACAGTTCCTAGGACGTTCTGATGATTGAACCAGGGTTTGAGTTGTCCGCGACGAATCGGCAGGCCTCCTTGGCCTGCGCTCAGCGATCACGGCGAAGCCATTGAGCGAAAAAAGAACAGAAAAAAAGGGGGAAAGGGTTCACGAAACAACTTCAGATGCATGAGTAGTTCGGCGGGGAAGAGACCCAACAAGAACGTCCTCGTTAGAAATAGGGGTATGGAACAATCGTAGCGTTTCCGCATAAAACTCTTTTCTCGGATCCGCTCACCAATAGACCGATTGTCGGAAGCTAATCGCGTTCAGGAGAGAAAAAAAGATATTAACGCGGAAAGTTAGTGTAATCAAGACTCCCCCTTTCATAAAATGGAAGATCCGGCCTGTCGGTATCATATTACGTAAATTGATTAGGTCCGATCCAGAGAAAAACTCGAAGCCCTTCAAGTTTTTAGTTTCTCCGTGATCCGCTCCCGTGATCTGAAACAATATAATAATCAGCTGACTATCGGATGGAGATTTGGAGCCAGTTGAAGTCCGCTGTTTTCTTATGCCACGATTCATCGTCATGTTCAGCAATCGAACTAAACACGCTCCTCCCGTGACTTTCGAATCGTCATGCAGCTCGGGGCTCAATCATCATCCAGATGGCATTGCAGTGCAGCTCCGATTCGAATCGAGCATGGAACGTCGGAAGGCGCAGCCGTCTTGCCTTGATGAAGTAGATGAGCTCCCGAATGAAACCAAGTCGAGAACTCATAGTGCAGTGCGGTGAGAATCGAAAGTGATTTGATCGAGAGTTTCGGGTCGAGTTTCTCGCCTGAACAATCCCGAAAGTCTATTGTTTTTGGCTTGACAGCCATTCTATTTTTCCTTATTCTCCCGTCTCTGCTAAGACGGTCGCGATGTTTTATGGCATGCCACGTATCGAGCGACACTCGAACTCCTCTCTTAGCGCCCAAAGTCGGGAGCAACTCGGGCTTACCATCGACGACAACTGCGAGATAGACCAACTCGTCGGTAGATCTGGATGCCGATCTCCCATTTCAACCTGGTCTTCGCTTCCTCGATCGGCTTCGTATTCTTGAAATTCGAAACCGGGGTGGAAATCCGGGTGGGCCTCTCCGCGAGCAGCGTCGAAGTAGATAAGCCCCGAAGCTGATCGTCAGGTCCTGAGTTTTCCGCACCTACGTGACAGACAAGTTCGGCGGGGTTCGGAAATCCAAGCAGTCGCTGCGGAAGCAGCGACGCACGCCAACGCGACCTGTGAAGGCTGCAGGCAGCCATGCGACTCGCGAAACCTTCTCCCGGTGGAGCTATTGTTGATTTACATGAAATCTCCACATCATCGTGTTGCGCGAGGCTCCGGGGTCGGCATGCGTGTCGTCATTCGGCTGCATCTAGTTATGCGTAACACTAAACTTGAAATCATTGTGAGCACTCACCGAGGCGATCCCCGCTGCTAATCGTTTTATTCAATCGACCGGCGGTTAGTGATCGTTTTCCTCGCGCGTAATCCTCGCGCTCTTAACGGGCAGCAGTTTTTCACGGAACCTCGTTGTCTCGATTACCTGCTTCGATTATTTCATGTTTTCCTGCATCTGTCGGACGGGATCCGTACCGAAGTGGCGTGAAGTCGCTCGATGAAGTAACCGAATTTCTGCGCGCTATCAGGAGCCATGTCGGCAGGATGCGCGTGTGAAGTTCATCAAAACAAACCATAAGTGATCCTATCGGAACATCGCGGTCTGACGTCGGCCGAAGTTTTACAATTTACGATGCATTGTTTGAGGTAACACCTTCGGGAAACCTCCGTAACGGATACGGAATAGCTGAGGTGTCGCTCCGAGCCAGCCAGCCTGCGCGCACAGCGTCCCGGTCTCGATGCTCGATCCGAGGCAACATGATTCCTCCGGAGAAGGCGGCAAGAATCATCAAGTTATCTAACATCGAAAAATATTTTCGAGCCGGGAGACGATCGACTGATCTGGTTGGTTCCGCTTACATGCGTGCTAGAGCGAGCCTCCGGAAATGCTCCTCCCGGAAATCCTCCCGAATGAGGGAGTCTTCTCCTGTTTTCGCTCGGCTTGCTGGGTCAATGAGAGGAAGGTACAAGCGAATCAGCTCCTCCCGACAGAATCTTTAGACGATGGCATTTAGTTGGGGGTGTGGTTCGCTTCAGGAGGTTCCCGAATTCAACTGTCCAATTGGGTTGTTCTCATCGTATTTGTCGACGAAACGCTCTGAAAAACGTTCACTGCCCGAGTCAGCGTACGTTTTCGGAAAAGAAAGCCGTGACTCAGCGAACTCTCTTTCGTTCGAAATGCTCCGAAATTCAACTACAAAAGATCGAAACCTTCTTCGTTGAGCCCGAACGGTCGCTACGAGTGCTGACGTCGATCCCGTTCGGAAAGTGGCGTATCACAAAGTCTGATCGGTGATGTTTTAAATTCGCCGAGAGTTCCAAACTCCTCGCGTTGATTCCATAAGCGATTCTGTCGACGCATTGTCGAACGCAGACCCACTATGAAAGACCTAGAATCAGCCGTGAAACAAATCGAGAACATTTCGGTGCCAAAGGAGATATCTCGAAGCAAAGTGCCGGAGACATCGTAGCATCACGTTCCCGTGGAACTTGTTTCGGAGTGGCCTTGATGCCTCGAGCACAGCATCATCGAGAAAAACCATGTGGAGCGTGGTCCCGCATAACTCTCCACGACCTACATTCCACCAAGTGCAACTATTCTCTCCTTCTCGTGGTCAGAGCGAGAGAATGCCGAGAACGTCAGACGGTCTCAGGACAGTGGACTGTTGCAGAGACAGGTAGCTCAGTCTCTCGGCATGCCGTGAATCGGTCTCGGGAGAGAGACTCCGTGCGTGATTTGGAGCGAGTGGGAAACCTGGCCCGTTCCGTAAAAAGTATCGTGAAGTTTCGTGAAGATGCCGAGTCATCCGATGGAGCGTGCTGCTGCGAGTTCTTGCGACCCTCTCTGAATACAATACTAGATGTGGGATGAAAAAACGGATCTGTCGGCACTGTCAAGAAATCTTTCTCATCAAGCCTGGCAACAAGCGCCGTCTGTGTTTCGAGTGCCTGAGTGAGCAGCGATTTCTCTCGATTTTCATAGGGACATCCACTTCAGCTATCATAGGAGAAGATGCTCCCAAGAGAAAAAGGGAACACGGTGGGCACCACGGAACTCTCTGCCGGAGAACCCCGAATGCTGGTCAGGTTCCTATGTCATAACAAAACCGTGTCCCGAAATTCCGTGATACATGCATTGGCACTCCTTTGTCTATGGCGTTGCAAGGGGCATTCCTTTCACAGAGACTCCCCGTTGGTAGGAGAGTCCCCGAGGAGCGGGGCAGCAGAGCTCGAATCCCCGTTCCTTCGGTGGTAGCCGGCCAGGATACAGCTAAAGAGCGAAATCAGTCTTTATTGTTCAATCGAAGAGGACGAGTTACTACTTTGTTTCCGCAACTTTCAGGCAGCGGCGGCGATGAGGCCGAGGGCGACAGCAGTCACTCATCATGCTCCTTCAATCCGGCAACGGTTTCACATCCGGTGCTCCAAGGCGGAGACTCTTGCTACTCCTCTTCGGCCGCTTCCTCCCCACTGCCACCCCGGTTAGCGGTTCTCAGTCCCGATGCCGGGTACTATTCGCCAGAAACGACGCTCAACCGCTCGGAAACGGGTTTCCAAGAAGGTGACTCGGTGGAATACGTGGAAGCTAAAAGCTACTTCGCACCGAGTTTCATCGCGAAGAGGAGACCGCTGAGTGGCTCGTTACTCTCCTTGACAAACTCTTCGGATCAAAGCGATACTGCCGACATAGATTGGGCTTCGCGACTGAACAACGGATGGCTACTCCCTTTCGATTTTGAAACGCTTCCGCAGAAAATCCCTTTCGGTGCTCAGAGAATTCCGAGTAGTGTTCCCTACAGAGATTTACCGATTGTCAAAGATGAGAAAGCAGTGCGGAGCAGCACCCCCGCAAGCATGGGTCCGTCGATGGTCTACCAGCGTCGGAGGGTAAGTACCGATTGAAACGATGATGAGGGGTGACCGAGTCCGTGGTCTTCTATGCTTGAGTATTCGAGAGTTGGTGATCCCAGACTCGATCTTCCGATGGGAGTGCCGATTTATCCTCATTTTTCGTGACAAGTTGCAGAGATCCCCCTCGATCGATGCGCTGACGAAGTCGAAGGGCTGTCGGCATCGCGACGCTCTCAGTGAATTTCTTGATCTCTACTCGAGTCTCGCTTTGGACGAAGATGAAGACCTTCTGGTGCGAGCGGAGCGGAGGGATCTGCCGGAGGAGTTCCAGAAGCGTTGGAGCTCCAGGTGAGCCTGAAGGGATTCAGATACCTCGAGTGGAGTCTTTTCGCGAAAGCAATGCTACACAGGAAACGTGGACCAACGATCCAACAAATCAATAGTGTTGTTGCTTCTGCCGCAGCTCGGTCGTAGTGCCGCCATTGTCAGCTACGCAGAAACGCCCCGGAAAGCCAGTATCATAAATTCTTTGTCGAAAAAAAACCGATTGCGGCTCGTTCCTCGGGTTGTGCCAGCGATACGCCGGCCCGATTCCGTCAGAGCAGCTTTTTGGATAGCGCGCGGTCTCTCAAGGGATCGCCACGAATATCTGCAATTTCTAGTCCTCTCGAGCGGGATCTCATACGATCGGGAATTCCGAATTTCCTGAATCCCACGCTGGGCTTCTGCGATCGAGATTCCGGAATCCTCTCGGTGGGATCTCTGATAGACAATTCAGGAAAAGGGTCGGCGGAAACCGAAGCTAATGGTTCTTGATACGTTCTCAGGTCCAGCGAGCAGTCGATTTCGCCCTGTGAGTCTCCAAGTAGAAGACGGTCGAGAGCGCCACCAATGAGACGATCAGCCATTCCCGATCGAATCCTAGATGACTTGGCAGTGCGTCGGTTCTCGGCCCAAGAACGCCTTGTTCCGACCGACTACGAGCCGCGCACTCCCGACTCGATCCCCCTGCCGAAAGGCCATAACCTGCCGCAGCAAAGTTACCTCCAATTGAGCACGCTGTACACCCCACCCATGGTGTGTCCTTGCGTGGGGCTGATGAACATCTTCAACGAGCCCGACGTCGAAAAGGATGACGTGCATTATAGGCTCATGAAACAACAACAGTGGAAGCGCCCGGAAGAGCAGCCTCCTATGGGTATCCCGCTCCAGAGCCCGATATCTCAACTCACCAGGAGCCACTACCTGACGGCCAGCAAGAGCGAAATGCGGACAAAGTTCGTTGATGGAATTTTCCCTCGAAGACTATCCTCTTTTCTCTCCCACGGCATCCCCTCAGAGGGCATATGAGCCCCCTCGATATCTCGTCCTGACGCTGTTCTAAAGTATTTTTCATTGCAGGTACAATACTCGGCCGACTTCCACGGCCGATCCGGTTCAGGACGACATGGCTGTCCGCAAGCTTAGGAAAGACACTTTGGACGTTTCGAAGTTTACCCAAGTCACGCGAGTTTGAGCTCAACGTTCGCTTTGATGGTTTGAGAGTTCCTGCATGTGCGAGAATGGATTTGGGTGCATCTTGTGCCATGCTGTACTTTTTTGGTTCAGCAAGAATCATTTATACACATTGTTGAGCAAAGGAATTCGTATTCGGATTCGCCCGAGACGGGATACAAATATTCCCTGTTAAACGTGCCTTCTGTATATATTCACTGCTTCGGCAGGGGAGCGAGTGACTCTGAGTGTGGTGAGTCATTCGCGGCGAAGTCTTCGCCGTGGAAGATGTTGTATTATATGGAATTATGATTGAGGAGAATAATTAAAAGTCCTGGACTTCCACGAAAGCTTTGGTGCTCATTCTTCGTTGACTCACCCCCAAGAATTCATCGATTCAGAAGGAAAGGAGCGGTTGTCCGAGAGGAGAGCAGTTTTCCCGAACACAAGCTCGGAACCTGCTTGGGGGTCGAGTAAAAAGGCAGACTGGAATACGAATTATCGTACCGTCTGAGCTGTTCCTGGGTGCTCGATGGGTATCTCTCAGTCAATATCAATCGCCTCGTGGGATTGAAATTTCATGATCCACGGCCATTCCGGCAATCGTTTCTACAGTCTTGATAGCCGCTCTCTGGCGGTATCAGCGGAACAAATCATATCTAGCGGATCTCATCCCTCTCCAAGCCTGCAGAACGGTCTCTCTCGCTGGCATCTTTCTCCCGGGGCGATTTGAGAGGTGTGTGTTGACTGTGGCCGCGCGGGTAATCCAAGATGCTACGAGCAGTGGCCTCTTCGCGCATGCTCGCGTCTTCCAGCAACATAGTCGCACAGATCAGCCGTCGAGCCATGTCGAGCTTTCTGATTGAAGATCCGAAGTATTCCTTCCTCAAGGATCTAGGCTTGCAGAAGTCGAATCTTGGTGGTTTCAACGGAAAGTGGATCGGCACTGGAAAGGTACGCACTCGCGATTCTCGAAGCCTCAAAAGGACGAAGATAATGTATCGGCAGTCCAGCGTTCGACGATATCATGGAATGAGATCAGATTCGGAAAGTTTTACCGAAATCCACGCTGTCCTTATCTTCATCTGCGGAGACTTTCAGTGCCATCAGCATGATCTCTTATCTCGGTCTGTTCCTGCTCGGTATAAGTTCAAATTATTCCGAAACATCGACTGGCGACGCTCAGTGAAATGTTGTCATACTGGCGGCGCTCCAAAAGGTGTTCTCGGAATGGGTCTCTCGAACCTCAGACGCCAGGTTTACTAGTGAGGTCTGATGATCCATCTCGTTTCCACCATCGTACCTTACTCAGCTGAAACAAACTCACCTAGATTTCAAGCGAAGCCGAACAGAGCTAGGTGCATAAGATCATGGTGCATGTAATCGATGGTTTGAACTCTGAGGAATTCGAATTTCTTCACGTTCCGTTCAACAGTCACTGGTGTCTATCTGCCCCGCGAACAACAAAACGATCGCCGAGGTCTCGACCGTGACCCTCGACGAGTACAACTCGACGGTGCAGGCTAGTGTCGAAGCATGGAACGTGCTCGCAGATTTAACAGCTCCGCAGCGCGGGGAAATCGTTCGACAGATCGGCGAGGCTCTCCGGGAGAAGAAGACTGAGCTTGGCAAACTCATATCTCTGGAAATGGGGAAAATTGTCTCCGAAGGCGAAGGTATCACCTGCTGATTTGAAGATCATTCGATGATTGACGCATGATACCTTACGGGAATGAATTTGATCATAATTTCCAATTTAAATAGAATCAAGGCGGCGGGATGTTTACGATCAGCTAGTAATTTGGGATGATTCCGAAACCCTCAGGTGAAGTTCAGGAATACATCGACGTCTGTGATTACGCCGTGGGTTTGTCTCGGATGCTTGAGGGGAAAACTTTCCCATCTGAAAGACCCGGTCACGTCCTCCTCGAACAGTGGAATCCTCTCGGTGCGATCGGAGTGATATCGGCGTTCAACTTCCCGGTCGCCGTTTACGGCTGGAACAATGCGATCGCCATGGTTTGTGGTAACACGATGCTATGGAAAGGAGCTCCGTCGACTCCACTCTGCAGCGTGGCCGTCACGAAAATCGTTGAGAAAGTAAGTACCGTTAATCGGAGAAGCGTTAGGGAGAAACCCTTCTTCTCATCGGCCTCTTGAAAATCATTTTCTTCAAGGTTCTCGCGGCGAATAATCTTCCGGGTGCAATTTGTTCCCTGGTGACTGGAGCGACCGATATCGGAGAAGCAATGGCTAAAGACGAAAGATTGCCCCTGATTTCATTCACCGGGAGCTGCCAAGCGGGACAGAAGGTACATCGACCGAGCTCGGATGTGGAGATGTGGAGATGCAACAGCCTGGCGATGCATTCCGCTTCCCCCAGGAAGACTTAACAAGGATTCGTGTTCGCGCCTTCAAGGTGGGAACCGTTGTGCAGGAGCGCTTCGGCAAGACGATCCTCGAACTCGGTGGGAACAACGCCATCTTAGTCGACGATACGGCTGACTTGGACATGGTTGTTAGAGCAACCCTCTTCGCTTGCGTAGGAACCGCAGGACAGCGTTGCACAACGACCCGAAGATTGATCGTTCACGAGAAGGTCAGATGGACTCTGGATCCGATGGCTGATGTTAGCGTGGAGAATCGAATTTTTTTTCCTCTCAGAGAGGGAGCTCTGATTACCTGTGATCTTTCGTTCACCAGGTGTATGACCAGGTCGTGAACCGCCTGAACTCGGCCTACGGACTCGTCCGCATTGGGGATCCGATCGAATCCTCGACACTCTGTGGACCTCTACACACACCTCAGGCGGTTGAATCATTCCTCGAATCTGTGACAGAAGCTCAGCGGCAGGGGGGCAAGGTATCCATATAGCTTCCCTCATCTCAACATTCTGCAAGGTTTGGTGTTGGACGAGAATAGAGAATAGAGCCGGAGTCTTCGTTCAAGATTCTGCGAGGCGGGAAGCGGATCCAAGGACCAGGGAACTTCGTAGAACCTACGATCGTCACCGGCCTGAAGCATGATTCCCCGATAGTACACAAAGAGACCTTCGCTCCGATTCTCTACATTCTGAAGTGTTCATCTATCGACGAGGCGATTTCTTGGAATAATGAGGTCAAGCAAGGTCTGAGCAGCTCGCTCTTCACTCAGGATCTCGGGAAGGTTTTTAAGGTTCGCTTCGTGTTTTCCTTTCCTTCTTCTCTTTCTTCTCTATAGCGCGTCTGGGTCGCCACCCATGGGGCTGTAATCTTCGTGGCTCGCGCAAGAACCTGGGAGAGATTCCCGACACTCCGGGGAATTTCGTTTTGAAGTTCTCTTTACTTTTCGGTGAGCAGTGGATCGGACCCAAGGGCTCAGACTGCGGAATCGTGAACGTTAACATTCCGACGAATGGCGCTGAGATCGGCGGAGCATTCGGAGGAAACAAGGTGAAGCTCGAATTTGAGTTTGAAGAGCGCCATTTTCTCCGTGCGGGAGATGGTTGCTTCCCCAATCAGGTTTATGAGGTGTTACTTCCGGACTGAAAATTTTCCTCACGTACAGCACACCGGCTGGGGCCGAGAATCGGGCAGCGATTCGTGGAAACAGTATATGCGTCGTTCGACGTGCACAATCAACTATACCAAGGAACTACCTCTCGCTCAAGGAATCAAGTTTGAATAGATTCTTCCTTCAATAAAGACCGCTGCCATGACTCCGCAACGTCATTTATTCTCAGACCAGTTCATTCATCTTGTTTATGAAAAAAAATGCATTGTACCAATGGATTCCCTCTATTGGGGAGAAACTCTGAGTAGACCGTATTCGACGAACCGACGAGGGTATCGCTTGCGCTCGGGACGCCTCAATCAGAGTCCGAAAGGGAATTTCGTTCTATACAGTCATAATCCGATCAGCCGGGATCTAGAGTTGATAGTTGCGAATGCGAGGATGACACAAATCTCGAAAAAATCCAGAAGAGCTACGATCACTCTCGGCCAGGTATGTAAATGGGATGAGCATGGTGATAATTCGGCCGCGTCCACAGTCCTTGCAGCGCGAGAACTGGTAGTATCTGTGATCCGTAGCCGAGACCAACGACACCTAGGGAGGCAGCTCCCCTCAGAAGCTTTTTTTCGAAAACAGCCTCTGTGAGTCCGACGGCGACGCCAACAAGCACGAGTAGGCTCAGCGAAAACTACAATGAAAAAACGATTACAAATCTACACGGAGCCCCCTAGAGTTCGAGCTGGATTCGGTAAACTCCCGCTCACCTTCATATCTCCACGATCCACTGAGATGGGGGATTGTTGGAAATGTGCCGTTTCTGTGACCAGAAGCTGTTTTATATGGAAACGCAGCCGAGAAAAAGAAGAGAATGGGGAGCGTGACTGGGGCCGGTCACTGGGGCGCTCGCCCCGACCAAATGATATCTCATTGAGCAAGTCTCTTTTCCGCACGGCTTCAGACACCTCGTGTGCGATCGCGGGAACCTCGAGGAGCTTATTAAGAAACCCATGTCAATGTTCGCGGTCGAGACAGCCGTGTCAACAATGAAGAATTCTGATATTCTTTACAGATAAATCGGAAACCAGCGCTTTCCCAGCTTGAAAGGCATGTTAAGTTCCTAGACACCGTTTCAAACCGATGGTTCTAATCCGACACCCGATGCGGATCGATGTCTCAGATTTCAAGGCGAGTTCGGGGAGACGGTCGATGCGGAACACTGAGGTGGAACCTCTCAAGTTCAATCCGAGATGATGGTGGGGCGTGATGTTTGTCCCGGGGGTTGTCCCGATAATTTTCGAGGTCAAGATCATGGGGACAGTAGCGAATCCCCCCTCCCTCAGGACATTGTTTCGCTACGGTAAAGTATGGGAGCGCGTCGCCGATTCGGTTTCCTAGCCCCATACAGATCCGAATTCCCCGCTCCCGGAAAACTTCTGGGAACGCTCCCGTAAGGGGACGATTCTCCAATGCCTCTCGACGATGACGTCTTCGACTACTCAAGTTGCTGAGGCGGAAGCCGGTTGGGGCTCCCAGCATCGGTACCTCACAAGGAGTCCGTAGCGCTCAGATACTGTCCCACGCTAGAACAATTATTATATTATTATTCGATCTAGATCATTTTTTATGCCGCGCGGAGTTGAGGTTCCGAGTTGGGTCTTGGTCTTCCTGGGACAAGCAGTCGACATCCCATCGCGATAACTGAGTTGGTCAGTCGAACACGTTCGACGCCTCCTTTTCTGGACCAGCATTTGAGACTATCTGGTGTTTCCCCGCACAACGAATGCCTAATCATTCAGATGAAAATGCAGGGCGAGTTCGGGATGCTCCGCAGGAGGTAGTCGGATTCGATCACCATCGGTGACTGCGAGGGAGAATACAGAAAGGAGCAATGATTCCAAAGACGAAATATTAGAGGGGAGCCGGCGCCCGAGTTCTAGCCTGGCGAGGGAATTAAACGAAGTATTCTGGTTGACCGTCGGTCACGAACGCAGTAATTCGAGAAATGGCTGAGGAAGTAGTACTCCCTATGTCTCTGGAATGGCGGTCAGTTCCGACCACTCGCTTTTTCGGGCTTCGACTCGATTGGCTAACAATGAAATCGTGGACGTCCATTCGGGAGCGAGAAGTCTAATGGGCGTCGAAGCATTATTGTTCCTCATTGTACTGGTTAGGACGCGAGCGGAAAGTACGAGTGAGAATCATCGACCGTAAGGATCCACATCGAGGATCCGACCATGAGTTGCTCGAACGATATGAAATCCGTTTTGACGCTGTTCGCGAACCTTTATCGATCAATAAAGTCTGGACCTTCGTAGCGATGGTGATCGTACGATGAGCTGGGAAGATTCTCGAAGGTCGAGGAAATACTTTTCCCCGGTAGAGGCTCGATCCCAATATGCGCTACTCCCATATCGGGCACGTGAAGCATCAGTCACGAGAGGCGCTAACAAAAAGTTAAGCACACTCTCGAGTCAACAAAAAAGAATAGAGACAGGTAGAACGAATATTATTAACAAACATACGCACACATAAATACACACATTTCAAGAAAATGGCAATTTCTCGTGGGCGTTGAATCTGGGGAGCTTGTCTCACCCGAGCCAAAAGCATGCGACCTCAAAGCGAATCTCTACAATCAATCGAGTCATGCGTGCGGGCTACGAATCCGATCGCGAGCTCAGGCAGTTTCGTTCACCGGCCATAATGTCCTCGATAATGGCAAGACGTATGGCCGTGGTAGCCCCGGTAGCCTTTGTGGCTGTGGCCGTGACTGTGGCCTCCACCGTAGCCGCGACGGCCTCCGTGTTTGTGTCCTCCACGATAGCCTCCGTATCCTCGGCGGTGTCCATGTTTGTGACCTCCCCTGTAACCACCATAACCGCCGTATTCGCTGCCGTGACCGTGTTTATGGCCGCGCCTTCCGTAACCCCTGCCGTATCCGCCGTGACCATGGTGCTTGTGTCCTCCACCATATCCTTCGTAGTGTCCGTATCCTCCGTGGCCGTAGCCGTGACCCCCTCCACCACCGTATCCACGTGACCGTCTCCGGGAATGGAGTTTCCGCCACAGTTTCTTCAAGAGCAGACCCTCAACCGCGTTCGGAGAGTCTGAATCAAAGTCTACGATGAAAAACATCGTGCACAGTAGGAGCCACTTCGAACAGTTCATTGTATGGTCAACCCGAGCACACGAGATTCAAGACGGTGTCCAAGACCGACGCGACGCTTCAGAACATGTCGCTGATCGACTGACCGGCAGGAAGGAGTCACAAGTCTTTCTATATAGCCTAAGATATTGCTTCATTTGGAGTGGAGACAGAGCTCCGTTTCGTTCAACCACATTTAAAGTGTTTTTGCGCGGATTTTTGCGAGCCGGAGCTTGCACCGGATCGTATTCAATGCTCTGCTTCGATTCGTTAGTTTAGGTGCTTCGTCAGAAACAAATGTTCCGCTCTCTGGAGCTCAAAAGAAACTTCTGCCCGGCTGGTTCTTCAGCGCAAGTGTTTCAGTTCTGGCATAAGAAGCATGAGAATTTCGCGGGGCATAGACTAGCCGTAATGTTTTCTTCCCGTGTACAAGTAGTCGGGGGGTCCGAACCGCGAGGCAGAACCGACCTTGACATCGAATGCGACGAAGTTAGTCTATACCTCGATATTCGGACTCGGGAGTTCCGTTCAATGCACAAGGACGATAATGATCGTGAACTCGGAGCCGATTCATTAGCGAGCCGCGGTGCCTTGCCGACTCAGCGTGGATAAACAAAAATGATCGAAGATGGAGACTCCTATGATGCCCAAATACATCGAATGTTTACACAAATCATTTTCATGATAAACGATTCTGAGGAAGTCGTTGCACCATCAGAAGTAGGATTCGCGCAACGGGATACGCAGTCAGTGGGCAAACATCTCTGCTGTAATGATCCTTTAGCGGGAAGAGCTGTCTATCGAGACGAGTTCTGCTGCATTATATTTCGGATTCCTTGATCGGGCGACACTGACTGAGAGACAGCCGCCCGCCCGCCTGCTTTTTGCTCGCTTGTCAACTGAACGATACGATGAATGACAAGACCACTGGGACCGCTCCGACGCTGTTGACTAACTCGCTGCCAGGTGGGTGGCTGTTCTGAAGTTTGTTTCCCCGGTGACAATATTAGCGGTGCTTTATTCCGAACGCAAAACATCGATTTCAATACCTATGAAATTTTCTCTGTGCTTTCGCAGACGGAATTCCCATAGAGGACGAGCGAACTCGTGGCTTTCCGCTCTCATCAGCATCTGCACTCCCCCCTGATAATGCTCGCGATAATATATCGCGTGCATTCTCTCAGTAATGCTCATGCTCATATCTCCTGTGTTCCTGATGATAGCGTTTACCGGCTCCTGAACTTTCGAGGCTTGCTTTCCTCGTGCTCGATGAGAGTTCATCAATTTGTGAAGTTTGATCCTGATGAATTGGTGAGCTATTCTAACACGAGCATCCAATCAAACTGATTATTCGCTGCCCAATAGATCAATATCTTCGGTTTTGAACGATTTAGTCTCTTGCAGCCCGCACTGATGAGCAACGAAACTCACCCTTGTAATGGGACTATAATAGTCGGTGACCATGGAACAGAAGATGGTCAGCCGAGAAATTATTGCGAAACTTCTCGCTCTGACAGCAGAAGAAAATCAAAGGCGAAGCGCTAGAAGACTATTCGGAGGCTTTCCATATTTTTTTATATCATGCGTCAATGCCGTCGGTTTCCTTCTGAGAAAAATCAAACTACGGTGACAAGTACCACAGCGAGAAGACGGTGCGACGCTGGGAATTTCCAACCCGGGCAGGAACGGACAATGCCCCCCGGGACCAGATACAGCCGCAGAGCGCTCTGCGGGGGTGATCTCGGCTTGAGAACTCCGAGAGAAGGTCCCCCAGGGCCGTGGAAAAGCTTCGCGGCATCGCGTTGACGTGGTCGGAGCTCCATGAAGATCTCAAGGTTTTTCGCGAGCGATCGGGATCATCCAACGCTCAACATTGTCGCGGTGTAAACTGCCCCCTGCGAAATCAAATCGAACGAGACGTCTACCCGCGAGCTTTCTGAAGCTCGTTCGCGCTTTGTTGATTCCATAGCCGTCATAGAGGTGATTTTTGTGAGAAAGAAAATACAACATCACCATCAACTGGATAGAGTAAACAATTCCCATGGAAACGCTGAATGTTCATGGGATTCGGAAGACGACAGAAGATACAGAACAGCTGCCGAGGGAGCAGATCACAGCGACTTGAAGCGCGGCCACCCGAGCGGTAACGGCTGTGTAAGCTTAACAATGACAAGTTCGCAGAGCGAATGGGGTGACAAGCGCCAGCCTGTTGGTAAGCAAACGAACTGTCCGTCCATCCGACCATCCGAGCGGGCAGCAGCGGTAATCGTAGGAGTCAAGGAAAGCAGAACCAAGGCAGGACAGATTTTTTCCTCGAACATGGAATCTTAGGATCCCGATGGTTTCTCGATCCATTCCGCTGCCGAGAAGCTGGTACCTGCTTATCCAAGCAGCATCGCAAGCACCGAAGAGGAATGGATCCGAGAACGAAAAGCTCTAGCATGATGATGATGTGCGAAGATTAGAGCTGAGCAGAGAAAATTGAGCGGGAACAAAAATGAACTTGAACCTCATTCGCTGCCGAGCACAGAGGAACGTGAATCGCAGGGGCGAAGTTCCGACGAGCTCGTATCCCTTCCGGTTCTGAGCAATGCCATGGAGCACTTCCCGTCGCTCAGGGGAAGCGTACGATTGAGTTAACTGTGCGGAGGGTTTCCGTCTGGAAGAGTCCACCACGCAAGACACCAGTCTAGCTCGTTCCCTTCCTCAGGAGCGTTGGTAGATCCTTCGGAATCTCCGAACCAGGAATTCGATACTTTCACAGCTTCTCGTCTTCAAGGAGGAAGTGGAAAATCGGTGCTTCACGCGAATTTCTGTAGGTGACGCACGATTGATCACGTTTGAGCGGAAAAATCAATTTCCATATCTTGATTGCTTGATGTTTTGATTGAAACGCCAGTAGACGATCAGGTGAGCGTTTAGCGGCCGCTTCTGCCAGGCTTGGATTAAGTCGGATGAAACGAATTTCTGCCACTCCATGACCCAAAGTCAAGGTCAAGTCTTGGAGCGATTGAGAGAAAAAATAGAAGTGAAAGTTCAGCTATTCTCACTTAATATCGTTGTGATGGCGCGAACCGGCTTAGCATACATAGACATGTCGTAATTTGAGAAAGCCCACAGAGGAACACAGGAGTGGTCATCGGAATGCCTGCTCGAGCAGCTCAAACAAACGAGAAATCATCAAGGGAATGATGTCTGAGCTTTTCTTCTGCCGGCTCTTTGCGAGAAGAGCTTCTGAGTCCCCCAGTCATATTTCAAAGGATGATCTCGGTGATTCTGTGAGGCGAGTCTCAAAACGATAGAAGGGAGCTCCTGTTGTGGGTCTCGGATTCGCCGGCTATTCGCCGTGAAACATGTCGTCATTACGTCACACGAAGGGCGTTATTTAAAAAAAAGCCCGCTTCGATGTGCCCAGTTCACAAAGGCCGTACGATCACACGTTCGGTCGTCGTTGGAGATAGATCACCAGACAGAGAAGAATCAGACATTTTGTTCAAAGGGTGAATGAATCAACGGTGACTAGCGGCGATACGTTGTCTGCGTGGCGTGGTCCCGTTCGAGCGAGACAGCTGGCAAGACATACGTTCGAGCAGTCAACCGAGTTGAAGTTACGCAAAACGTTCGATTATGTGAGCCTGCGGAGGTGTTGTCGATGTCGACCTTTGGGGTCAAACCGCAAGAATCGCCGAACAGTGGCGTCGTCTATGATTTTTTTGGGACTTCGTGTGACTCCGCGCCATCTGTGACGCGATGTCGACGATGCCAGTCTTCAACCTGCATACCATGTATGTCCTGTCCGATTGACCACCAGCGCTCGCAGCCCACTGCCGGACGGCCCTTCTTGGATCTCTGAGTCGTCACCGTTTATTCTGCGAGGTATTATGAACGACTCTGAACGCTCCTGTAGATAGGATCCTTGTCGCTATTTTATCTCGGTCGGGAAGGCAGATGGGCAGATCCTACGACTCTTAATCCGTGAGGAAGTTTCACGAGGGGTGAGTCGGTCACTCGACCGTCCAAAGAGGCTCAGCAGGGTGGCGCCTCATCGAACCGCGGGCAGGATATCGCCACGTGATCGCTTCTGTGCAATTCTCTTCTCAGGTACCTAGATACCGTTGAAATCGATCGGCGGCGAAAGGGGTAGGTACCGTTGATAGATGAACTCTTTGATCGACGGGAGAATCCAGCGCAATAATTTCTTCGAAAACTTGCAAGAAGTGATGAGCGTTGCGAAGTTCGCTTTCCAAGATCGATTGGTCGCTTTCGTTTATTTGTTTCGGGTTCGCCGGTACGATACGGGGGGATCATTCTAATCTTGTGACTGACCACAGGGAGAGCGAGCGATTGTTCTCGCTGAAGGAATTGTGTGCAACATAAAATCGAGGCGGATATATTTTGTGGATGAGCTTTGTTTTGTCAATCTCGGCCCCTTCATCAGTACAGGACCAGTCAATCGTCGCCGCCGGTGCCACGATGGACGATAAGGTGATGACGCGGTCGTCGGGAAAAAGTCTGGGGAGAGAAAGACCGCCGAGAGATAGAAGTTACAGGAATAAGTATTCAAGCATTCGTCTAACTACGATGTGTGGAATGGTAATAAAACAACAATCAACAAGAACCTCACGATGATTCAAACTGGAAGCGGAATATTCATCGGGTATTCTGAATGCAATTACTAGCTTTTCATGTTCCGTCCATCGTACGCATGCCTGATCATCTGATGGATGCTCCGAACTAATATTTTATTGCTCACAGAACATGAGATATCTGTGTATTCCGACTTTGCCGGCTCCTCGTTTTACGGCTCCGACTTTATTCTTAGGGGGTCGACAGGTGCTGGGTGGCCCTGTCCGCCGCTTTTATGGAACAGCTCTCTCGGAAGTTAATCTCCGGTAGCCCGCCATCAATTTGCCCAAGACTTTGTTCCTGAGCTGCCATATTTCGAAATTATCTTGGAGCAATACCGAGGAATTTGAAGCTTTAGGGTTTGGAAAATTCGGCTCACGTCGCAAGAAGGGTTCTCGTGTCGCCCCGACTCCAAGGCGGAGCAGGTATCCTGCTGGACCGCCGAGAGATATGTGGAGTGAGCGATCTGCACTACTCGATCATGCAGTGCAGAACGAAAGTGATGAGGACGCGAGGTTCTCCGATACAGCGGAAGTCGATTCGCGTAAATATCTGACCGAGGTCTTTCTGTCTTCCGAGAAATTTCGCATGGGGGGCATCCTCCCCATTGAATGTTGGCAGGTCGGAGATAAATAAAGAGAGTCCAGAATCTTTTTGATACAATCGGACATCAAACGTCATACCGTAATGGCCGCTGATGACCGCGAATCACTTGGTTGGGTGTGCGATCTTCACCTCTCGTCAGACGGTCGAGAATCACGGACTACCAACGGAACAGTTCAAGAAAAGCCCAATGACGAGCCCTTCGGACAGCTGCCCACGCATCGTTTTTGCTCAAGTTTCCTTCTCGTCCGATCGGTCGTCCTGTTGACCGCCCATTAATTCCTCAGTCGTTTACATCTGATGCTTAATTTATTATAATTGATTCGCTGACTCTTTCGTTGGAAATTATGATTGATTATGATCTCTGGGCGATATTATACACCGACACTTCACCAGAAATAGAGCTTCGAAAATACACACACCCAGCCTGCAGAGTTCCTCAGCTTCGGAGCAGCATCGCGACGAATAATTGTTTATCTTCGTTCCGTTACTCCGGCGGCAGGCAGCCGGCACCACGGTGCCGACCGCGAGGCAAACAGCGGCCACTTTCACCTGAACGCTGTTGTTGCTGTCGTCGTCGACTTCGTAGTTGTCGTTGTTGTTGCCGGCGATGGCCCGCCGAAGGAACCAGAGAATGTCGGTGCGCAGACGTCAAGGGGGAAGATGGAGACACAGCTTCTACTATATAAAGATGCTGCAGACGGAAGACCGACAGCTCACTTAGAAGACCAACTTTCGCTCACATCCACCATCGGCATATTATGGTAGGAACAGTGCTCGTATCCTTCACTGAGTTCAGTGAGAACGGTGATTCAGAGTCGGGACTTCCCTAATTTCCCAACCAGTGCATCAAGTTTATCCGAGTATTCGCAAGTGACGCTCGAATTTTCGGGATAAAAAGTTTTCCAGTGTCAGTGATCTGAGGGTTCAGTCAATACTGTCCTCTGACTCGGATGAGTGCGACTTTGAAACGGATTCTAATCATTGGATTGAAATGCCGGAGCTCGCTTCCGTTTTTATTCCGGACCGGTATCGATTTTGGTGATCTGACTCACGCATTCGCGGGGTCGCGCCCTGGCGTTGTCGATGGAGCTCCGGTGACCTGTGCTCGCCAAGTTTCCGCGAAGTCCACTAGGGGCGGAGCTCTCCCCGGGGGATTTTTCTAATTAATAATCTTGAGCCGGACAAATATCAAAAACTCTCCTCTCGATTTACAGCGCGTTTTTCTCGCTCTCGGTCTGCTCGTGGTGGCGGCTTCCGCCAGGCCGTCATATGACTTGGACACAGCAGCCCAGGAACCCCAACCCGCCGAAGAAGCGGCTCCCCCTATGCCATACGCCTTCGAGTACTCGGCCTCCGATCCCGAAGGTTCTCATTCGCATTCCTCAAGCTCTGATGGGAAAACGGTCACCGGACAGTACTCCATCATGCTCGCTGATGGTCGCATGAGAACCGTGAAGTACACCGCCGATGAAAACGGATACCGCGCCGAGATCATCACGAATGAGCTCGGGACCGAGTCCAAGAACCCCGCTGACGTCACGATTCAGTCGTCGGCCCCCACAGGCGCAGAGGCTGCTTTGCTCGGCCCGTCGTCCCCGGGTGCCGCGCCCGCTGTCGCATCGGCTGCCCTCCAGGCCGCACCCGAAGCTTCACCGATTCCTGTGACCGATGCGGTTCCTGCGGAATCGCCGAAACCAACGGAGCAAGCCAGCGAAGCTTCGTATCTGAACAAAGTTTTCTCTCCACCGAAGTTCTCGAGCTATCGAAACTACAGAGGGGCTCGCTTCTGAAAAGGTCGGAGACCAAGTCTCGAGGCTCCGACGACCTCGACGCCAAGGTCATGGTTTGACGTGTCGTGCGTCATCGACCGCCTTGTTTTATGTCAGTCTTCACTCGCGTATTCTCTTCGGCTCTTGAGGAATTCCTCATCCTTCCTAGCTTGACATCTTATTTACCTGTGTACACTCTTTTTCTGTCAGTCGTCACTCTTGTTCAGCTCCTCCTCGTCAAAGCTCTAGTCTATCGACCGGCGTCGTTTCGCTTTCTGATTACCTCACGCCTCCGCGATTCTATCACGTCGATCGTTCCTAAGTTGTCAATCGTGATCTGAGGGTATCATCGTCAGAACTCAGATCGATCATTCGAATTGGTTCGACTGGAACTCGATTGAAATATCCCGCTCCAGACTTCGGAATCGTCCGCTTCGACGAATGGCTCATCCCTCCGAGGAGCTACGGATTCTACTCGCGCCCCTGATTGCGTGAGCCTGTCGAGGTTCTTGTCGAAACTCATCGAAGCTCGTTACATTAATTTTCAAATCCTTGCCTAAGACTGGGTTTTGGTGACGTCGACCCTCAGAGACACGAGAGAATTATCTGTCGCGTTGCGTGGAACAGAGTCAGAAAGAAGGCCCAGAGAAATCTCGAACTGGAAATATAAGTTCTAGATGTAAAAATGTAGTTAAATGGAATAAAGAAAAATCTTCACACAACGATTTTTTCGCGCCCTTCTTACCGGAGGCAACAACGCGCCGCTGCCGCTTCCATCGTGGGTGATTCGGGGTACGACTCGATGCATCAGACAGTTCGATGCTCCTCTTTGTCGGAGGTATTCGCCCTGCCTCGGACCACGAGGGGCGGAAGTATACTCTTCATAGAAGCTCATAGAAGGTGGAATTCCCTGTGCCAGACTTCGGCCTCTTGGCGTTCCCAACACGAGCAGAAAAGAATCGGACCACTGATTCGAAGCCGTGTGGGGATTTTCGGAAGATTTCCGATCGGCTCTCCTCGGTCCCGCCTCAATCAGGAGTTTCCTCCATATTCGACCTAGAAAGAAATGGGGACTATGGGCAGATCTGAACCTCGGCGAGGAAGTACATCTCGATAGGATGTAGGTAAGGATCAGCTTCCTCGAAGTTCCGGATAAAGAGTGGCCCGAGTGTCAGAGAGCGACGTGAAATCCATTCTGTGAGACAAATACAGATCCGACCATGCCTATCGAAAAAGGTAGCGAGGTCGGAAGCCGGAGTACAAGCTGATGAAATAATTAGATGCTGGAACGGGATCTCAGACTTCGGAATATGTCACAGATGTTCGGATTGAATTATGAGCAGCAAGAAGCGCGGAACGTCATTGGATTGGAGTAATCCTGACTCGCAGAAATGAGTCTTCTGGACGAAGGGCGAGAAGTCTATCGGATACGAGGCTCCTGGAACGAGAACGCATTAGGGAACGAAAAAAAAAATCACGGCTTAGACGTCTCTGACAGGCGAACCGGATTGCGAGTGAAGTGAAGCTTTGAGGCTTCATCAAGGACTTCGACTTTGATGAGAGATGAACCTGGTGAACATCTCACGATTTTTTGTGTCTGAAATCCCAATCTCTTTTGGGAATTTTTTTCGTGCGTGCAAGGTATTCCGAGGAGTCTGTTCTGACGTTAGGGTGGTGTACCGTGCGGGGAGTCACCGCACGAAAGCGAAGAGAAAACGAACACGGTTTCTTCTATTGATTGATTCGTCTTCACGCGTTTCAATGTCACCAACGAGCTTGTTTAGCCGTTGACAGACATCATCGTGATCGCGTGTACCAATACAAATGTCGTCGTCTTTGACGCCAAAAGCAGTTGAAGTTTGCGCACCTCGTTCAGAATCGATGTGACATCGAGTTAGATACTTTCAGTGGGTCGTACACGAGTCGGTACTTCGTCGCCGATCTCCTCGGACTCATCCATTCAACACTTCTTCTCGCGATGATCGGGGAACTCATTCCGACAACGGAACCGAACGCTCGGGCCACGCGATAGCCACAAAACAGCGTGAAGTCCACTGATTTTGAGTGAAGAACAGCAAGGTCCTGTCCGGAGATATCGGCCAGTGGATGCAGAAGCTGGCCGCATGCTTTCACTCGTCTTCTTGCGCCGGTGAACATTTTTCTTTACTCCACCCCAGACAGTGTCACACGTTACGTCAGCGTTCGCTTTGACGGAAAAGTTTCGTGTTGGCGGTTGGCAGCGGTCGGGGGTCGGTCCGGGTCAGAACGGTGTTGAGGTTCCACCGTAGGACGTCGCTTCGGTAACTCCCAGAAATCTGCCGAACAAATCACGCCAAGCTTGTGACCGAGCATGCCGTGTTGTGCTCCAAGTAATTTAATATCCGAATCATTATCACAACAATGATTACAATTTGTTCAAGGAGCTGGAACAGAGACGGAACGATAATTAATCATATTCGCTACTTTCCAGCCAGGCGTATCATTTCCCTTTTGATTCAAATCACACGGTTCCGATCGATCGATTCCTCCCTCGAGGTATGCAAAAGCTGTTTTCTCACGCCGGCATCTGCCTGCGATTCATTTGTTGAGGACCATACTCCTGAACTTCGCGCCTCAAGGAGACCATATCGATCCCACCTGGGGAGAATTCCCCGCTTCCATCTTTGGGGGACTCGCGCAAAATGAGTTCTGCATGCTGCAGATTATTTCCGGGGCGATCTGTCCTCGGAAGCATGTCGCTGGACAGATCGCCTCGACTATCCTCCTCTGACGACATGACGGACTTGAGCTGGGATCAACGAGAGCATCGTTCTCTGAGAGCAAGACCGTGGGAGGCTCGCCTTTCGGGATCATCAGTCGGACAGAATGTCAAGGATCCAGACAAAATTGAGGTTTCGGACGAAAGCGGTCAAAGTGATTTCTCGCGGAGAATCACGAGACAAACAAGGGAGTTGAATGGAGTTTCCGACAGAAAAATGACAAGATTGTAGCCTGCCGCTGATTTATCGACATCGATTGACCACAGCGTTGCAAGTTTGCACGAAGTGTGCCATCTTCGACGGACGACGACCTTGGCTGACGTTTGGTCAGGGGAGAGTCGCTATCGAGCGGGGGAAGCACCGCTATAAAACCGCTAACCATTCGAGCGTATCAGCAATACGGACCTTTTCTCACATCGGCAAATATGGTATGGATTATACGTGGCTCGCGATTTCTAGAAGTCGACGCGCTCTCTCCCGAGATGTTTTTCTCAAACTTCCCCCGGAACGTCCGACTATCGCTTCGTGGTGACTCCCTTGAACTTTGAGCAACTTCCATCCTCATGATATTTTATCTCTATTCATGTTATCCAGAGTTAGTGGTTTGATCACGAGACTTAGTGTTCAGGCCGCGATGAAAACAATCGGATTCATTTCTAGCGTTCTTCGCTCCCGCTGCTCGCGATTGCTGCCCTTGTCGCGATTTGCGCTGGCCAAGAAGAGAACTACCCTCCTCAACCCTTTGAGTTCTCTTACTCGGCCGAGGACTCCGAGGGATCGCATTCGCACTCCCAGCAAGGCGACGGAACGGGCAAGGTCACCGGAGAATACACTATCACATTGGCCGATGGCCGCTCCAGAACCGTGAAGTACACCGCCGATGAGAACGGATACCGCGCCGAAATCATCACCAACGAGCTCGGCACCGAGTCCAAGAATCCAGCCGATGTAACAATTCAATCGACTGCACCGACGGGAGCCGAAGCGGCCCTACAAGGTCCGCCTCAGGGAAGCGCTTCGCAGAATACCCCCGTATACCTACCGTACGCTTACGCTCGTTATTAGTAAGACCGAAATTCTATTCCAAAGCCTTTCCACCTGTCATATCTGTATACTGCTTCTGTGATCTAGTCCTCACGAAAAACTCATCCTGTATACTTGAATAAAGTCTACATTCTAGTACGTCATGTGAAGAAATTATCGCCGTAATTTATTAATCCCGAAGTATTCGGACTTCGATTTCCCATGCCGATGGGAGCGTGCTGCGATTCTCGCTCGGACAGATCGGTAGATGAGTCGAGAACAGCACAGAAGGCGATGTTTCACACGGTTGAATTAGCGCGATCGCCCCCCCGGGTGTCCGGCCAATCCTGTTGATCGTTTTCTGTGCGAAGTGATAGTTTGTGAGTGACAGCCCCCGAGTTTTAAAACTCGCCCAACTATATCCAGACTTCAAGACGCCGATTTGCAGACCTTCCCAGGTCAACGGTCTAGTGAAGCTCGTTCGGAAGATTCGAGAAATGGGCGATCTCGATGGCGAACGACTGATCGTATGAGAGTGAGCAAGTCCATCATTATACTTGATTGATTATTTATTTATCAGGCGCGGTGCCGTCCGTGAATCGGATCGAGAGAGAGGGAGAAGGAGCGAGTTCGTCCTCGAAACTGGAACTCACAGCTTCTTCGGATTTTCGAGCCCGTCCCCGACGAGATCATCGGTAAAAGCGCGAGCCTCCTTTACAGCAACATCCGTTCCAGTTGCTGGTTCCATAAGAACGAATGACGACTCTGAGTGACGGCCGCTTCATCATAATCAAGCGAGCATTACGGTGCTGGAGAGCGATCTCGTGTCTCTTCCCGATTCCCTGCGCCGATTTCGACGGAGATCGCTCGTATTTCTCAGAAGACTCCCCACGCGGAGGAGTATGCGCTCGGGCAGAGTCCGAATTTCGTCATCGTAGTGAACTTCCACAATAAACACGAATCGACAGCTTCTCGACCATGGGCTACGTCTCACGTGCCCAGATTCATCTTACACTGTTGTTCGTGGTTGGAGTTCATTGCGAGACAGACCGATTCTGTTTCCCTTCAAACATGCACAGAGGTGAGCCGACGTTCTTGGGAGGGGAGAACCTCCTTTTCCTCGATTGCGCCGTGCAGTCGGGAGTACTCAATGATTTCACGCTCGACAGCGAGCTGCGATTCAGATAACGCGTATGTTTGGGTGCCGAAAGGCGGACTCATTCCGTGTTCGCCAGTTTGCCAACTCAAGTACCGTTTCACGAACGAAAGGTACATTTCTGCGAGAAGAATCTACGAAGTTTGCCACTACGACTCCGAGAAGAAAATGTTCTACCACGGCCTAGCGGATAGGGATCGGTGAGTAGAGACGCCGGGCCGAGTGGCCTGACTTTGGAGACAGCTCTCTGTCCGGGGCTTCCATGGTTGCGCAGAGAGACCAAGTTCAAAGAGCCATTCCCGTTCACGAGAGCCATGTTTTTCTAAAGGTGCGCGTGCCGGGACTGGGCTGCGTACGAACGAAGAGAGGATCGATGGATAAATCATTTCAACGTTACTTGGTTCTGCAACTCGGACTGGGACATCAAGCGAACAGATTTTGTGGGAGTCTACGTGATAGATTGCGATAGACAAGATTATCTGCCAGGAATCTGCGAGCAGGACTGCACCAATAGCACACTATGGCCCCCCGAGGACGCTCAAGAACTGCAGGGTCAGTTCCTCAAACCGAAATGTCAGCCGGTCGTTCCTTCATGCAATAAAACCGCCCGGGTGTGTTAGATTAGCGCGGGCTTGTGTCCATTGGTTTTGAGCCTTTAAAGTCATTCTCGATGACATCCTGGCAACGATAAGAAAAGGAATGAGAGCGAAGACATCCGAAAGATCTCTAGTAGGACGAATTCCCAGTCTTCCTGTTATTCTCCTCATGCATCGGAGGACATAGAGCCTATCCGCGTTGATCATCAGAGCGCCTCTCCGTCGAGCTTTCTGATATCGTCGTCGTCTGGAACTGAGAGATTCGATCTCTGAAAATCCACGTTCCGCGACGACTGCTGCCAGAGAAATGCTATCCGGTCTGCTCCTCTCATTTCACCCCGTATATTCATATTTCGGACGAGTATCTGGAAGCCTCGATTTATGTGGAATTCTGCGAGGCATTCCATTCTAGCAGGAGACTTCCGTCACGCCAAGAAATATCCATGGGCGCTTGGAAACCGTTGAGGAACATCGCGGAGCCGCCGACGATATGGTGGCGGCTCTCCGGACGAGGTCGGGAATCGCATTACATCGGGCGACAACGACTGTTCTGATTCTGGCTGCTAGATCGGCAGAATCCGAGGTGAGGATACATGGGAAAAGCCTTCCTGGACACGCAATCATAAAGAGATTCTTCCCATCCGAGGTCAACGACAGTCACTATATTTCTCGGAATAAACTCGAAAATATTATAATGAAATTCACTGAGGAGGCTCTCGATAAGCACATCATCGCAGAGTCATCCACGGAGACCTTCTTCCGTCCTTCCCGCCGCCTTCATCGAACAGATATTTCTTCTAGATACTCGACAAACCGCTTGAGACGTTCGAAGTAGCGTAATTCCCCGTTCCTCGAAGGCGCTTGACCGCTCTTCGTGCACCAGGCTTGGAGACGCATCGACCAATAAAGCTGCTCGGCGGTGCCCGTGTACCAGAAATCGGGGGCGGCGGAACTTCCGTCGGGGAAACTCATCCTTTCTTTGAGGGTTCTGAAGGCGGTCATTTCCCACGAACGATCCTCGCCACAGAGGAGCAGCTCCGCCGAGAGAGCCCCGGCGAAAGCATAGGTCTGGAATGGCTCAGGAAATGTAGTTATCATAGCGAAGTTGGCAGGGAGTAGGAGGATTCGGCCGACTTTGGCTCCGGCGAAAAGTTTCTGCGTTTCTTCCATCCATTCCTTGATGCTGCTGACGCTCATCGAGGAGAGGTTTCTTGCACATTGCTCGTGAACCCACACGGTGACATTGCAAGCTTGCCTGGGGATTAGTTTCGGAGACATGCAGGCTATTTTGAAAACAGTCAGCCATCCCATGTCGCTCAACTGAAGAGAGCTAGATAGCTCGAGAGATTCGTTGTAGAACGTTTCAGCGAGAATCTCGTTCTTCGCAATGTCATCTCTGTAATATTCTCTGATTGGAAACCTCGTGGGAAGATTGTATTCACAGAAATTCTCGGGCCTCAACTTGCAAGATGAATACAGTATGAGAAGAAGCATCAAAAGGAGATACAAAGCGACAGCGCAGGTGCTTGAGCAGATGCATCTCGTCGCGACTCCCATAGCGCAACCGGGCTTGTCAATGCGTACTCTGACCCTCGTTTCCCTTTCTTCTTGTGCGGGGGGAAGGGGGGATCCACCGAACTCAAGTCGACTCCTGCGCGCGTTCCCGAATGTCCAAAAGTCAACAACTTCTTTGTTTTCTCTTGAAGACTTGATGAATCCAGAAAACCAGGGCTGCAGGAAACATCATTGCGCCCGTTTGATCCTGATCAGCCTCGGATTGGCTTTCGAGACCAGGGTAGCTCTCCCGTTGGATGTTCCACGTGTCGAATGAAGAGGAATGAGGGTTATCACTCGCTTATTCTTCGGTTTTCCGGAATTCAGAGCGCCAATCAGAGCGGCTCCCGTCGCTTTCTGAGGTGAAGGAGTGGAGAACTTGGCTCCCTAAGTCCCTAATCAACATAAGACTCCAATTCGGACCCCTTGACGTTGCCGATGCCGATACAAGCCCGAGGATGAGCAGATAGAAAATTGATCGCTCATAATAGACTCGGACCGCCAAGCCTACGCGGACCTTCCTTTCCACGAGAATCTCAATGAAGAACGTGAGTTCAAAATCTGTTGGAGAGGAATAATTCAACTTTCGAAACTGCGCGCGCTCAGCAAGCGACGCCTCTACTGCCATGGCCGCCGAGGGTATAAAGTGTGGGAGCAGCAGAAAACAGGTCTTTTGGTTGAGGCTATCGCGCGTCGCACGTGCGCTGCTGCATTCGAGCTTTGGCTCACGCGTGCTAGAACGATGCATTCCGCTGCCAAACATCATACACGTGAGTTGAACCCGAAGCTTACAACCTGCTTTCCTAATTCCACGTGAGGACAAATTGCTCTTATTGGCGAATCACCATGTGCGTTTGATTAGTCTTTCTGATACCACCACGTGCATCGCGAGTGGCGCGAATTTTCTTCTCTTATTTGAAGACAACTCCTCCCGTCTTCCAGGGGTAGTATCTCCCGAACGCTTTCACGGATTACACCGTCTCCGAAAAGCAGAGCTCCCATGTCGAGGCGTCGGATGAGATAGCAGACCTTCGCGGTTAGCGAGAAGTTCCGGTAGGTCCCGGGACACGTGTTGCGAGTCGAGCGATACTCTCTAATGAGCGTTTACGATGCCCCGTGATGCAGAAATTTCCCGTGAGCGAGAATTCGTAAAACTTGTCAGTACGGGCTTCGGAGCATTCCCTTCGCGTATGCAAAAGATTGTTCCGGCAGTCTTTTCGCGCTGCAAGGGTTTGTGGAGAGGCTCGGAACGCATTTTGAGAAGAACGATCGTAATGATTAGCAAGATTATGAGATCTGAGGGCGCTAGAGGAATACTTCTCGATGGCCGGATTCTGAAATGGTATCTGAGCTGACCCCGTATTCTTCGAACTCCAGGTGAACTCGAGACGCGAGATCCGGATGGAGGGCTCTGGTCGAATTCTCTCGGAACGAATAGCGGAGGTTAGTTTTGATGACGGTGCGATACTGTTAGTCGAGTCTCTGACTTCGAGACAGAAATTCATCATGATGATAACTGGTCCGTGTTTATGACTGGCAGTGATTAGACACATAACCATTTCTGACGCTCACGTATCAAGGAGGAATATATGTCATCGGTCCCTCCCATGGATTCTAACTAAAGGCTTCGCCTGCAGGTCGGACCGAATCCTCTGGAAATGCCTTGAGGTTTTGCGGATTTCGCCTTCCCTCGGGGCATGTCTGGCTCGCTATCAACGGCCCTGAATCGGTTCCTCACGGAATTTGGACGGAGCTCGGATATGCGACCGAGATTCCTTGTACAGGGCGGATCTCTCGAGGATCTGATCGACCGTTCCCGATTTCGATTGAGCAAGGTGAGTAAGATCCGTTAAGTCCACGGAGAATATACCGCAAAGCCCTGCAGCAGAAATGATGTCAACCCATAATCTGTCAATCCAATGAATGACTGTGATTAGACGTAACTCTACCAACTCTGATCTGCTCGATATCATTCAAAAGTCCTGAGACGGGATCGCGGCGCGAATCTGTCGTCGCCATTCCGATCGTGAATCGGTATCGAAAATGCAAATTTCGTCGATGTCCGAGCCACGGCTCGGTGCGGAATATTGATCCGAAAACGTTTTCACGCTCGCAGCTCATGTCTCGCGATGATTGCTCGGGAAGGAACCCTACTCTCGGAAAAACTTCTTCTTATTCCGGTGCGGTTTCCGTATGCGGAGCACCTCCGAGGTAAGTGTGAGCTCCCTCCTCGTTGCTCTTTCTCACCCAAGAATATTCATGTGATGAGAACCAAGGGACGTAATTCAGACCTCTCTGAAGACTCTTCAAAATTCTATCTGATACGCTCATTAGCAAACATGGCGCCGGTTCCGACTTGCTCGACTTCTCCGACTCCTGATCGTCTGACGAAACGTTGGATTTCTAGGTTCTTCGTTTTCCGATCTGGTGATCTAAGCGAACCCCGGTCTCATGCGACGAAAACTCCACCAACCCTAAAGCATGATCTGAGTCATAAGGTAAATGAGGCTCCTGAGACAGATCCGAATCGATTCTACTACGATAGGCTCTGCGATTATGATGAAAACCCCATGCACCACGCTGATCTTCGTGACTGACAAAAACTTACCACTTTATCTGAAAAGAGTTGATACTAGGAAACTCCTCCGGAAGAACATCCGATGAAGATGACTCAGACTCCCTCTTCTCTGCAGGTGCGTGTGATGGGGCCCGATATCCGTTGCATAGTTGGATCATGGACCGAGGTTCGTTCAGACAACTTCTTGGCTTTTTAATTCGGAACACTTCGAAAGTCTTGATCATGATGAAAACAATTCGCGTCTGCAGCCGAATCCACAACCGCCGTGCCTGAAAAGGCAGAACCCATCGGCGAGGGGTTCGGTGAAGACAGATAACACTTCACGTCTGAATCCACGCTCAAATCTACTATGAATCGTGACGAAGGTTTTCGAAGCAGCTATTTTCAATGTATGATCCTCTCCTTCCAGCGTGCGGAATCTGGTCACTGGTCCGGGGTGCGGGCTCATTCACGAAAGGGACAGACTCCCGCGGTCGGTGAGTGCAATAGGTTCTATCTCTCCCTGAGTGTTCAAAACCAGCTACTTCAAACGCTATCGTGTAGTGATGATATCATTTACCGCCCCAGGCTGAGTCCCCATGACTGATTGGATTTTCTGATTATTCGCGTGAAGAGGCGTATCGAATCCCGATTCGAGTGAATTCTCTGACTCACTATGTTTCTCTCCATGCTCAGGCTTGAACATCCCGGTGAATGCACTTCAGATGACCGCGTGGAAACCCTCCGAGTCGAACATAGAGGTAAGATTACTCCCCCTCCGAGATAGTACCCGTAGTCAAATCCTCCGCTTTCGTACCCACGAGACTGGAGATAAGTCCTACGAGGTTACACCAAGTCGGTCCATGGTTACTCGGAAGATCGGTACTTGCTCTTTTGGGACTAGGTGATATTCGAAACAGACTCGTTCGACTTCCGTCGGATCTGAAACTGCACGCTGGTCTGTCGCAATTATTCAGGACACGCTTAAACTCCTGAGTCGGATGTTCATCATGATGAAACAAACCTTCATTCAGACTAGAGTCGCTGAAAACTGTGATGCTAAACGGCTTTCTGACGATGAACATTACGCGGAACTAGATTGCTCGTATCGGCCGGAATGAATGCATTCTGAAGTTCCTCCCGCTCGGTTGCAGATCCCGAAGGGTAGGTGAGCTCGATGATGTCATCAACGAGGAACCGATATGGAGCTTCGATGGTGAGTTTCTCTAAAACGTCTACACTCTCCCCATCGGGGGACTTTCCAGTGCGTGTCTCATCAGATGTGTGATGAAAATCAAATCATTTCTGGTCTTCTTTTCCCGGCAGACTGATCGGTGGTGAAACGATTCTACTGAGCAAATTAATATATTTTCGGGAATGAGCCGAGAAATATGCGCCGGTTCTGATTGTTTGCTTCCATTCATAGATCCGAATCCCGAGACTGCCCCTGACTGGAGTCGGGAGCGCGCTATCTGAGCTCGTCCTGGATCGAATTTCCCGCCGGAGGCAGCTCTCACGGCGGAAACAAAATTAGCGCTCATCGGCGTCCGCGTCGACGCACGATGCGGCTTGGAGGTATGTCTCTGCTATTTTAATGCATTACGATTACCGGATAATAACATGATGTTTTACATCTTTCGGGTCCTAATTGCCTTGCGGACAACATACCCATTTGCTGATAAACCACAACGAAGAGTCAAGTCTCCCGCAGTGAACCCATCTCAATTTCATCTTCCTTTCCAGCTACTGAGCGACGGCCATTGGGGAGCCGACCTCGGTCAAGAACGCCGCTGCCTCGAGGGATCTCGACCTTTTTTTCCCTGAAGGTACGGCATGCGAAGCCGTGAACCCTGTCGCCTATATATGACATCAATGATGACTCAAGACGGGACCGATATCATGAGGAAATATTACCGGGCTGAATTTCGCAAGCTAGGCTCCAGCTCCCGTCCCCATCGGAACCAATGTCAAAATCCCTCCGATACTCGTTCTAGGTGCGATGGGCCGACTCCGAACATCAGTCCCGAACGAGATGAAAGAAGAGGTTCGTTCGATGTATCCATTTGATAGACATATTTATCTCCGCAATGATGACTACCTAGCTCACTCCGAATTTGAAGTGTGGACCCTTATACCTACATTATCTGAAAAAGCCGCTCCGGAGAATAATCGTGAGCTCCGATGCCATCGCGCTCCTCTCATCGAGAGTTCTCTTTTTCCAGAACATTCGATGCTGGACTCGCTTGGTTATTTCACGTCCGAAGGTAGGTGACAGCAGCTTTTTTGTTTTTGAAGCACAAATTTCGACATGGCCGTCTTTTATGATGATCATACCTAGCTCACTCTGATTAGAAAGTGAAGATCTCCAATACCTACATTATCTGATGCAAGAACACCCCTCATCGACGACTGACGATACCCACGTGGGATTTGACTAAAAGCTCTGATTCTTCTTGCAGAGTCATCCATCATCCTGGGGATTTTAACTACTCGGACGCGCCGCGGAAATCCATGGGTACGTTCGCCAACGGCATATCGCTACTCACATGTCGTGTAATGCTGAGACCCCGCAGTCACAACGCAGTCGTGACGGCGTCTCATGAGATATTTGATGCGTTTCGTGCTTCAAGAGCAGGAGCGTTTTTCGCCAGCACTACCAAAGTGTTGCAGGGCTGCCGACGTCTCAAGGGCGCTCTGTGTCAAAGGGGTGCCAGACCGAGCTCGCCCGAAAAACCCAACGACTTTACGATCACGTAGAGAATGTTGTACAAACGAGCGTGAACATTCCCGGTTGAACTCTTTATGTTGTCGTTGGGGCGTTTCCCAAGCCCCCGTGAGGAGACTTGACGCATCAACGCTTACCCCAGACCTGGGTACCGTCCTATTTCTGGAAATACACGATGCGAACATAGAACACTCCCTGACGCGTTGTCGGAATAATCGCACAGCGTTTCGTCCCGTTCAGAGAGTGAACAGCTCTCTTGAAAGAATCATCATCCAAAATATTCTCTTGTCTGACTCCGGCCTAATGAGCGTTTTTCCCTTGCAGCGAACAAGGTCCAATGGTATTCATCTCGAAGTCTATCGGAAGGCGAATGGTCAGCTTCTAACTCGAGAAGGCACCCTCTGATACGGGAAATCCCCTCTCAGTGGAACCTGTTCCATCGGGCCACACGGGAGGGGAAATCCGGAGCCTGATCGATGAGCACGCGATTGTGGGTAAGGCACTCTTCGTAGACGTCGAGCGGAGACAAGTGAGGGAGTCCGGTAGAGGTACCGAGGCGGCACTGAAGGATCTCAGTGACTAGGCCGAAGGTACGGCAGCCAAGGAGGTCGGGTAAGAACCTCCCTCCCCATGATGACTGCTCAGATCGGAGAGAGTATTCTCGATGATCTCGAGACAGCTCGATCTTCTCCTCAGCAGGAAGTAACTCCTGCGAGAGGAAAGAGTATTTTTGTTGAGTAGCGACGGAAGAAGCGATCAGTAGATGCTTGGAAACGGTCACAGAATCCTTGTATCTGCACCGAAGAATCGGGGATGACAAACCAACGCGACGAGGATTTCTGAGCGTGGGCCGTCGGGGATCTCGGAGACGAGATCTTCCAAGTGATGGAAAGATTTTCATCGAGTGGAAATATTGTTCCGGTAACCTGGGCGAGCCCCTTGGAGGAAGGAGACTTGGCCTCATGGAACCTGTCTCTTAGACTGCCCAATGACTCCTCCTCGGGCATGCTGCGGAGGAAAACCCCCAGGTGGTGAAATGGAAGGCCAAGTCATGAGAATCTTCCGAGAATCGTAGAGAGGGGCGAGAAAAGAGGCAGAGGAAGCTGCTCACAGGGAAGGTCCGCGCGGTAGCAAGGATCCGACCGATCATTGGTTGAAGAAAGTCCTACCTTGGACCTGAACGGAGACATCCGTGAGGTAAAGGGACGAGGCATCTCTTCCACACAAGAGCGAGGAACCGCTCCACTGTGGAATGAAGAGACTGTGCGGTATAGGAGCGGGATGCGAATAAAAGATTCACCACTCTGAGAACCTGGTTTTCAATCTAGTTGACCGGTGGACGAAGTGTATGCATGGTGGAGAAAATAAGGAGGGGATATGGGACCGAAGAAGTGGGCATAATTCCAGTGGACGAGACATGGTCTGGGGAAATTAATCAAAAAATCGATTGACATCCATTTGTCAACCTCAACGGAGCGGTACTGCTCTGAATAACATCGCAAGGTTCGTGTTGGGATCCTGTGGCCGCGATGCCTTGTGGTAGGGGCATCATGGGAGGGAAAGGAAGGAAACATCAAAATGCGAACGGGGCTTTGATCACGTGTGTCGCAACGACAGACCTCGGGAATCCGTCAGAATGAGATTAGGGGAAAGGATTAGCAGATGAGTGGGAGCTTGCTGGCAACGATTGGCTGAATTTCGAAACAGAAGTGGCCGGAGCGTGCGACCCGGAGAAGACGGAGGAGTTCGCAGTCGAGGCGGACAGATTCCTCACTACACAACATCGGTGCTGGACTCGGGGCAGCGATGGCGGACGATAGGTCACGTTACGTCTCACTTGACTCCAAAGCCGCGGGTGGATTGGACATCCCGACTCGCATCAAATTATATGACTGCAGGCTCGGACTCGACATCCGTGGACCTGATTGAGGGCTCCTTCCCATCTGGGATTCCTCTCTGCCTGATCGGAAAGCGACAGACGCGAGATTTCCCTAATTCATCATGTTTTCACCTCCTCTTTGGATCTTCGGGACCAGAATCCGTGTCAGCTGCCCCTCTTCAATCTTCAATTCCGAAACAGCTCCCATCTCCGATCGAGCGCCAATCATCTGTAGGAGATTTAGCGCGATGAATATCACCTTGATTTCCTTCTGAACGAGTATGACGAGTTTCCGAGGGGAATGCGCAGATTTTCGGATCGCTTTATTCAGGGATATATATATCTGTTTCCCGTGTTCCCGCTCCGGACTCAGACAGCGAGGTTCGCTCTCGCCGAATTCGATCGAGCTCTCTCTCAGAACGGCAACTGAGTGTGGTATCCATCTATCCATTGCTGTAGAACCTGTCTCAGTAGGTAAGATAGGAAAGAATTGCTGAATTGAGGGAAAATTTTCACCGATCCCTCGAAAAAAATCCGGAAAGCAATCGACACTGGATAGAAACCCGAGATTTTCACGTATGGTTGATTCTGGACGGTTACAGCAACCTTCGTGATCTGCAACGAAGTAACGGCCACGTTGAGCTACGTCGGGTCCGCAAGGCGGCTGATCAGAGGAGAGATTCCTGCAACCCACCTGAGGTGCTTCGCCAGTTTCTGCTTTCCTTAGGGAAAAGAACGCGGTCAGATCCGCAGCGAACATCTGCCAGGCTGTCGTGAGCCTTCCGCCTCCGATACTCAACGGGTAATTGATGTCGAAATCGAAGAAGAAGTCCTGGACCAAGATCTTTAAGGAACAGTCGAGCCAATATGTTTCGGGGAGTACAAAAGCACCTCGGAGACTGTAGAGCAGCAGCCGGAAGCTGGTCACGTACTGTAGTTTCGAAGCGCACGTAGTCCAAGGTTTCGTCGCAGACCGCCGATATTCCGCCTGGGAATTGGAGGCCGAAGAGTCCTCGGGCCCGCCCATTGCAAATCTGGATTTCGATGACGGGGAAGCTGATCATTCCACGAGAGGGGTAGCGTCAAACTCTCAGAAACAATTATAAACAGTCTTCTAGTTACGAAATCGGGCCCCAGAGATACCTTGAAAACTCCGTACTCTTGACAAGTTCCGAGGGGATTCGGCTCATTCCTGCGCAAAGTCTCTCGATTCGCGTCGAGGATTCCAGTTATAACCTTGGTTATGAAATCGTCCCCCAAGCACAAGAGCGGAGTTTGTCGACGACTTCGATTGCCTGAAGCGAAAACCGCCGAGCACAACGCCGAAGCACTTGGCGGTGGTTTGAATCAAGATTACAGGGTCAGAGAAGACGTCGACTGGATCTGGAATTCCAGGAGAACTTACAGAGTTGAAATGAGTAAGCAGTCCGCAGACTTCATCGCCCAGCTTCTGCGGTCGAAATCACACCGAGCGCCGGTCCCGTTTTCGAATTAGGTCGTCAATTTGACGTTTGCGGCCAGTCAAGCTTTAGGCTCGAACACAGCCCAATTAAGACCTTCCGGGTCTTCGAGTGAAAAAATGTTTACCCTGTCCCTCCAGGCGTCATCGCAGTTCACTTCGACCGGCGTCATTCGGTGGAAAAAGCTCTCAGCATGACTTGGCAAAATATTCTAGTCTAGCAGCACTGAATCGTGGCCCGCGATTCCGGTGCCAACTTTCGGCGAGTTCCAACAAATCGGGAGAGTCTCGAGATTCCTCGGATCTGTGGATGCTGTTACATACAGTCTCTTCGCTTTAGGAATCTGCCTGACACCTCGACGCGAGTCTGGAGCCGCGCGATAGCTCGAGGAAATAAGTATTCGGGGTAATGGAGCCGCGAGACAGTTTGCTCCTCCGCTTCCTCCTCTTCATCGAGGCACCTGAACCACCTCCCGTCTCCGGTAGGATGTGTCCGCTGATGCCCGTAGCGTCGATTGTAGAAGATCACCCATGGGCTCGATTGGCTGATTTATGGAGCCATGCAATTACTCTCTAACGAAGTATTCCGTGGCGTGGACGTAAGCCATACACATGCACAAACGACTCCCGGAAGCCTCGCCGCCAGTTTCCGAGCCTCCACTTTTCGTTCGACGAGCCTTCACCTACAGAGATAGCTATGTATGTACCTAGCACGAGTCTGGGTTCCCGGAGGGACAAGTGCTGTTCAGGCATGATTATCTCAAAATCGGAGTAACTTCAATTTATTCTCTAATCCTCGAGTTGACATGCGTCCTGGGGCTCAAAGGAGCTTTCCTCTAGGGAAATAGTTGAAATGAGCCATGGGGAAGGCCCAGGTCCACACGATGTCTGCCTCCGAGGCGTGTGCGAAGAGTTCCTCAATACTCGGATCGAGGTGATAATCTTCCGGCAGCGTGTTGTAAATCGGGAGGTTGTAGTGATGCCCGATCTGGAATCGAATGACGAACGAAATGTCAATGTTTGCGAGAGAATTAACGAATTGGGAGCAGATCTTTGCGGCTGGACTCCTAATTCCTACATCAGATACGGCAGCGGAAGACATGTATCACCCTGTGAGAGCATAGGGGCAATATTATAACGTCACTTCAAGAATATCTAAGAGTCTGAGCTCGGCCACCGTCCTCTTTCCCGAAGGCAAGGAAATCCGAGACGATTCGGAGACGAAATAGCGCACATTTCAGCGGTGTAGAGTATACTCTTCTGAAGAGGACCTCATTCAAATGGATTCGGAACAGGGAGTCCGGGAGCAAGAGATTGATTTTTCTCGCTCGATCGCCTCATTCGTTCGGCATCGACGCTGCCCGATGTTCTCGCCTCACCCGAGGTGGAAATGAGTTCCGATGATTCGATGTGGGTCCCCGCTCAGGTGGTCGAAGGCATCGGCGTAGTTACCGTTACAGAAAAAAAAGTATCCTCATGATGCCAAGACTGTACTGACTGAGACGAAAGCCTGTGGAGCGCGGAGGCTGAAGCGGCCGGAGCGAGATTCGGCTCAGGTCCAGGTCCGGAAGGGGAATCGCCCGGGTGTCGAGAACGGGAATGGTTTCCGCGAGTTCACGCTCTACGATTCGTCGTCACGACAGCCGTGTAGGATAAAAGATCGAGCTCTAAAAAGAGGCTCGGATTCTCGAAAGCTCGGAGAATCGGCTCATAACGGCAGGTCTCTGGAAATAATTCGCGCGGGACACTGCATGCAAGAGAAAAGGAATATTGACGAATATAAGCGGAATTTTGCGAGTCACAGGACTCCACGGATTTCGCCGCGTGCCGTAACCAGGGGCTGCCGTATCATGACCGAGAATGAAGTCCGTGATTCCGGGCTGGGAAAACCGTGAATACGGAAACCACATCCGAGCCGAAACCCTCTCCGATAGAGGGTATCTCCCTCGAACGACGCGGGCGCCTGCTCGCCGGTCGTCGTCGAACATCTCGGACTGGGGGATATATCGGATGTTGGAACATGTTCCATGGCGCCCTCTCCAGATCTTTCCCAATGAACGCAGGTGTACCCAAAAGCTCAGTACTCTCTTCCTGTTGCACATCAATGATCTTCTCGCCTCCTCCTCAAATCCCATACACAGCTTCGCCGACGACAGTACACTCCATGCTGGCTACTCTTTTAAGGAGCAGCCGACCTTTACCCAAACAAATTCCTCTCGAAGCCCACTGCTCTCCTCCATCGATTGCAAGCTCCGGAAGGAAACCCTTTTCACGAAGAGAACCAAGCCCTTTGGTCCAACCATCTCTTTGGACAACGAAACGCTACTTCCTTCATAGAATATCTCTGTTTTGTGCGTGTGCCTTTCATCAAATCTTAAATGGCACAATCACATGGCAAACATGGCCAAGTCAGCCTCCCAAAAACTAGGATTCCTCTTCGGAGCCAAACGTTATTTTTCTCCCTCTCACCTTCTTTTGCTCTATAAAACCCAAATCCATCCCCCTCTTGAGTACTGCTCGCATATCTGGGGCGAGCCCGCTCCTTCATCCCTCTCTATCCAGGACTCTGTTCAAAAACGTGCTATACGTCACATCGGTGATTCAGCCATATCCCCCCCTCTTGAATCTTTATCCTCACGTCGGCGTCGTGACGTTACCGGCCTCTGCCTATTTTATCGATACTTCCATGGAAAATGAAATCTCTCCCTTCGTTCCCCCTATTTTGGTTCCGCCCGTGTAATCAGAAAGAGTACAAAGCAGCATCCCTACTCTGTCCTTTCTCGAATCGTACTGCTCATTTCGCCGCCACCTTGTTCCCCCGCACATCTTGTCTATGGAATGCCTTCCCCCCCCCATGTCTTCCCTTCAACGTATGATCCTAAACTCTTCAAATCCAACACTATCCGCGCTCTCCCTTAGGGTAAAGAGCCTTAGGTTTTTCAGCGGGTAATGATTACATGAGCCCCACACTCCAGTCGAATTTCCCATTCTTCTGGGTAGTGCGTCAATGCATTTTTTCGCATGGCTCTTTTACCTTCTCTTCCTACCTCCCCCTCAGTCCGCCTCCCCCTTTCCGCGCTCGGAGTTCCTTTCGAGAATTTTAAGGCCACCCCTTTGCGAGCTGCTCCACCGAAAGAAGAAAGAAAATGAGAGGAATCTCTGGAACCTACAGAAGGGCAGAGACAAGGAACAGCTGCCTCCAGAGGAATTGGCGACTCCACGAAGGAGGCTACGAAGTTCTCCCCGAGACTCTTTTGCGTACAGTCGAAACGCTACAACCCACCTCCGTGCCCGCGGAGCGTGCCGTCAGCGCGGCGCGACATCTCTACAGTTACGATCCAGACAAGCGGGGTATCTATCGATACTCAAACCGCCTGTTCCTGGAACATTTCTACACGAGGAATCAGCCGTTGGAGCAGTTGAGGGCGCGCTTCCAATGAAAAGGTTGACGCCAACTCTATCCGATTGTTGTCAATGCTCCCCCAGCTTCGAGTGCTCCCATCATTTGCTCTCACTCATTGTGTTATAAGTTTCACAACCGACGTCCGACGTCCCGCCGACGCCCCGTTTCTGGTGAATATATCGAAAATATTAATATATATCTCGCCCTTCCTTCCATCCTGATGATACTCAGCTGACCAATGGTGGTACCTCTGGTTCATGCGCGGAGCGGCACTTGCTCGGCAACTTGTCCAAGAGGGAAGGCCCCTCTCATGAACGGCAACATCTCCGGGCTCGCGAGTGCGGAATGATCCGGCACTTCCGGCTCACCATACATTGAGAGCTCACCGCTTCGATGGAACCTCCACGAACGATACATGAACAAGAGAAGATTCAGTTCGGCTCACCTTCCAGTTGGGGACGTCTTTCATGACAACCTTCTCCTCTTCGTGCATCCTTCTGAGATGCTTCATGTAGGCTCTGTCGCGTTCGGCCAGCATGAAGGGCGTGAGTGCGACGTCTCGATCGGCATTGTCCAGCTTCATATGACGATAACGATGAAAACCGGCTCGGTATCCAATCCAACTGATGATGCTCATCGCTCCGAAGTAGGTGAAGAGGAATCGATTCGTGAAGTACTTCTGACCGGGGACCCTTTTAAAATTCAGAGCCTTATAGCCGCCCTCGGGCGGCATATCCTGTCTGAAGGCAGCCTGTGCCATGGTCGGTTATGGCTACAGGAGACCGATTCCTCAGAACGATCGCCTCCGCGGTGTGATGTTCCCCACGAAGATCTTAACACTTATAGAGGACACGATCTTTGTGAGTAAACAAGCAGAACGTCGAAATCGAAACTACTCGCGCAAAACCGAGCGCGCGCGCCAAACGTGCACTTGGCATCAGGTATCGGGTCCATCATTTCTCAAGCGCGTTCGCCAATCGAAGAGTTTTACATTTACGAGGGTTGGCTCCGCGCAACGATTCGCGGACAATTTCGAATCGAAGGGTCGATCTACTCAGGGGGGCGGAACCCCCGACAATCAACCCGGGGCCACCCCAGCAGGAGAGGGGTAGAAGGGGAAACGAGATGCTGCGTATCGCAGTGAGATGGAGAAGATTGAATATTATGGCGCAGTCGAGGAAGGAGGGAGCCGCTGCTTCGTTCCACCGTTTAAATAAGTTTACATTTATTATATAAGAACTAGTCAGGTTTATCAGTCCACCAATAATGCTGAGTGAGTTGAAAATATAGTAGGTTAAGATTGAAATCTTTGATCTCATCGGAAGACAATATTTGCGGTGTGGTAAAATAGCAGTATTCGAGTTCGGGAGAATCTCTCATGGCGATAAAACCGGAATACAACAGCTGCCGAAAATACGTCGATTCAATTAACGATCCACTCGGAAAAAGCACCCGTCATTCGTATGCCTGACTCAGACCGCAGAATGACGGATGATCGTCGAAAAGGGATACCGCAAAATGGAATGATTCGAGGCGAAGAGGGAAACCTCATCGAGTTTCAGAGGCCATCGAGGAAGAGGTCCCATGGCGTTCGCAGAACAACCTTCCGACCGACGTCGAATCCTTTGGGCTTCCGGCCGGGCCACGCAATTAGCGCATTATCTGCTCGCTCTGTAGCTCGCTTTAGCCGTGACCGGTCGACTTCTGTTAAGTACTCCGAATGTCAAATTTAGACGTCAAGATGAAATCGATGTATAAATTATTAAATACTTTACATGTAGATTCAAGTTTCCCCCGAAAGTCAAGACTATGATCCCCGACAAGGACTCGCTGCTGTACGACGAACCGATCGAGTTTCACTCCGTTCCTTCTTCGGGGAGAGGAACGCTCCCAAAGGCAAATCGCTGTATAGATTGTGGTGGTCCGCCGTTTCGAAAAGGCACTTGGTGCATCGCTCCTCCGGTCGGCCGTACGAAGATACGTCAGGTTTTTCCAAAACTAGGTTTTGATGAAGTAACAATCCTATTTCTGAGGCAAGTTTGGCCGTTGTTGTGTGAGAGGCAGTAGAACGCTAGGCGCTCCGGCCTGACGGAGGAACGGATGCTGCAACAGTTCAAAAGCTGTTGCTCTCTGTGAAGGATCTCGGATCAGCATTTTATCGAGAAACCCTCCCAGTCGGGTACCGCTAATTCCGGAAGCCTTCACTTTAGGCGGAGGCATATCCCTTATACGTCGCATGGCTTGAAGAGGGGGTTCGTTGAAAAACGGTGGCTCCGAATCAATCATCTCAATTACCATGATGCCCATAGACCAGATATCGACTTCGGGACCGTAGGGCAATCGACTAATGACTTCAGGGGCCATCCAGTAGGGCGTTCCCACCAAGCTTTTGCGCTTGGGCAGGTCTGCGCTCACTTGAGCGCAGAAACCGAAGTCGCTCAATTTGACACGACCGTCTCGCGCCAATAGGATCGAATCGCTCTTGATATCGCGATGGATCACCCCCTGAGAATGGAGGTACGACAACGCTTTCAGAACCTGTTTGCAAACAGTGGCGATTTGGATTTCGTCCATTTTGCAGTTCGTCACAATGTCTGTCAGAGCTCCGCCCTGCAGGAATTCCATCACAACCCAGAGTTCGTTCTCAACGAGATACGACGAATACATATCGACTATATTCGCGTGTTTGTAGTCCCTCATGATCACAACCTCGTTGAAGAGAAGTTCCCGCCGCTGTTGCTTCCGGAGATCCATACGTTTGACGGCGACTATTTCGTTGGAAGACAATTGCTTCGCGATGCACACAATACCCGTAGATCCTTCCCCGATCTTCACAAAATCTGTGAGCTCGGATCTCGGATCTCCTGGCGACACAACCATCTGAAGCGCGGCTCGGAACTGCTCGTGAGACAAACGTTGACTGGCGTCCGGCATGGGCTGCTGTCCCTTGGCGTGATTGTTCTCCTGGTCCACTGGCGGTTTCGGTGGAGAATGCTGTAATAATAATTATTTCAATAACTAATCGATGGGTAGGTGTTTTCCCTCAAGGGAGCGATTGTATCTCCTCATGGGAGCGATGACTCCGGATAATGGAGTCTTTCCTCATGGCTAATGAGGGCAGCGAGCCGCTCACCTGAGATTGGAGATGATGAGGTTGAGATTGAGGTGCTTGTTGTTGCTGATGGGCCACTTCAGGCATCGCTTGCGGCGGCTTCACGGCGGGATTATGCGGCGGGAGATGAGACGGCGGATGAGAGCCGTGATGTGAATTGTGCTGCGGCAACGGTGGCGGAGGGGGGAGCTTCTCGTTATTGTTCTCGTTAATCAACACCCGGGGTGGGGGAGCCTTCGAGGGAGCCGGAGCCACTCGCATTCCTGCCGGATTGAATCCTGAAAATACCGGAGTATTGGATTTATGGGGATGCTCCCAGGATGGGTGCATTATCATAGTACACTTTTCCATGCGAGATAGTGCCACATAGGATTGAGACTAGATTTTGAGAGCGGGAACTTTGGTGGTGAATTCCTTGAGGTCCGTATTTTTTTTTACCGAATTGGCCCTTCGCATGAGGGGCTAGAATGTGGCCCGGGGGTAGGGACGCCGCTGACGTATTGAGCTGACCGTGAGGAACCGAAGGCGCGGCGTGGCTGAATGATTGGTTCATTTGCTGCGACAGCACTGAAGCAGGTAGAGGCACGTCTTCCGGGATCGTTTGAGGAACTTGATGCATGGCGTTCAGTTGACTTTTAATCGCTGGAGGTGAATGCGATCGGAGAGAGTTCGACCGTGTCACCAGATTTCGTGTGCTCGATGTCGCCGCAGTCCCACGCACGATCGTCTGCCGGTGATGGATAATAATCATTTTAGAGGTCTAGAATTTCCAGGCAAGGAATTCAGAGCGCCGCACCGCGCCGTAGAGGATTTTGACGGTGGAAATCTCGTTGCTGATTTCTCTCGTCCGCATTCTCGACACCGAAGAACTCACATGCATCTTGAGGTCAAGAATCTCAGTGGGAGTTATGTTCGAAGGATCTATGATCGGCTTCGGTCTGTTTGTGTCTTCCGGCGCCACCTGAATTATGGAAGCCCACTGGGGAGGCAGGCCGACGTAACGACCTTCACGTCTATCGAACCCGGTGTGAACTCTGTGTTCGAAGTTGGTGGGCATCGAGATCACCGGCCGCTTTTTCTTCCGGAACATTTTCGAAGCCGTCGACTCGTCAAACAGCGCAAACGATATTCAAGAGCACGTCTCCGACCTGAAAACGAAGGGAAGGGAACGGATTCGCGAGGTTATCGGGGGGACATCAATCAGCCTAACAGGAGGTCGAATCGATCACCAGGAGCTGTTCGGCATCAAAGATAGAACATCGATTGAGTTCATTAGCGCTGATTACCGCTCCCCGCATTCTTGCACAGCGTTGTTCGTAGCAAGGACGAGAGAGAAACTCGCGCGAAAGCGAAGCTGATTAGAGCAGATTAGAGGATCTGAGAATTAGGAGAGCTCTACGAAATTAAATTATCAGTAATCACGCTTGAAAGCCGCTGTGGACACGGATCCCTTTCCGAGCGCTGGAAGTGCTACTGTGTTGTCTGAACTCCTCAGGCTAGGTGAACGGGCGGTCGTGGTGCGATCGGAGACCGCAAACGGAAACCATCAGGCTGTTCTTTAGGAGAACTCACGTCGGTCGTCGCTAACGTCTCCCGCTCGGCCAGCCACGCTCTTTCACCGCAGCTCGCGGACGGCATATAATTAGGTCTCGCTTCCCCAGAACGCACGATAGCGATTTAGCTCGAGAGAATTCTCAGCGGTTCCCTCGAAAATTTTGAAAATGCCTTCACTTTCACTTGTAAGAGTCCCCCTCTCAAACTTCTCGGATCTCGGACCGACCGGGCGCTCACCACCCAATCAGAGAGAGCAATAAGCCGGCACTCCGCGTAAACGACCCAAGTATGGAAAGGAGAAGACCCACCTACTGGCGTGAGCCGCCTCGCCGAAAATACTGGAAGGCACCTTATGAAGTTTTTCGAGAGTTCGGGAACCTGTTGTTCGAATGAATGCCGCTCTTGAGCTCGGGCTCAGGTTTGAAAAGCACCTATGCTTACCTGGCGACAGGTGAAAAAGTTGATCAACTTCAGAGCCGCAACTCCATCAGGGCGGAAAGTCGTATCAACATCGGGTCGTCTGTCTCGGGACCACTCTAGGCTACTCTTCTCGAGCCGAAAACGGATGGAGTTCAGATAATCGTCCGAGAATTCGAGCCGATCATACTTCACAAGTAAATAAATACGCACGCCATCTTGAATGATGAGATGATCCCTGCGTGTCGCGTGGAGCACCAGCCGTGATGTGAATGCATGGATATCATCATCATTGGTCTAGAATCAGACGGTCCGGAACGAACGACCGCAGACAGTAGCCGTTCTAAGCGAAGGGACAGTCGTCTGTCGTCTCCCTCCGCTTCACGTCGGAAGATTTCGGATGAACTCGGTCGGTTTGATCGGTCGAATCGTCCCAATGATATCTGATGAAGTTATTGTTTCTGAGATCTGGCGGTAGGCGGAGTCTCGGTGGGGTCCACAGAGGAATTTCAAGGTGGAGTCACGTGAACCACGACGACGGTGCCAGCGCGTTGTTCGCTTGCCTCCATCTTATACCCCCGGAGAAAGAGCAAAATTTTCGTGGGGCACTGCTGCTTTGGTCCGACACAATCCCTATTAGCCGGTGTCTGGAGCTGGCGATAGCCTGGTAACCTCTGTTGCTCATTTGCGTCACGACCGGAAAAGAGAACAAATTGCTTGGGGCTTTGAGGCACGACGGCCTGATGGACCGGCAGGTTTTTCCTGTCATCATGAGAATCCGTCGCCGGCAGGCTCAAGTTAGTCTAGACCCGCCCGCAGTGGAGCCTGAGTTTTCTACCGGAGACAGCGCCGGCCGGGAGCATGGGAAACTTCGATTTCTGAATTCCGAAAATCAGGGATATCGGGGTTCGGATGGGACGCGAAAAGCGCTCGTCCTCAGTCTTTCAGAGCTCTATAATTTATGACCGTTACACTAACACGGAGAAACACAACGCCCGTGACTGTTCTAACTGAGAGCTCCTCTGATAGTACGGAAGCGAGTATCTGTCCCCTTCCTGAGCATACCCGATGGCGTACTGGCATGCTACTGATTGGTTGTTGGACACGGGCAACATATCCCAGCCATCTATATGTATCCGCGAATTCGGCTTCATTGACAGGGAGCCAAGAATCCCTCTACGGGGTGAAAGACCTCTATCGTCGCATGAGATTCTTCAAGGCACCTCTATCCCTTTCGAGGAACCTTTTGTTCTCTGAGGGGCTGCTCCTCTTCAGCGGACCCGAGCTCTGGGTTCGCCTGGACTTTCAACAGGGGAGCTCCGGACCTGGACCTCCAACGGGAGAGCCCCGGACCCTGTCTTTCAACGGGGGAGCTCCAGCCCGAGATCGGGGGCCATGAACGATATCGTTGCAAACTAGTTCGCCGATTGTTTTCTCAAAGTCGATTTAATGCCGCAATCGCACGTCACCGCTGTCACGATCTTCTCTCGAGCAAGTGACGAAACCCAACCTTGATCGCAACCGTTCCGAAGCAAAAGCAGACGATCGCTTGATGTCGTGCGGCAGGTTCACTGACGTGTCCTGGGTACTTATTGAAGATTTGCTCCTCTTCTCCTATAACCCTGATCGGGGGAGCACATTCACTAAAAGCCGGAATGCTAAGCCGAGATTTAGATTTTAGAGTGTAATCCCTTAGTATCGAGGTTCATCGCTGGATTCCAGAGGAAGGCCGACGTTCGGGTTGGGACTTAGCGGACTCGCGACTTTTATCCGCCTTTAGCAAGATTGAACCGGGGCGTCATGGATGACACTTCCGAGAGGAAAGTATCCGGGCCAACCGCTGGCATCTCAAGCGGGCAAATGTTTACCCATCCTCCTCCTCGAAGCAAAGGTTTCGACGTGTGCGAATCGTCGCATAGATTTCTCGAGTCTTCGTCTGTTCCCGAAATCGGAGAGCTTCGCAGTTTCCAGGAAGGAAACGATAGAACTGAGATTCCGGAGCGGCGAGCTTCGAGAAGACCGTGAGACGTGCGAAGAAAACCTACTGAAGGAGACGAACATGGTTGAGGCCCGATTTATGGCATAAATAAAAATGAATCCTCAAGAAGGAATAGCGGGGTACGAGCTACATTCTGCGTTCATTTCATTGAGCAGCCCCGGGGGTCTGACTCGAGAAATCTCACCGAGGAGTCAAATAATGTCTCCATTCCGTCTTCGACGGGGAAGGGGGTTCTTGACCTTTTTCGAGGAGCGAGCTATCTCGTGGTGATTATCAGTTCAACCCAGAATGAAAACGCGTAATATCATAGCTTCTCCCCCATCCAGCGGAGCAGCCTGCGAGCGCGACGGGGGGAAATTTTAAAACCGGGCTCCTGAGTTCGGCTGAAGCAGCGACCCCTTCGGGCACGAGTCGGTGGAGACGCGCACAAGAGAACTCTATGACGAACAAGTATTCAACTCGCCCTCGCTCGATCCCCCCCCATTTGGGATGATGCCCATGTTCCATCATGAGCACATGTGTGATCGATCAGTCGATCAGTGATCATCAATCATCGAACGCTAGAATTTGAGAAATGTCGCAGAAGCTCGAATTCTCAGGAGGCAGAAGCGCGGATGTCGGCACGGATCCCCCGATGGATTCTTTAGCTTGTGTGGTGCTCTTCAGGAGTTTGAGGGAGGACTGGTCATCGCTCACAAAGTACTCGCAGCAGGCTGCGACTGATAATTTCGATCGCATTCCGTTCATGAGCTGTGGGTGTATGTGGAGAGTATGAGTGCTCGATGCTAGGTAGTAGAAATGAGACTCGACTCCGAGTTCTCGAATTCCTTCCTCCCGAACCGGGGCGACAGGTGGCGAGATTCCATTTTGGAGCCCGACACCCGCGAACGAGTCGATGCGGGCACCCGCGAATTCCAGCTCGTTCTGGCCTCTGAGTATGTTCGTCTTCGCAACTCCGGCTCCCGCGATTCCTGACTTGCGCGATTTTCGCTTGAGAGATGGTCCACTGTGCGAGAGCCCCGACTCGGAGCTCGGCGGTCGGAGATCATCGTCGATGTCTCGCGTGAGGCTCTCCTGATGATAGGCGCGGAATCGACGCTCGCGCCATCTGTGGCCATTCGGTCAAACAAGAACGCATGCGCTTTGCGAAGCTGTCGATCCTCTCGATGTCATGTGATGTTGGTGTCATGTGCTACCTCTCTGGGTGCCTGCCTGCTGCTTCGGTGTGGTAGTCGACGAGAGTCACTAACGCCAAGTGCATTGGCTCCCATCGCTGATTGCTAATCTACGAGTCTTCACGTACGGTCAGGTGAGAAGATCGAGCTCATTGAGTGCTTGTTTTTTCTTTCGAATTCCGCTCGAAGCGAGCGGCGAAAGACCTCGGTGCTCGAGTTTGAGCAACGGATCGAGCAATAGGGTCGCTCCGAAGATCGACTCTCGCCAGAAGCGTCTCTAAATTCAGGATTCAACCGCTTTGGGAACGGAGCGATCTCAAGAGGGGAAGAAAACACTTCGGAGGCACGGCAGTGTGGACTGGATTGAAGGCTCGTCAGTGAGGGTACGGTTGCTCCGGTGCGCGGTCGGCTGTGTCAGTCCGGACGACTTCAGGCGACCACTCCACCGCTGCCTCGGAGGCAAACTGGTTCTGGGCTTCTCGTGATCTCACGATCAGATTGGCAACGCTCCCACACGTCACTAGCTTTTGCAGTCCGATTCAGGAATCGGCGAATACCTATCAGATTGCCGAGTGCATTGTGGATCCCTTCGGGTGAAGAGGGCAAAAGCCAGGCAAGAGCGAAGAGACCCTTGTATTTTGAGGACTTTGAGCGTCCGTGATAGCAGAAGATCTTAATCCAACTGTGGCTAACCTTGTGAGAACTGCATATGTCGGCAGTGAATGAGTCGTTCATCTTACTTAGTCCTTCGTACATACTATCGGTCCTAGGGTTCGTCAAGGTCTAATCGGAGAATTTCTTTCAAGCAGACTCTGATTGGCACACCAAAATGGGGACTTTCTTCCGGTCCGAGGAGATGGCGATGACGCAGATTTTTCTGCCGACCGATTCTGCCTACTTCTGCGTGTCTGAACTTGGAGAACTGGGTCAAGTTCAGTTTCGAGACGTAAGTAACTACTCCCTTTTTCTCCCCGTCGTTCCCAATCACGGAGCGAATGCAATCAGGCACTCGTGGAACCTGTGTAGCCAAATGAGCCCACCGGCCCCGGGTATTCGGATGGGCCCCGCACGTTCAGAATTTCGTGAGTTTTAAAACGCTTCTCTTGTCTTTTTCGCAGTTGAATCCGGACACGAACGCGTTCCAGAGACGTTTCGTGAACGAGGTTCGCCGTTGCGATGAGATGGAGCGGCAGCTACGTGAGTTCCGACCAGACAATCGATATCGTCCAAGCAAGCCGAGGGACACGCTGAAAAATCTCGTGCCCGGAGAGTCGCCATCTAGAATCATCGAATTCTTTGTGTTCCAGGTTTCATTCTCCGCGAAATCAAGCGGGAGTCTCTTCCTATCTACGAAGCGAATGCCAAGGATGTCCCGCATTCGCCTCCTCCCAAGAACATGATCGACATGGAGGCGACGTTTTCGAAAATCGAGGAGGAACTCAAAGAGATCAATACGAACGGCGAGGAGCTCCGACGCACAAATCTTGAGCTTTATGAAGTCATGCAGATTTTACAGCTCACTCAACGCTTCTTCGAGCAGCGTGAGCGCACCGGTAGCCTCGTTCAGCGTGACGATGGATTCCAGCTGATGCCTGCCGACAACATCAATCTCACGTTCCTGGCGGGCGTGATACCCAGGGAGAAACTGATGTCATTCGAGCGCCTGTTGTGGAGGGTTTGCCGAGGAAACGTTTTTATGCGACAAGTCCCCATTTACATGCCGGTCGAGGATCCCCATACCGGAGCCTGGCACATGAAAAACGTTATAATCGTCTTCTTCCAAGGGGAGCAGCTGAAAAGCAAAGTCAAGAAAATCATGCAGGCATTCCACGCCAACACTTATCCCATAAGCGATACGTTCGACGGACGTCGTCAACTCCTAGACAACGTCCGCGGCAGGCTCGAGGATCTCAAGAAGGTCCGTCAGGAAACTCAGGATCACAGGAACCGAGTTCTGGTGGCCACCGCGCGAAAAATCTCTCAATGGTTCATCGAGGTTCGAAAAATGAAGGCGACCTTCCATACGCTGAACATGTGCAACATGGACATCACGTCCAAGTGCCTATTGGCGGAAGCTTGGGTCCCGGTAGCTGACATCGCATTCATCCAGAACGCCCTCAACCGAGGACAAGTCGCGTCTGGCAGCAATGTCCATCCGATCCTCCATCGGGTGGACACCGATGAAGTTCCTCCGACCTACAACAAGACCAACAAGTTCACCAAAGGTTTCCAGAACATCATCGACGCGTACGGTGTTGCTACTTACCAGGAGACAAACCCCACTCCTTTTACGATCATCACGTTCCCGTTCCTGTTCGCCGTGATGTTCGGTGATGCGGGACACGGGATGCTGATGTTCCTCTTCGCCCTGTGGATGGTACTCTGCGAAAGGTCGCTCGCGGCCCAGAAGAGCGACAACGAGATCTGGGGGACTTTCTTCGGCGGTCGATACATCATCCTCCTTATGGGGATTTTCTCAATTTACACCGGAATGATTTACAACGACGTTTTTTCGAAAACCACCAATATCTTCGGATCGGCGTGGCACGTCCGGCAGGACGTCATCATCGACCCGGTGACCAACGAGACCATGAGGCAGGCCATGATCCTTCCGCACGGAGACTACAGCGGATCCCCGTATCTGTTCGGACTGGACCCGGTCTGGATGCTCTCGGAGAACAAGATCGCTTTCTCTAATTCCTTCAAGATGAAAACCTCGATCGTTCTTGGAGTGGTGCAGATGTCCTTCGGTGTCTTGCTGTCCCTGCGAAACCATCTGTTCAACAAGGACTCACTCAGTATCGTGGCCGAGTTCATTCCCCAAGTCCTGTTCTTGATGAGCATCTTCGGTTATCTCGTGATCACGATCGTGCTCAAATGGGTGTTCTACTTCGAAAATACTTTCTGCGCTCCCTCACTCTTGCTCATGTTGATCAACATGTTCATGATGTCCTATCCAGAGCAGCCCGTCAAACCGGAACTCTGCAACACGGACTTGCTCTACGGAGGACAGAGTTTTATCGAACCCGTGCTGGTGGTAATCGCACTGGTCTGCGTCCCTTGGATGCTTCTCGTCAAACCTTTCGTTCTCCGATCCCGACACGCGCAAGCTCAATCCCTCAGAGCGTCCTCCGCTGCGCCCTTGGTAAGCCTTCCCTCCGTGGATGTCACGAAATAATTTTTCTGTCCTACATCAGCATTATTTCCTCTCTGCATTTCTCTCCTATTCTATCATTCGAGAGACGTAAAAGTCATCAAACATCGCTTGCAGAATTCGGACTCCAATCCTGAGGAAGGAAACCACGCCGACAACAAGCCCGCTAGTCCCAGCAACGGCGGGGCCGCAACAGGCGGTCACGGAGGCGGTCATGGGGGCGGTCACGGTGGGCACGGCGGTCCCGGCGGCGAGTTCGACTTCGGAGACTGTTTCATCAACCAAATCATTCATACCATTGAGTACGCTCTCGGTTGCGTCTCGCACACCGCGTCGTACTTGCGTCTCTGGGCTCTCTCACTCGCTCACGCTCGTAAGTACCTGATTGCGTAGATCGTAGGCCGGCGGGGTTATGAACTCTCTCGATTAATCGATTCCGATAACCATCGACTTTTCTCCCCAGAACTCTCGGAAGTGCTGTGGAACATGGTCTTCAGGCCTGGTCTGGATATGACCAACGCTGTAGGATTTATCGGAATTTACTTGGCGTTCGCTTTCTGGGCTTTCCTGACAATCGCTGTATTGCTCATCATGGAGGGTCTTTCAGCCTTCCTCCACGCTCTTCGTCTCCACTGGTAATAATCCTTAAGGCTTTCGAGACCGCTCTTGTCTCGGTCTGTATGTTTCGGAATTCTGAATGAAACTCCTTAATTTCAGGGTTGAATTCCAATCGAAATTCTATCACGGCGAAGGTTACTGCTTCATGCCCTTCTGCTTCAAACAAATGCTCGAAGACGCCGAAGCTGAGGATCGCCTGATTGTCGCCGCGTAGAGCTTGAACGTCACTCAAAAGCACCTGCCCTAGCGAGCTTCGGGACGATCGTTATTCTTACGCCTTTTTTTGTGTTGAACCAAAATCTTAAAAATCCGTGCCACTGGACCCGGTTCCAAAGGTGATGAACCAGCGCTATGGAACAACTTAACTTCAACTGTTATGAGTGTTGAACGCTTCCCGAAAATCGTTGCCCCGTGATCTTATGCTGAATAAACTCACGCTTCGGGACGAAACGAGGAAGATCGCTCAATTCAGGTATATCTTAGGAGAACGAATTCCGCTAGCCTCCGAATAAATTGGTGATCGACTGAAATTAGTGATTCGGGATAGACAGGCTGGCTGTTGAGACCGAAGGGTCTGAACCAAGTCCAACTCATAACCGATACCTGTCGGACAATCTCCAGAAAAATCATACCATCTTCGACAGGATTCCATCAGAAGGCGTCAAACAGATCCTGATTCCATTATCCCGCTGACTAGATCCTGATTGGAGAGCTGCCTCTGGAATCCTTCGAATTTTCATTCTCCTGGGAATTTCATTCATACCCCGGAATGCACAAGCGAGAATGCATTCTTCGGAGGGGAGGAGGAGGGGGGGCTTGTCGCGATGCCGCCGCACCGAAATCCTTTACCGCCGCGTCTAGGGTTGAAAGGGAGACGTTTTCCCAACGACACGAAGATGGAATAGAGTATCCTTACTCCCCGAGCCAGAGGAAGATGGACAGTTGCCGAGGCGAACATCATCGGAGTCATGACCGGGGGGATGTCGAGTTCCAGACTCCTGGGGCATGGCCGCAGTCTCGGGATGGGGCCGGCCCGCATGGCTCTCAGCGGAGAGGGCTGCAGCGGGAGAGCGACCGAAGAGCGGGCCGCGACGAGACGAGGTAGTGATGTTGGTGTTTGCTATAAAAATCCTGATGAACGGCAGAGTTCTCCGAGACGGTCAGCTGTCCCAGACTAGAAAGTTTATTGGACATTTTCGATGAATGAAGTTCCATTCCAAGGCTTATGTTTCATCGTGGTAGAGGCACAACATAATCTGACAGAATATTTGGTTCCTTCCTCCGGTGAGAGCCTGTATGAGTGCGTTTGGAGGTTCATACAACCTCGCGATGCCTTCCGTGGAGCATCAGAATGCCATAGACCTCAAGAGGCGACGCAGTACCGTCCGCACAATCTCGCGCAATCAGCACTGCCAGACAGACGCACCCGGATGCATAAAGCTAGACGAGAAACTCCAGCAAGTGACTCTTTTAAGTAGATTTCCCGTGAAGGGGGAGCAGTAGAAGATCCCGGCCGACTCTCCTACTTCATCTTCTCTGGACAGAAATCACCGTCATCAGCCCTTGGCAATATTCGTCTGCGTCCACTCGCGACCGAGATCGAATTTAACTTGGGGAGACTTCAGTAGATTGCGTTCCATAACGTTCCTTGACGCTCTCGAGGAACGCATGCTCAAGGTATTAGATCCCGCTTCCCCCACGGAAGCCTTCCCTCTTCCCCCCATTTCCACGTACCCGCAAGTCTGGCGATAAGTCACCGCAGCTTACCGGTGTGTAGTTTCACGTCCAGACAGTCGCTGACTGCAGACTCATCCTAGGTGGTCCGCTGACTACTCTTCTGAGGTTTCCGTGCGCTCGACCCATCCAGCCCCTTCGAGCAGCTCTATCCCGTATGTCGACTGCGTAAAATCGATGTCCTTGCACTGAAAATCCTCCGAGAGCGATACTCGGAGCTCCTCCGACAGAGGTCCTCGGGTGAGACAACTCGAATCGCCTTCCTCGAAATTTTGATCGTTGCGTGGCCAGAGCTCTCGTGTCGCCAGTGCTCCAATTGGAGCTCATATCTTCGTCGTAGCTACAGATAAGGCCGGTCAGGAGCGACCGGAGACTTGAGCAAGGCCGTCCACATCCAGACCCTCTGACGAAGGCCCGGAGTGCCCGCGCGGTCCGCAACTTCATCGCTTTGATATCGTTCCTGCAGCTCTCGCGAACGCGGGGACCGATCGCATTCAGAGGGAATGACTGAAGATCTCCACATGCATCCCAGAAGACGCGTTGTAGAGAACGACGACAAGGCCGAACCATGGTGGGTTTTTGAGCTCAGTGAGCAGTCAGCTTACGATTCCGTGAAGACCATCAATGGGCAACCAACCAGTGGATGATTGAGCCCTGTATCTCAAATGGGGATGAATCCGTTCCAGGCTGTCGGTGGTCGGGAAGAGTGCAATGACGGTCGTCATGCATCCATTCGATTACGCGAAGACTTTAATGCAAATCGGCTTCGAGCCGCTCCCTCCAGTGCCCGCGCACACCATCTTCAGGAGGCCAGTGCTCAAGCTCCCTGGAGTATTCGCGTACATGGGGTTTGTTGCCGAACCACGACAGATTTTCTCCTTTGGCGTATCCGGATATCTCTCTGAGCGCATCCCCGGCAATTCGTCCCCCGAAATATTCGCGAATCGATTCCTGGATTGATTCATCTATTGCAGTCATCTCCGAGGAGTCGATGGCTTCTTTGGGCTCTATCGCGGATTAGGAGCGAGCCTCACCGGTCGAATAGTTTACGACTCGTGTTTCGTTTTCGTGAGTATGATCCTCATCTAAACGGTTCCTCAGAACCTTCCGATCTGATTTTTAAATTCGATTCTCCCGAACGCAGGTAACGATGAGACTGCCGCCCGTGGCGTCTTTCGACGAAGACCAACAACTCCTGGTCGGAGATTGTCCCCTGACTTCGGACGGTCAGAAGATTGTCAATTTCATCAAACGCACCGCTCAGGAGTCGGTCGCCTATGCCGCAGCGATCACCGTCGCACAGCCTTTCCGAGTCATCACCATTCGGATGATGGCCGAATTTGTCGGCCGAGAAACGAAATATAATTCCGTATTGGGCTCCTTCGTAGAGATATACAGGGAGGAAGGACTATCGGGCTTATGGAGCGGTCTAGTGCCCAGGATCTACGGCGAAATCTTGCGGATCTGGCTCGCTGCCACGACGGCCTTCTTCATCAATACGTACATCGTTGAGGATCCAACGGTACGTTTCAATCGTCTATCTAGAGAATGATAGCCTCACTGACGCCAATCGAGTCGGCGCATTGATTCCTGCGGAGTCGCTCCGATCTCTTGCTGTCTGACCCCACGGGTCGGAGACAGGGAGCGAACGAGAATAACTCGGCGGATGATTCGGCTAGCTCTCGCGTCAGATCCCTTCGATTCTCTTGAACTACGATTCCAGGTGCGGAGCTATATCGCCACCATGTCAAGCTTCCTTGCCAGCTCGTTGACATATCCGTTCGCGCTAGTCAGCACCGTGGTGTCCGTGAGTGGTGCGCCAATCGTTGCGGGACGTCCACCTCACGTCGCTATCTATTCCAACTGGACCCAGTGCTACACTCATCTCAAGAAGAACGACCAGCTCAAGCGTGGGTCGTCTCTGTTCTGGAGGTATGGGAATCGATCATCGTGTAGATGTTGGAATTGTCGTGACCTAAGTTGCCGCAGAGTTTCGGCTCCCGTGCCAAAGTTATCGCTCCCGATTAGGAGTTCGAGCCCGGAAGGCGGAATGAGCTCTTCAACCACCGCTCACGTTCTCACTCGCAAAAAATTACAGATACTACAACCCGGTCGAGGTCAGCAGAGGTATCGCTTACAAGAAACCAGTGGATTTCGTGAACCTGGATTGAACGGGCTTGTATCCAGGAACTCAGCTTCCCTTGTCTCCACGGAGCAGAGTGTTGCGTCAGAATAGCCATGAAACCAATCAAAACAGTCACGTTCTTTCTCTGTGTTGTCCAATACTGATAACTCTGGATGCCTGGGTAGGATGGGGCGAATGCGATTCGAGGAGAGCTTTAATTAAGAAATGATTCCGAGATTTTGCGGTCGATTCGAGGGGATGAAGGAGCTTTGAGCATGGAATGCGAAATGATCAAATCCTTCATTCTCGAGCATCCATTTCTTCTGCAATAACGCAGTCACACTATTAGAGAGCTTGAAATAAACTTCGGTCGTCTTCCTCCACTTCCTCCTGTGTCGAGAGTCTTCGGTCGATCTACCTGGCCCAATCAGGTGATTCAGCGTCGGCGAAGAGGGACTCGGACCAGGGACCTCCGCTAAACCAGACGACGATCGGGAGGGGGGGGTGTAGCTCAAACAAGCAGAATATTCTGTCCAAGGTTTATTCACAAGTATTCACACTAATACGGAGCCACTGCGAGCAGTCCTCGTGCATCAATCATCATCGACTGCATCTCATGCCAGCTCAATTGTATTTCTTCTGACTCTTGTATAATTTTTCCTGAGCGATTTTAGGACTACATGAGTAGCGGGAAAACGTAGCCAGCATTAACAAGGTGTTGATGGCGTAGATCGTGGCGCAGACAACGCAGAAGTCGCTCAGGACGAATATGAGAACGGCCATGAGATACATCGACATGACGTAAGCCAATACGACGAACCAGACGGTCAGGTAGAGTACAGTCGGTTGGTGGATGAAACCTGGAGGACGTAAGGGAAACATTTCAGTCACAGCGGAGAATCGAGGAGTTCCGGACGCAGAAGATCTGGCCTTACCCAAGCAGAAAACAATCATGTAGAATACGATGCCGAAGGCGCAGTTGGACATGTTTAGCGGCGAGTCTGCCCCGAAAAAACTTCCGAGGAGTCCGAATCCGCGGGAATATCTGATGAATTCGATAATGCTGAATATTTCGAGAACAGTATCAAATAAAATCCTCAGCATGCGAGACCTTCAAGATCAAGGCGGGTCCCCGACCTCGACGGCGACTTACTCAGAAACTAGAACGCGAGAGCACTTGACGTGTTCCGATATATCACACATCGGCTTGTAAGCTGGTGTTGTGATTTTGTTCACCTCTACGTAGAGAGCATACATAGAGACACCGATTCCCATCGCACAAAAAACGAGATGAGCCAGTTGAGCTCGACGATAGGGATGCCAGTCTTTCAGAGGTCTCGGAATCATCGCTCTCGCTCTCGCGAGAGACATCTCGATGGAATTCTGCGGCTCTCTGCCCATGTCTGCCGGCAGCGACGGCTGGTAGGAAAAGCCTGAATCTCCGTCGGGACCGATGAAAGGATTTGCTCTCAATTCCTCTTCGAAGGGGAATCGCTCGGAATATCCGGATCCGACACGAGACTGCCCGCAAGTCGCGCGATGGTACTGTACGCTCCTCGGTCTGTCACCATTGAAATCGTAGATCACCACTCGTGCATGGTCACTTAACGAGACCGTGAATCCTCCGTAGGAAACTCTCCTTGTTTATGCGGGGAGACCCGCAGACGAAGCGGAGGCCCCGAGTCTGAGGGCAACGGATGGATGCGTTTACGCGGAGCTCTTCTCCAGCCCTCGGCTCGCGGGAACCTCTCCTCTCGAGCCATCGGGAGAGCCACGACACGACGCATTCGTGCGGTTGCGCTCTCTCCAGAGCATCTTCCGCTGGACCATCAGCCTCCAAGGGTAGTTGGAGGAACTCCTATCCATCTTCTTCGATTGAATTCCCCCGGATTCGGTCGGGCAAGGGGCCGGTCTCAAGCCCGGAATCCCACGACATTGGGGGAAGTCTGGGACCAGGGTCGTGGAATCAACTTGGAGAAAGCCCGCGGTCATTCGATGGGAAGAGTTTAACCTTTTTCTGCATCCAAGTAGTCTTAGCGCCAATGGAAAGTTGGCTGCGGTGGCGCGGCAGAAATTCACAGTCGCATCGTGTCCGCTGGCCCTGCCGGCCTCACGCTCTGTGATTGCGACACGTTCAGCAATCTCTCTGTTTCGCGGTAACTATCGTCATACGGCAGAATTGTCACGACTCCTGTGCTGCGGAAAAATTCCCAAGATAACGATCTCCGGGAGTCTCGAGCTCGCAGAGATCCTCTGCTGAGTCTCGACACGTTTCGATGCTACTCGCGAGAGAAAGGCGGATCCGGAGGTGATTCGAGATCTCCGGCTCCTTCGATCTCCGCGCAACATCGATTGCAGAGGCTTCTTCCTCATAAGCAGGACGACGTTCGGAGACTGTAGACTTGACAAGATGCTTCCTCGCCAGTTCGGAGAAGCGATAGTCAGAGAGTTAATCTAGCCTGAGAAACTCACTAGTCAGGCTTTCTCTTGACATCTACGGATTCCGAAGATTCCGTCTGGATTGTGCCGTTCGGATCTCGTGGAACTCGTTAGTCTCAGACGATTTATGGATCAGGATAGATTGCTCTACATTTCCAAGCACATTTACAAGCTTTACATTTACGAATCGAGTCACGAGCGACAGTGTTGACTCAGTTGGGTAGCCTTTGTCCCGAGTGCAGAACGTAGCAGATTTCAGAATTATCCGACTCCGCTCTCCATTGAGTGGAATCAAAACTTCATTCTCCGATTCCGTGATATTCCTCGCCATACATCCCTCCTGGAATTGGACAAATTCTACGAGGGCGTAAATGAACTAAAAGGAACCTACGGAGTCGTCTCCTTTCAAATAAAGGGCAGCAATCCCGCCTGCTCATTTCCAGCCGCAAAAGGCGGCTCTCGTAGGAGCAAAGCAATTTTCAGCTTCCTGGAGCAGCTGCCGATTCTTATGAGCACCGAGAGTTCTTCAATACGACGAATAGCTGCTCATGTAGGCGTAAAGACGATGCAAGAAAAGCGTGAAGTTCACTCCAACAAAGCGAAAACTCGTCTTTGTGAAATTCGAGAATATCGTGACTCCAGAAACTGAGTTTGTTTATTTAGAGAAAAAAAAACATTTCTGCCACGACATCTCTCCGGGGAGACCGACGAGAATGAGTCAATCGTTCTGGTCGCTTCCGGAGCACGAGATTCAGGACTGTGCATTAATCGCGGGATTCTTCTCCGAAGATTCGGGGGACTTTTCATTTCCCGTAGACTCTCTACGGAGAAGCGGCTCGAATTGCCGCGAGATTCCGCGGACTACATCGCTTGCGCGGTGGATGCCCGGCTTAAACGTAAATCTTCACTTTGGATCGAGCTGAAACATGGAGAGATCCTGCTGAAACTTGATAGGAATCACGGTGGGACTAATGATGTCCTGTAAGGATCGGTTTTTCCGAGCCATTTTCCTTTCTTAACATTACCGACTATCCTCGTCCCTCCGGGTGATTGCTCTGGCACCAAACAACTCGATCGGGGCGACAGTCTCTATTTATAAGCGCCGCAATTCATTGTTTCAAATCGAGCGCCTGAGATTCAGAGCAGCACAGCGGGCTAATTAGCGACTTTGAGCTAGATCCGCGGAAGTATAATTTTATTACACAAGCAGAAAAAAATCATTCGGATCGCCTTGTTCCATGGGAACAGAAAATGCTCAAGAGGGATTAATCCATCTCCGTGGGCTCTCGAAAAAACAGCCGAGCGATTTCCACCGGAGGTCAGCAAGAGGCAGCAATCGCGATATGAAGTTGACCAATTGGAGAATGATCCACCTGATTCAATTCTACTTGACCCGCATCAGACCGAACCCTCGAAGTCGATGGCTTATAGTCTCTATTCAAGCGATAGTCGGACATGGCCCACATCCTCCCACTGGGCTTCCCCGATTAGCTGGGAGCTTCCCTTTTAGATCAACTAGCTCTCCTTCAAAAGAAGAAACCAGGAGCTCACATTCGTTCCGTCTATCAATCAATTGGGAGAAGCTGCTAACGCTGCCATCAGACCAAGATCCTGACCAAGATTCGTGACCAAGATCGAATCTCCCGCTGCTCCTCACGCAGCAGTATTCTGTCAGTCTTCAAAGGTAAAAAGTGAAAGCGAAAAAATACTCCCGGGGCGCGTCGTAACCGTGCAAGACACCTCTCATCGTCGCAAGATTTGGGCGGCACCAGCTTGAGTCGTCGATGATCGACTCCGGGCGACTCCTATCTCCGCAGTGAGAACGCATCTCGTCCGTTCGTTCCTCAACAACGATTCCGAGCGATCACCTGTCATAGCCCGAAAATCATACAAACGGGTGTTTGATGAGTCGGAGCAAAGCAAGCATTCTATTATGGCTCGGTCTTGACGCTAGACCGTCGGCATTGGACGAGGTCATCGTTAAGAAGTCTGGCTGTCGTACCGTAAACTTTCATTACAGCTCGAGCAGCTGATTAGGCCAATCCCGCATACGACACCCTATCGGCGGCTCGGAGCGATCAGAATATTTGCGGGCTAAACGTTCCGTCTTCTCGAAAACCACACTCGGCTCCGGATTTCTGCCGGAGTATGATCTGTCGGGAAGACCGCTCGATTTTCGGGCTGAGTGAGCATCGGATGGGAGTAGGAAGTTCAAGAAAAGGAGAAAGTGCAGACGCCGATCGGATGGGATAGAGGCCCACGCGATGAAACCCCGTTTCTTGTGAATAGTCGAAGCTCATTTAAATCCTTCTCGTGGTTTGAATCTCTATCCCTCTCGAGATCAGCCATCAAGACAGGGCTAAGCCTAGATCCGGTCCGATAAATAATTTAAACTGAGACGGTCAAAGGTCGCGAGCGTCGCCAGAGACTCACATTCGCACGAGCGAGTCGTCTACCGAGTTCGCGTGGTTCGACATTCGCGAAGGCGTCGATAGCGTGGAGATACTCCGACAGTACTGTGCAAAGGTCTCGGCTTCCGAACGTCGGTCGTCGCCGCGCGAATAAAATTATCCGAACAAGCAAATATCACGAGGACTGTACAGAAATTGTTCGTTCCGTCCGAACGTCGCCGCCGTCTGGCCCGGAACGCTTTCTTGTGCCTTTATTGTAACCAAATTCGGCTCAACGCAGGTACTAATGAGTCCCTGTCAACACGTTTCTGGAGAGATTGTATTCCTGTCCGATATCAACTGATCGGTGTTTTGCGACGCCTCGAATGACGTTGACTTTCTCCGGGCTGATGGTGTTGGATACGTATCGGAATCCGAAGATTTCTTCAGAGATAAGCTGCCGTTCCAGAGGATCGACAGAAGAGACCGAAACATATGTCAATGCGTAGCTAAGCGGTGAAAAGAATCGGGAAGCGAGGATCTGCGCCATGTGACCGATCAGCGGAAGTACTACGTTTAGCGGGGTGATTAGCATTCGGAGTACGATACACTGCGTCCAGGAAAAGAGGATATGTCGAGCAACTTGGAATGATCAAATTTTTCTCAGAAAGTTATGTACATGAGCATCATCGGCGGAGGACTGTCCGATTGATAAGTGATAATCTATGCCTTGATCGTCGCCAGGTCAATGTCTAGCTTAAGCAAAAGATTCTATCGCCGCGGTCGTCTTCATCGATCGCCGCGGAGTTGTCAGAACTGAGTAGGACAGTCAAGCGAAAAGTGAAAGAGATAACGTATTTCAGTGAACGATGCGTGCTTTGCAGTAAAAAATTCAGTGATTGGTACAGTCACGTGAAAAGGAGCGGCGGTGTTTGTCAAGTCAGTGTTTCGGCCCTTGGACTGAATGAGAGTGACAGTACTTTTGGTGAAGGAAGTCGCAGCTACGGACAGGGCGACGGCGGCGGGGAAGGCGCCGCCAGTAAGCCCGATGGTGAGGCGGTAGCGGCGCGGTTTCGCTTGCGGCGGCGGCGGCAACGCTCAGACATTGGCCCGCAATAGCTTGTCGTTTGACAGACGCAACCTTGTACGTCCAAATCTTAATCCACGTCCCTTGCAGTCCTCTCCTCCCTGTTTCCCTCATCCTTTTCAGGAGAACTCCTCTCTTAAGTGAGTCTACGTTACCAGCGTCTGACCGCTCACTCACTTACCACGCAATTTATAGCCGCTCAGATCTACGGCGGACAGTCGAGAGTTGGAGCTCGCTCGAAGCGGAGTCATTGGCGTTCACATTCTGGAGGCTTTGAGACAAAGCATCAGAGAGAATTTAAACAACCAAAATTAGCGAAGATGGAAGCTGCTCTCGAGCGATGCGATACGCTGTTCACTATGGGTCACCACGTCGAAGGGCTTGGGACCATTGTGGTGCATGAGAAAGACCCTTCTCCAGAGGTGCAGTGGAGACTAGCCAGAGCCATCTTCAAAGGTCAGTTCGTCTTCTTTTCTTGGTGCCTATGTCTTAACCAGGTGATCCGTAACAGGGATAAGTTAGCTGAGGGAAAAGAAGTTCGAACGAGCAGCCTCTGGATCGGGAAAAAATAAGAGAGAAGTACTCCAAAGGCGGATCTCTGGTCAGCCTCCTCGTGCGAGATGACGATTCGTTCCTTGCGCGAAAGGTGGCGGCATTGTTATTGAGCCGAGTGGAAGCGGTGATTCACTTGAAATGTGCGTGGGTGCTCCATTCCACCGACCCGGCTCCCACTTATTTCTACAATATTTGGACAGCTTTCGGCCGGATTCATCGTTTCATAATGGATCTGACATGCCTTTCGGAGCATTGTAGCTTCTCGGTCCGAAGTCTGCGCGGTGGACTATTCCAACTGTGGTCAACTTGTGGGAGGATCCGACCGGATCGATTTCGCGGGTGTAAGCCCAAGGAATCACGAGAAAACGATCTGCATATCCGGGAGCGCCGCGGCGTAGCACGGAGTTTTTTTCGCGCCTTCTCGCTCTTGAGCCACCTGGAGATTAGGCTTTGCCGGCCTTATCCGAACAGAGCTTAGGCGAGCGGGATCGATCGCAGCGTAACTCGAGGTGGCTCGTGTGAAATATTTAAGACGTCGAGTACTAGCTCAATGATGATGCGTAATTTCTATTTTTTGCGGGCTCCATCGGATGGCGCGACGATTTTGGAGCGGGTGCGTAGAACCAAACTCGATCAGGAAATATTTACAGACGCTGAATCAGCTCGTACGACGTTCTGTTCCGGGTCTTTTCTCTCTCCGTTGAGCTAAAACGAGACGCGAGACGAACTTTTTTTGAGAAATGTTCGCAGTCGAGAACATCGAGCCGCGACCTGCTTCTCCGGTTCCTCCCCTCCGGGGAGCAGCTGGAAGAATCGGCGCTCCGTCTCCTTAGGCTCCATTCGGAAAACCTTCCCGTAGGCGACTTCTCATACGTTCCCTACAGGCCGTAACACACTGAGGTAGACCTTGAGTGCAGATGATAATTCTCCAAGCATGAAAGGCGGTCACTCTACTGTCATAGGGACTCTAGGGACTAATCTGTGCACCGAAGGTTGCCATCGAGCGACGCAAAGGGGGTTCGCGCTGGGATTGACGACTGATTCATTTGGAGATTTCGATTCCCTTAAATGAAAGGAATTCATGGAGCACCTAATTTTCATCGAGGGAATGCTTCGGAGAGCCTTCGGGCTCACATCTGTCCGAATATTCCTGACGAGGTGATGTTACATCCTCAGAGGCTGAATTCAAAGGCTCCGTCCCGAAACACAAGGCCATCGAAGCGAGCTTGAAAATCCTCACCAAAAACCTGGAGATCGCACCGGATTGTTGGAACTCGCATGTCTGGTTCGCCATCATTCTAGGATGCAAGGAGAAGCACGAGTCTTTCAAGCAGCAGATCGAAGAAGCTTTCATCATCCGGGAGCACTTAGACGTACGTAACTCTTCCTTTCATCATTCCCTTAGTTCCCCCCCCCCCCTGCTCGGACGAAAGATCGATGCTTGGGAAGATCTGGTCAGCTCTCCATGACAGCGAACTCATCGGTAAAGCAAGAGATTCGAGTCCTTGAGCGATCACCAGTATCTGAGTCGCCTAAACTCTACGGAGAGACCCGCATGGCTTAAAGCGGAACGTCGTCGGTCCCGTCATATATTGAGCGCTCATATAACTTCCATGGCTGACAAAAACCGCTCTGGTCGAGCTCGATCGATCCGCATAGCAACGTAATGTGCCGTGTTCAGGTCTTGGTCGCTCGGGCGCTGAAGCGGCCAACTGACTGACTGAGTGACTTCCTGACTGACAGACTTGCGGACGGGCTGACTTGCTCGCTCGTTAGGAGACGGATTCACGAACAGTCAGGCGGACCGGCAGCGGCAAGGAGCTGCTTCACTTGATTCGCGCTTGATTGAACAGATCCCTCACAAACTCCGATGCATTAACCGAATGTCTCGACCAATTTAGAAATGCATCGAGTTGAACCCGGAATCCGAGTTGGCGCATCATGTACTCGGCCAGTGGTGCTACAAGGTCGCGTCAGTGAGTTGGCTGCAAAAGAAAACCGCTGCCACCCTGTTCGCAAAACCTCCAGAGTCGACGTTCGAGGAGGCTGTCAGCCATTTCAAGAAAGCCGAAGAATGTGAGTCAAGAGCTTGTTCTTTTTAACGCAGCTGAACGTATATCGTGTATACGAGACAATGCTGCGGTTGGCGTATCGTTGATTGTGTTTACCGTGTTGGTGTTGATGCCGTTGTTGTTGTTGCTGTTGTCGACGACGACGTCGGAGCTGGTGTCTATGTCGGCGACGCTGGCGACGATTACTTCCGTCGCCGATGTACGTTTAATCAACTGAATCGCTGCGAGCTGTGGCCAAAGAGGCGCGAGCACTCACATCGATTCATTTCTTCCAGTGTCTCCGGCCATCTTCAACGGGAATCATCTCTGTTTGGCCCGGACTCTCATCGATATGGGCAGGAAGCAAGAGGCACCGGAATATCTCAAGAAGTGTCTTCAAATCACCGAGGAGAAGAAGACCGATAAGGACACGCTCGACAACATTGAGGAAGCCCAAAAACTAGCGAAGAAACTTGGTCTTAAGCTTTAAGCATATCTTGTCTGTCGATCGCCTGTTCTTTGGACGACAGTTTTGTTCGAGTATTTCGAGTGGCGAAATTGTCACACAATACATTTCTAGTCGAAAAGTTCCGCTGCGTCCGATAGATAAGGGATTCTGGTTCCTTCCTATTGGTTTCCTCATCGACCGGATGCTCAGCTCTCGAATGTTAGTGAATATTATCTCCTATGAAAAGCGCAAAGACAAAGACTTTTAGAAAAATATGTTGAGTCCGGGAACGAGTTTGAATGTTATGAGTGCCGGTGTGAGTGTGTATGGACGATTCGAAACGCAAGCATGAGATGTGGAGAAGACGGTACGGACGAAGGGTATTTCTGAAGGATTATAATAAACAAACCGATAATTTATTGCGAAAAAAATGCACCTCTCGCTCGATTCATCTGGGTAACAAGGCTCTCCGAGTGGCGTATATGGACCTCCGGAAATCCACGGTTATTTCCCAGCTCCCCACGATCCAATGCACAGTATCCAAAACGTCCTACGAATCCTCACTTGCGGGTCGTCAGAGAGGTCCATGCGGGGCCTCAACCGGGAGGTCTCTCGGAGCACTGGTCTCGACCATTCCGATCGCTCTCTGCTGAGTGAGGAGGAAGCTCAAGTAAAGTCACGATCCGTGTGCGCTCGCCGCCTCCGAGCAGGGGAAGGACTTCGAGATAAGGAACGTCAAGGAAAAGTTATTCGGGAAAATTGAGGCTCAACTTATTCATTGTCTTTATTGCGTTGTTCCGAAACAAGAGCTGTCAAACGAGCTTGACGGCAAAATTCGACAGACCGTCGACAAGATGTCCACAACAAATCTTTGCACCTACTCGATCAGACACACACAGGTTTCAATACCCGTCAATAACATATTAAGCATGTACACGCCCCAAATCAATGGGGAACGTTTCTAATACTCGGAACAGAATCATTGAGCAGATCGCTCCTCCCTCCCGTTCCTTGCTCCAGCTTCGACGCGAATGGAATAAAACTCGGTGTTTCTATCCTAAGGGACCCACTTCCGCCTGACTCCATGTCAGCAGCCCTAATCGACGCTCTGACAGTTAGCAGCAACGGGTCCCAAACCCCTCACAGATAGAGGCAAGACCGCCGAGAGCGGTCAGCTGCGTTGACTTTTTCGCCAGTATGAGATATGACCACGATTCGTTCTCCTCGACTGCCGCACTTCGGCATGGTCTACGTTCTTAGAGGAGCTCACTGGCATCAAAACCATTGTCGTTCCCTGCTTCTGCTTCCGCATTGGAAGTTGAAGCGCTAGCCTGTTTTTCGTTCTCGGCTTTCTCCAGGTGCATCTGCCGAAGATTCCTGGCAACCTTCGCCATCTCGGTGTCCATGTGTTTAAGGAAGGGATGATTCAACGCGTGGACGATCAGGTCGGGTTCACGTTCATCGAAGCCCTGTAAGAAGGAATACGTTGTTCCAAAGTACACCTCGAGGCTCAAGCTCCGATACCGATCGATAAGACGTCGATAGAGATCCCGGGATTCTCCGAAATCGAAGAGATCCTGGTAACTTGCCTTGAGAAGTGTACTCATGATATCGTATTGCTCCTGATCGAGCCAGCCGGAGCCGTCGCGGAGAGCTTTCTGGGCGGCGATCTCATCCCCGCGGGCGATCTGGATGAGAATTTGATAAACGACAAGTCGTCCGGATAAGTCGCCACTGGCTCCGTCCTGTTCATAGCTTTCGCGCTGTCGGAGCACCATGTTGAGAGCGTCATCGTAGCTGGAAGGAAAAGCTCGATATGAATCGCGAATTCTTATCAATCTCTTTCAGCTTTCCGACAGCCTGCGTTTCTCGACGAGCATTTCTACAGAATGACTTCTCATCGGAAATGTCGTGAGATGCAGACAGATCGCGTTTTTCGCCCCCGCAGGCTCCTCCGAACTACTTTCGACTCACTCCTTGAGTTTCAGAGCCATCTTTAGAGCGTTCCCGTAGAATTCCCCCGCTTGACGATTTTTCTCTTCCATGAGAGCAAGCTCGGCCCCACGTTTGTAGAAGGCGATCGCATCCTTCCAGTGGCTCTCTTGCTGTTCCAAGATTTTGGCACCCCTCTCCAGGACCAACGCGGCGGAATCGATACTCCTGTAGGATAAATTGCACCCGTCAGTCTTGATCGGAACACCAAGGGAGAAGTATATATTCATGCGATGCCATCTAATCCTTTGATTCTGATTGATCTGCACTCATTCAAATGATTCATTCCAGATATAGTCAACATGTTCCTCACCTGTGCTGGACGAAAAGATTGCTTGCTCTCTCGAATAGAGCGGCGACTTGGGCAAAGTCTTTCATATCTCTGGAGACTAGAGCAGCCGCTTCAACCTGCTTCCCGGCAGAATAGAAAGAGCCTTGTTTCACAAAACAGTCCGCTGCCTGGAAAGATCAGCTTGGAACTCAAGTCTGTTCTGAGGAAATAAACGTCACAGAAAATAAATTCAAATTGCACACTTGCTACAAGATTCTCTCTGTGACACCCGGACCGCGTTAAGCACGACATGGGGAACTCACTTTCAATAGAAGATCTCGCTGCTTCTCATTTTGCCCGCGAGCCAGCTGAGCCGCTCGTTGGTATCGATCCGCCGCCAACTCGTAATTAGGTTGTCGCTTCAGAAAAGATGTTTTCAGATGTTTCTCGGCTTCTGCCAGACACTGCTCCAGCTCGACTTCTTTTGCGCTCATCTTGCCGTAGGCTGCAAGAGGTACAAATCAGCTGATCCGGATTTTCGGCCGGGATTTCCCGTCGGAATCCGCAAAGAAAGACCGGATTGGATGTTCGACAAAAGCTCCCGAGTAATCTCTCGGAGGATACATGAAAAATCGAGGGACTGTCGGTACCGATCCTCAATAGAAATTCGATCGTCGGGTTCTCGATCAGCTGTCCCCGTGAGGCTATCGTAGCGAATCCGAACCTCTCTCAGAGAGGGCAGAGAAGAGATTGTTCGAGCTTTTCCAGCACAAACGAGATAGACGTAGCAGAGTCCGGATTCGAAAGGCTACAGAAATGCGAGAGCTCGTCGGTCGCTCTCCAGACAGCCCTGGACAGAGTCAGAGGAAGAGTGTGATGAACTTACTTTAGATCTAAGCCACAAAGAACACGCTCGCTCCTCACGCCGAGCGATTCCTGTTTTCCAGCCACTTCGAGCGAAAGGATCTGTCAACAGTCAACATCTGCCAGCCCATGGTGGTGGGAGGAGGGGGTTCCATTCTGAGCCGACGACGTCGTATAATGCTCAAGCGCTCGTGAAGCGGGCATCTAGACAGGTGGGATTCCCATCGAAAATGGTCATTCGTATCATCCTGATCGAATTTCTTCGACTCTCGGAGATCATCCGGATTGCGGCGAATCGAGAATCATGATCTGAGGCTACAAGAATCTGGGAAATTCCCTAATCCGTGGAGTGCGCGATTTCTTCTGCATTTAGCCCCCGGCCTACTGTTTTTGTTGTGGTTGCAGAGGAGGAGAAGTTCCTCTTCCTTGATCGTCGATCGTCCCGCTTGTTTTGGTCGGGGTCATTTGAACACCTAGGTGTTCCTCCCTGTCAGCATGGATCCGAGGGATCGTTCAAAGGAATACCGCGACCCGCAAGTTCGCGTGAAGGAGTGAGTTCCTTGATGGCTCGCATACTGAGCGTCGGAAGCGGAGCGTCGTGATAATTGCAGCTTGACTCAAGTCTCCTCGTTGATTTCCGATGCTCTGATCGCTCTTTCAGTTGGAAACTTACAGCCGAGCCGCAGAAGTACGAGTTAGCTCGATCATACTACCACTCGCCCGCGGATGAGGACTACTTCTACAAAATACGCGCCGTAGCCAAGCATGTAACAATGGTCAGCTTCGGCTCGGGCATGCTGTACGAACACTTGCGAAGACAGGAAAAGAGGATCTTCCCGCTCCTGGGTGCCGGCGTCATCGCCCTTGTTCCTGCCTACATTGCGACTGGTATCTTCATGGCCAGTAAGTTGAAGAGCTCCCGTCTATCTCATCGGGCCTAATATCTGCGCGCTCCAGGCGCAGCTCAGATCTCTTTCCGACTCTGGCTCGCTCTGATAAGTTCTCGGAATGTTTCAGCAAACGCCGCGCTTGCAAAGATCAGGGGCGAAGATCGTGCTCTGAACCATTTCGCTGGTGGCTTCTTGGCCACTTATTACCTGTTGGCCCAGCTGAAATTTAGAGCGAAGAGCCCCCTCTCTCTATTCATGGGCGTTGCTGCGGCCCGTATGAAAGTGAGTATCTATATCCTAGAAGTACATCCGAACAACATGACCACCGCATTGGCCCGAGCCTACAAAGTTTCCTCCACCAACTCGAGGTGTTTTGGTCTGACTCTTTAACCTCGCAGATCAGGACCAAGTAAATCTCTTCGCTCCTTACAGTACACGAGGAACATCGAGATCACCGAAGGCAGGATGATGTTCAATCCTTGGGACAGGATCAATGTTATCAGAATGGAACCGAGTCCTCTCACGCACTTCCTGAGATTCCCGACACTCCGCAAAATGCCATCGGAAACCCCGGAGGCCTAGTTTCACCGTTTATGAGAGAATGAATAAAACTTCTGTAATAGTTGGCGGAGTCCCGTGACCAAAGGCCGAGGTTTCGGGGATGCGGGACTGTTGATCATGCGGGCTGCGGTTTTCCCCCGGCTGCCTCGGACGACTCGTGGAACCGAGTTCTGAGCGGCTTGGAGGGTCTTCCACCGGAGGGGGGGGCATGAGTTGGATTCCTCCTGATCGAGGATTGAATCGAATGATTGTGCTTAAAATTTATTCGACATGTCAAGATCACAGTAGTTCCCCATCGCTGGTCTGCTGTAAGCAGATCCGGGTAATCAGTAGCATGGCCATCATCTTCCGTAGTGAGGATGTGTGGCTAACAAGAAATCTCAGAAGTGATCTCCTTATATCGAAGCCGAAGTTTGGCGCTCCCTGGGAAGAAATCAATCTGCTTTTCACACAGCGTAGCGTTATCTCTGGAATACAGCTCCTTCTGTGAACAATCCGAAATGTAGGATGAAAGCCCGTCGACTTGGGGCGTGTTGAGACGCTCCGAGCAGTTATTTGGTCATGTATCGAGCCCGTATGTGAACGTAGAACCATTCCTTCTCTTCTCGAATCGAGAGAAGAGTCCTTTGCATTTTTGAAACGAGGCTGGCAGGATGGTCTCCTGAGTGCGTCGCCAGAGGACTCCGAGCCGAGCCTCACCGTAGACGAACATCCTTAGAAGAGTTTGTGTTTCTTGGCGAGCATTTGAGCTTCCTCGATATTCCTGATCGATTCTTGATCCTTCCCTTTCTTTTCTATGCATTTCTTGAGGTATTCTCCAGCTTTATCTTTATCCCCCTTTTGTAAGAAGCACTTCGCTGCCATCAGGAAACATGCGTTGAAAATATCCGGATTCACTGAAAGACCGAGCCTTATTAACGAGCACCGGGCCCGCCGGACAGACTATAGTGGCAAGAGCCTATCCGCTCGCCTCAGCTCATCACCGATACTTACGGGTTTCGGCTCTCATGAAATGTTCCAGCGCTTGCTCGTAGGAAGACTCGGGAGGTGAAGCGAAAAGGGCGGCAGCTGCCTTCCTCTGGATCCAGCCGACAGAAGCTACTTGGAAACACCACCGACCCAGCACATAGTGTGCGTATCCGTCCTTCGGGTTGTAGTGGAGTGCTTTCTGTGCGGAACACCGAAATATTAATCGACCGAGCACCGTCTCGATGTTCGAGCATTCAAGCTTTCTCGCAGAATAAATAACCGAATCGAATTCTCCGATTGCCGCTGGGCTCACCTCAAGATGCTCTCGGATGATAAAAGCCTCTTCGATTTTATGTTTGAGCGAATCGTGTTGGTCCTTTGAAGCTAGAAGAATGGCTATCCACTTGTGAGTATTCGGGCAGTTGGGTGCAAGTTTGAGGTTTTCTTCGAGAGCTACGATCCCTTCGTTTATGGCTTTCGTTTTCGCCGCAGCCTCGCCAGTCTTCTCCGCGACTACAAAGGAAAGAAGCGATAGCATCATTGGAAGAACCGCGACGAGGCTTGCTTTCTCGATCGGAATCGAACGAAACGACCCTGGATTGAGCCATACCTTTGAAAGTCATTCGAACGATCCGCCATCGCACTTCCGGGCTGGGGTCGTCTTGGGCTTTCATGATCTCGGCGTACGCCTCATCATAGTCTCCTGCCTCGTAGAGAGTATCGCACTTCCGGATTGCGTCGGCCATCGTAGCTCCGAAAGCGAGCGCAAAAACCGCGTCGGGACGAATGAATTCACGGTACCGATGTTGTGTTCTAGTCGCGGTCGCGAGCTGCAAGGAAATTGTTCGAATCGAAGTCACTAAGGCGAGGCGTGGAGCAAGCTATTCGTAGACCTAGAGAAGACCGACTGATTGGACGATTCAATATGGAACTCTTCTGATGGCGTTCGAGGCAGCGATGGCTTCGACGCCTACCACGCTCACTCCTGCGCGGATGCAAATTCCCTGATGATCGACTAGAACGCGATCCCAGCTCGATCGAGAACGACACCAGCTCCCATTACAGAATCGCAGAACAGTTCACATTCCGTAATTCTCCAGGAATCGAATGTGACAACGACCGTTGTGATTTGAGTCTTACTCCGTCCACTCGAAGAGTCCAGAACAGCGGAGAACACGCTCTCGACGGCTAGACGCCTTCGCCCTCGAGATTCTCTGATTATTTATGGGTGCTTAATCTCAGCATTCCACGTCACTCTGATAATGCACGCTAACACGAAGACGCTACGTGACACTGGAACGCGGCACACATTTTCAACAGCAGATATTCGCGTGTTCAGCCAAACAGCTGAGATGTGATTTTCGCTTCGACGAGATCATATGTCAGTGGCCAACGGCTGCCCTTCGACAGACCAGAAAACCAGATGGGGTGGGAGTTTCTCCGACCCGGTCCACGTCCCGTCGATTGAATGGTATTTAGAATTCAGACAGTGAACGATAGAACAATTGAGCGCCAAACCACGGACTAATAAGTCGGGGCATTACTGGGCGGGAGTTCGCGCATGTGAAGCAAAAAAAATCAACAGCCTTTCGGTACCACGACCCCCTATTCCTACAGATGATAATATTTCGCAACTTCATCTTATCCTGGATTCTTCGCTCTCGTGAACGCGCGCCCTTCCTGCGGACCGCCTGGGGTTCCCTGAACATTTGAAACGACGGTAATCGCTCCCCAGGGTGAATCGATATTTCCGGCTGACACCAGTCGCTCTTCCGAATGGGCCCCGCTTCTGGCGGAACACGTGTTTCCGGAAAGGAACAGAGAACGTCTGCCCTTGAGCTGAAAGCATAGCGATCGAAACTCTGTCATTCCTAATGGAAAACGTTCGAATCCGATCTTAGGAGCTTCTATCCTGTCACAAACATCGGAGCCCGCTGAACGCGCCGTAGTAATGGCTTTGACCTAGAGGATGAAGTCAATAAGACCGGAAATTCATCAAGGAAAACGAAGCAGACGGACGCCCGAGCTCCACTGCAATTCATCCGAGTCAACCCCTAAGTTCCGATCGTCGTCTGACTGAGTCTCCCCGAAGGCAACCGGCGCTCAGCTGACAGGACCTCCCTCTCTTCTCGAAAACACCTACGGAGAGAGGGTTCGCAAGAAAACAGTTTTCTCTTCGGAAAACCACACTGACCTGTCTGTGGAGTTCTGTGGCTCTGAGGGAGGCTCTGGTCCACCGAGGGAGTTGAACCCCCAGTCGGAACGCTCCCCTCGATGATGCCCACATCGTCGTAGCAAATACTCGTCGACGTTGATCTTTGCTTGACGCAAGATACGACCACAACCGAACGCCACTGAACCAGCGAGCCTTCTGGTGATGAATGGGGAGAACCGAATCTTCAGTCACCGCCAAGCGGCAACAACAACAGCGGCAGCAGCAGCAGAAGACGACCAGTGAGAGTTCACCTTTGGCCAGACGTCGTTGTGTCATAGGCAAGAGTTTTGAGCCCTCACTCTTCGTTTCGACTCACTACGATACTAAATATAATTCCGTGGAAACTGCAATAGCGTCAGCAACAAGAAATCTAAGCGCTCAAATAATATAGTCCCCGCGTTTTTTCTATGAAACAGGAGCGTTCTGGACTCTGCCCGCGTAATCTCTGTCAGAGCTCTCTGTCAGGAGGCCTCTATATCGGTGCAGTCAGACGCTAGGCTCGGAATTCTCGTTTCAGATGAGGGACGGAAAAGACTGCGCGCTTCAGTCATCGAGAATTATCTTCCATCTTCGATACACACACCTCGGCGCTCGATGGATATCCCGAGAAACTTCTAGGTACTCAGGCGACATGCGAGTCCAGCAGCACATCAATGACTGGACTCGCTTTTCCCCATATGTCCTATTTATTCCGAATCCTGACCGATTTCCTCGAAGCAGCGAGAGACGGGAAGCCTCGATATTTTCGAATTAGGGTCTCGCATTCATGAGAGCATACCGCGGATGCATCTTTCATACGAGTGCAGGTCGGGATTTTGTGCCGAGGTACATCTTTTGTGACATCACCTCGGCTTTGGCTTGAGGAAAAAAAGAGAGGATAAACGCGACTTTCCCTGAGCCGTTTGAATCGAGAAATTCTGCAAGAAGCGGAGGAAGAGCATACAAGACACATGTACTTTAGCCGGGGGGAGGCTAAAGAAGGAGAGGTGACGCTTCTTCACGGATTTCATCATTGGTGGAACGTTCCCGTCTTCGTTGGTGAGCCTTCCGACGAAGCCGATATGTGAAGACGCGACTAGGGCTCCGCGGCTATCGCGGAAAATTCTAGAAACAGGGAAGAGGAAACTCAAAAAAAGGGAGAAAGGGGGATCTGAAGAAAGGGTCCCAGTGTTTTGGGAGATACTTCGAGACTGTATGATGAGCTCTCGCTTGTAGCGATAAATCGATTCGAGTCCTTTCATGGGAACGGAGTTTCCACAAATCCGAGATCTCCCTCTGAACGCTACGTGGTCACTGCGTAAGGCGTATTGATGAAAATCATACGGACGCCTGGTCTCAATGGAGTGCTCCCCGGCCCTCGCTCGACTAAGTAAGACGATCCACATCCGCATGGATCAACGATCTGCAAGAGACTCCTCAGGGCACACGATATCTTCAGCATCTCGGAATCAATCCTTTATTTATGAAACATACATAACTTGGTGGTCGGACCGCTTCATGTTTGATCCGACGCCCCGCTTGATTGAATTTGAAAGATATGTCCGAAAGGAGACCGATTGAGTTTTTGAATGCTTGCTTCTTGAGTCAATAATCAAAATATTCATCATTTCTATCACTCGGATCACAATGATCGTTCATCGATCAATCGAATGACAGGAGGATGACGGAGAGCAGGCAACAACTTGTATATCAAATATCAGGAATGCTGCCATTCAACGAAAGATCATCAAAAGGTCGCGCTGGACAATGTTCGGGCATGAGCACCTGCTTTCGTCTTGAATTCATTAGGTTGTCTGTTCTCGTGGACTTTATACACTCGACGATAATGGCGGCTCAGGATCGACAGCATCTCTCAAATATCAACATCGACCATCCCATTATAGTCATCAACGGCATTGGTTATCATCCTATCGACATTCGGGGCCACCCAAACGGGAACGGCTCGTTCAACTATTGTTTTCGATTGAATTCGCAGGAAGGGTCCGACTTCAGGTTCGTTCCAAGAAGATCTCAAAAATGAAGCTTCAAACTCCATTGGCTGTCCATGTGGAACGCAGGTTTCCGGATCGTCACCGTGTGTTCTGAATGGGAGAATTCTAGGAGCTTCTCGCCTGGGAACAAGAAATTTAGGTCACTATTATGTCTCACAAGGGTATCCTCTGCCTGCCAGTTTTCGGCTTCAGGTCAAAATCGAATCTCATATCCGTCCTTATCCGTACCGTCAGTGATTTTCGTAGGTAGTTCCGTCAGCCCCACGATGTTTATCCGCTCGACCCAAGCGGGCGTCTCGAATTTCCCGGGTCCGACGAGAAGCTGGTAACTCAGGACCCCTTGTCTGTACTCAGCCAAAGCGTAAATCAAGTCTCGTTTACGATAGTCGAACGAAACCTCGTCATCCATGTACACCGTGCCTGCGAATAATCGAGATTATTCCTCGTCAGACTCATTGCTAAGAGACCTTGGAAGAGATCTTCAGCTTGAAAACTCTATCGAATCTCCGAAAAAACGCAGCTGCCATTGCTCAGATGTAGACTGAAAAAATCCTACCATTTGCGAAAGTTCCAGCTTTGTCTAGCGCGACTGTCAGAGTATAGGGGTCTCTCGCCTGCAGGGCGGAACACCTTCGGACGCGTTCTTTCGTGAAGAGGATGGATCCCCCGCGTTGGAAAACCGGAATCGAGTGGATAGTGACCGGCTGCACCAAGGTCTTCCCTCCGAGGAACTTCTGTCTCGTCGAGATGTCGTACCTGGAGGAGGGCGGAATTGGTGGAGATCTCCAAGGATGCCAATACTCGAAATTCCTCCGTGGAGCTCTGAGGGTCGTGGGACATAATCCCAATGAGTTTCCCACGTAGCACCAAGGACTCACCAGACGGTATCCTTCCCGGGGAAATAGATGTTGACACTAGTAGCTCCTTGCTCTAGTACAGGCCTCACGAGCAGCGTATCGCCGACGAGATGACTGTCGTCCAGCCCGAAAGCTTCGGTATCTTCGGGGAAGTTCCACCAAAGAGGTCTCATTGGAGGTTGGGCTTGCTGCTCATTCTCGTAAAACAAGGTGTACCATAAGGGGAGCATGCTATATCTCATTCGGAGCTGGTCCTTGACGATGGAGTTGGTGGTTTCATCAAATAGCCAAGGCTCCCGCCGTTTCGTGTCGTGGTGTGCGTGTCCTCTGAAGAACGGTTGCCACGTGGCCATCTGATACCAACGGGTGGTCATCTCGTGATCCGGATTTCCGAAGAATCCTGACACATCGGCCCCAACGAAGGTGATACCCGACACGGACAGGGACAACAGCATAGGGATGGTGATGCGAAGATGGTCCCATTTAGCCATGTTGTCTCCAGTCCAGACAGCTCCGTATCTCTGAGATCCTGTGGGATATGCAAACAGACTATCAGTCGGAATGATATGCATCTCAAAACCAAATTGTGTAAGACGAACACCTCATAATCAAGGACATTCCGTTCATTGATCCTGTTCACTTGGGCAACCGAATCATGCAATACGCCGCCTCGCCATAATTTCCTGATGATAGACGTGGTCGCTCCGGACGGAGACAAGGAGAGACGTGCGGGGCACGATCCCGGCTTGTTTCGCAAATTTCGTTATGGACAAAGAACTCACCGGCGAAGAAAGACCGAGTCAAGACGAACGGTCTCAATTTCTTATTGGACCGTCGCAGATGACCCTCGTACGTGGCCATATGCAGCATAAGTCCGTACATGTTGTGGACGTCTCGATGCTCGAGATTGCCGAAGTGTTTGCAGTCTTTCTGCATGGTCACCTCCGGTCCATTGAAGACAGAGGGCTCGTTCATGTCGTTCCATGTGAACAGCTGTTCAGTGGATCCCTTGTACTGATCGAGAGCGAACTTGTCTGCCCAGAAATCGCGAACTGCCGGATTGAAGAAGTCGAGGTACGACGAGCTCCCGGGCCAACACCAACCGTCGTAGTCCACACCGGACTTGTCCTTGATGTAGAATCCGTTTGCCGATGCTTCAGAGTGGATGAAGTAGTTCATGTCCCGCTTGATATGCGGATCTATGATCGTGACCATGCGTCTTCCTTTAGCGGTGAGATTGGTGATCATCTGCTCCGGTTCGGAGAATCTCACCGGGTCCCAGGTGAAGTATCGCTTGCCCTGGGTGTGCTCGATGTCGAGCCAGATCACATCGTAAGGTATATCGTGTCGATCGAAGCCAGCGTCGACGTCGCGTACGTCGTCCTGATCGTTGTAGTTCCAGCGAGACTGATGGTAGGCAAGAGAGAACAGCGGTGGCAACGGTGTGACTCCCGTGATTCCACTGTACTGCTTCGCGACGTCCTGCGGGGTCGGGCCCACCATGAAGAAGATGTCGAGGATTCCAGTCTCCGAGAACCAATGAGTTTCTCGTTTGCTTTCCTGTTTCTGATTGCTCACGAAACCGACCATGGATGAGAGCATGCCCCCGTTCGGGGACTCGATGTCGACCCAGGTCTCACTTGGATTCAGGTAGAGCATGGCCACGGTGTGCTTCTCGTTGTGAGCCATCATGTACGGTACGGCGCCGTAGAGCGCCATCGGGTTGTAGGTCTCGTACTCGAAAACGTCCAAATTGTACAATCTATACGGATCCGTCTTGCCCCTGAAAACACGACAAGGTCTCAGTTAGATGCGCTCTCGCATGAATAGAATCCGGGGAAGGGAGGGGGGGGCTGTGAAGCCGAGGAGCCCCCTCACTAAGAGTCCGATCTTGTCATCCAACTGTTCCCGTCTCACATCGAGCAGGACCAGTCGATCTGCGAAAAGGACGCCGATAATGCGATTCCACAACCAAGCTTCGGTCAGACCCAGGCCCGCGTATGCGTACAGCGTGAGCTCACGGCAATCAGAGGAGGGGGAGAATGCACTCGAACAGCGAGTAGGAACTTTGGAACTTACGTAAACTCTGTTTCGTTAGTCGTGTGACTCACTACGGCCAGGCCCCTATCAAGTAACAGATTTAAATATGCACTCAAAGTCGAAGTTTCATAGCTCTTTTTACCTGCTGCTGAACAGCCAATTCGAAGCCCACCGTTCGTTGTTCCTTGATTGCGTAAATTTCTACGTGAGCTCCAAAATCGGTACGCAAATTCGAATCACCCATCATTACCGTACACGGTACCCGGCCGTAGTTTGGGGAAGAGTGGCCGATACCTAAGAGCGACTCGCTCGCGTCGGTCGCTACATTTCTCGGGAAAGAAGTTCGGGGTAGACTCACTTTGTCGGGCTGAGCGCAAATTTATCGGCATGCTCTGGCAGACCGTAGATGAAATCGAAGCCTTCGAAGGTGAAATCCATTCCTACGGACATGGGTCCGCGCTCCTTGCTGTCGGTGTGTGCTCGGAAGGTTTCCTCCCAAGCTCCATCAAGGTCTTCGCCATCGGTTTCGGCGGCGCTGGGCTCATCGACAGCGGCTTTGGCTCCATCCTCCGGTGGATCACCGTCCTCTACCTTCTTAGCCTCACCATCCTTCGGGAGAAAATCGTCAATTACAAAATTGGTCTTGCCACAGAAGAGCGGCGGATTCCGTTGACGGGAAACAAAGGCAGAGGGTGTGATGTTATGCAATTGGAGTCACGATTTGGGATACGCGGAAAGCATGCATTCGCGAAGGAGATACGGCAATTCCATTCGCGGGAACCGCATGCGAGGAAGGCTGCAAGCTCGAGCTCGAGGCTCCCAAGTCCTACACATCGAATTCACAGACGACTAGAACTACCCAGATTCCGGCGAAGAATTCGTCGCCTAATCGAAATGGATCCCTGTCCTGATCTCGTAAAAATATGGAATTTAGCAAAGCTCTCTGTGTTCCAGGACTAATCGTACCCCGGTTAGAAGACTAAGCATGGACATCTGTTCATAGCCACGAAGAGAGACTCCTGAGAGCATGGAGAGACTGAGTGATCAGACGTGATAGCCTGACCGGGAATTCTGACTCCGACATTTGCGTCTCGAGTGCAGGAATCCGGCATGGGCCGGCTAAAATCGACCCCAAGTCAGACAGACCCTTCGGAATCAGCACGATGTCCGAGGCTATCGCTACCAGCTTGGTCCCGGTCAGCCTCAGGCTAGATAATTCAGAGATACTCTTAGGATGTCCTCTTCAAGAAAATCCAGGATAAACTCACCACTATCTTCTCGCCTCGTTCATTATACTGGAAGGAAATGAGGAGAAAATTCAGATGAGCAAATCAAAAATTTCTCCAGCGTTGCTGTGTATTTTCCCGCAAAAGGTGGTTTGTCATGGTCCTACCGAAACTTTCGTCGCGTCTTCTTCCTGTGTTTGCTCTTGATGAACTTCAGCTTCGACGTCAGCCCTGTGGCGGGAGAATAAAGTCTCGTTAGCATAAAAACAGGCCAAATCGAGGGTCAAACCTCGTGTGGTGGCTTCCTCGTACCCGAAGCCTCACATTCGAGAACTCGCTTCTTCGCCCTGTTACCCATTACCCACTAGCTCATCTACACTGATGAGACCGATTGGCGCTAAATTGAAAATTGGACGAGCCAGGTAGATGCATGCTGGGAGCCCTGTGGAAGGTGCTGCTCTATCATTTCGGAACTCACTTTTTCTGCTCCCGCTCTCGGTAGTGCTCGAATTTCATCAACCCTCTGCCGTTGGCTGTGATCACCAGCGTCTCCCCGGAGTACACCTCGATTTTGAATGGATCCGAGAAAATCACAAGGCGATGCTCTTTATTTTTCCCGAAGGAGGCTTCCATTTTTTCTTCCCCCTGAGAGGTTATCGTGACCCTGCGAGAAATAATACCAAATACAGGCTAGCGATCTCAGATCCACACGGATCTACAATCTACATGAATCCTGTCCCTTACGACTAAGAATTCTGTCACTCACGGTGCCTGGGTGATACGATCTTGGAGGGCAGGGAGGGCTACATATCTCTTGAAGGGTGACCTATCGCTTTCATCGATCATCACGCGGATTGACGGTCCTTCGTAGGCTTTAAGATACAGAGTGAATTCCTTCTGATTCAAAGTATTCACCAGATCCAGAGCTATGTTCTCCGAGTCTATCTGAACGGCCTTGGACGTGGAAGCTGCGAAGGGTGATTTCCCTGGTTGCATCCGACGATTCCGCCTGGAATGGGATTCCTACCGTCACAACATTCTTCTCCGCACTTCATAGGGACCCGCGTCAGGGTCAGTGTCCCGAGGATGATATGCCGAGCGAGAGGGAGAAGCGATTGTGGTGGAAAAAATACCCCGATGACGAAATCATATGTTGCTGGTGCTCGATCGAACTCCAAAATGACGAGACATCTCTCCCGAGGGTCAGAGCCGACAATCACACGAGCACGAAAACAATCCACATAGCGGAAGCTAATAGAAAGAGGTATGCATGGAAAGCTTACCGGCAGAATGCGCTTTGTTCACATGTTTTGAAGTTGCTCCTATCGACACCCCACGTCGTCAGGGTAAAGAACCCCAGGATTATACAGAGCCTCCACATCCTGCAAGGGAATTATCCAGGTTTTACGACGCTAGACTTGACGGTCTCATAATGACCTCCAGTCTCGGCACTACAAGGCCTCGAGCTACGCGATACAAGCGGAAACCTCGCGAGAACCAATCTCGAGCGGGGATTTGGGAAAGAAAATCAGCGTTCAAGCAGTCGTTCGATCCGACGATGATACTCCACTCAAGTTCCACCTGAGCCGCAACGTGGCTCCAAGTTCGCAGAATCTATTATTATTGATCGATGGCGGCAGGGTACAAGTCAGGTCTGGACGTGGAAGATGCCTTATCCTCGCTCGGACCGAATCCCTGTTCGAAGGGAACCCTCACACCGCCGTGATTTTCCGCGGCCGCTCTCCAAGATCGCAAAGAATAGAAACTCGCTCAGGGACTGGGAAAATCTCATCCTTACGCTGTTACCAAAAACGCAGGTCTTGCGGAGAAAGAGGTATAGGTGGCGGCCGGGCTGTGGATCTATCGTATCGCACGATTGAGATCATGCGATTCTCGAAAGGAAATCGAGGAGATGTAGAATCATATCATTTCAGTATAGGAATAGGTACATGGAAGCTTCGACATTCGAATGTTGAGCAGGAGCATCAATGGAATCGATGATTCCTTTTTTCTGGATATATGGCGATGTTCTCCGAGGAGTCCAAGGTCCGAGTTTCGAGGAAACCTTCGGACAGCCGGCTTAGTATTAAATTTAGCAAAGTTTCCAGGATCCGGGGAAGCGCAGAGTATTCACCGGCAGGTACGATGACGTGAGTTAGTCAGTACCAGGGAACACCGAGCTCTCCTCGGAAAAATATCTCAAGTACCTCCCCCTTAAGAATCTATTTGAGCTACTAAGCTGCGCGAAAAACTTGCCGAAACTCTCAATTCAAGTAAAACTTCACCGGGAAATTATAGTGACGTATACCAACCTGAAGGCCGCTATGTTGACAGGTTAGCAGACGATACGTCCCAGAAGGCGCGTGTTTCGAAGGTTTCCCGAAGCTCTCGCGAAACAGTCGATGAGGCTCGATTGGAAATTTATACTATCGTCTCGGATGCTAACGCTCTGAGCCCTGAGGGGGTTCTGCGTCGGACAGCGGCTCGAGCCTTTTGTGAATGAGGCTCCGCAATAGATTCACGCAAATAGAAGGTTTGCCGGACATGCCCGGCGCGATACCGACGGGCCCGTATGGAGGGAGGGAGAGAGGATAGACGACACGCAAAGTGCATGTGTTAGAAGTGCACCGCTCGGTAGATATTCGATAGTCATCAGCTCGGGTTCGATTGTCCCAAGGAAATACTCGAGGCGGCTCATCCTTCCTCATCACTCTTTCAATCGGTGCCTTACAAACGTTCAACCAAAAATGGTCAAGATCGCTCTCGAGCTCAATGCGAACCTCGAGAACCTTGTTCACCTGGAACCGGCCGACGATTCCTTCGTTTGGTATTTGAAAGTTAAATGTGGAGGATGCGGTGAAGTCAATGACAATTGGGTTTCCGTGGAACTCGAATCGCGCCAAGTAAGGTCTATTCTCTGAGTCAATTATTCGTTCTGCTCCAAGCTGCGGACGAATGATTGTGCAGGAAGCCCCTGCACCCCCTGATCTTTCTGTTCCCGTGATTTGGTGGTGCGTGGCCTGAAACGTTTTCTGTTTCGAAAGGATATCCCGGGCAGTCGAGGTGATGCGAATCTAGTCATCAAATGTAAACTTTGCTCGAGAACGAATACTCTCGACATCATCACAGATTCCCGGAAAGCTTACACAACCTCAGAGAAATCGCAGAAGATCATCGCTTTCGATTGTCGCGGGCTGGAGCTTGTCGACTTCGACCCGAGGTATTGATTTTCCGTTATGATTCCCGTCTCAGTAATCTAGTTAAGATCACTACACTAGTGCTACCCTTTTTTATTCGCTTCTGTCGATTATGATGAATGATCGGGGGGAGATTCACAGTGCATCATGGACTTCGGACGGGTGTCTCTCGCGAATATTCTTCTGCCCCGGAGCAGAATCGTCTAGTTACGAAAAATTCTCATTTCGTTGCAGAGACGGTTGGGTGGCGAAAACCGAGGAAGGCAAGGTCTTTGACGAGGTTGATCTCACGGAGAAGGAGTGGACTGACTACGACGAGAAGAAACAGCAAACCGTTGGGGTCTACGAGGTCAAATGGAGCTTCAAGAAACTGTGATTCGATATTGCAAATACATCAGCCAGATCTCGTGATTCGTTCCGCTCGTATTCTTCAAACTCGCTTCTTCGAGCTCGTCAAAACCAATCTCGAAACCCGTAGGGATCATCCTATGCCCAAATTCAGACAACGAGGAACAATAAACTCGAAATAAGTGGAACTTTACTTCAGAGGATTCAGTTTCCCGGACGTCCTCCGTTCTCGAACAGATTTCCCCAGTTTCTGATTAGGACGGAATAGTACCTAGAATAAAATGAGGTACCTAATCAAAATAGTCGATTCTTCAGCTGCCAACATTTGTGTACAACTTGAACAGGAGTTTTTATCAACATCATCATATACAATAATTACAGAATCAGAATCGATGTGAACTTTTTCTCTCGATCTGTTCATGGAGTCTATGTCTTGTCTACTTATCTAGAGCGAGTTTCCTGAGGGATACAATTATGAGTTTTTAAAGTATTCAATGGATGCGCTGTGAGCATGTTCTAAGATGAGGAACGGATCTAGCCGACTACGACGAGTTGAAACGATTTTCTCGTGCAACATGTCAATTTTCTGAAGTGGACAGCAGGGAATCCCAGTCGATGGGTGTCAAAATGCATTCCAGAAGTTCTGGACCAGAACACGGCGCCATTCGATGCCGACGGTGGAAGACTCCTCGCGGGGGAAAGCGTCGAGTCCATGTTATGCTCCGACCGAATGGGAGTATACGTTCATCTTTTGATTGGTCCTGCGAGCGGAGTCTGCGCCCATTCGGAGAACGCATTCAGACTCGCTTCCGCTCGATTCGGCCGCTCTGGGGAATTTCGTCGACGCGTTGGATTCCTAAGACACAAACTCGAGTCGCCCAAATAGCCTCGCTGAGCTTCGCCACGAACTTCTTCTCCTCGCCGTTGGCCAACTGCTTCTTTTGCTTGCAAGGCTTCTGTCGCAGCTGCAAAGGAATAGGAGCACGATTCATGAAACCAGTTCGAGAAGTCAAAATTATTCGAGGACGGTATCCTCAGCGCTCATATTAATGATATACATTAATGATAAGAATCGAGGGAAACACCATGAACAGAGCTCTCCGGCTCTGAAAGAATATGTTTTCCGGAGACACTCGCTTCGCATGTGCAAGGCTTCGTCGGCGCATCTTTCCGAGAACTCGGGGAAAGTGTTCTTCTGGAGAAATTTCTGTGGAAAACTTGGCGCGCAGACGTACCTTTTCGTGGCAGGCGAAAAACGCTTTCCGAAGAGCGCATTGGGCGTTGTAATGATCCATGCCGTCGAGGTAATGCACCAGGCTGAAGAGCTTCATGAAGTTTTGACCGCAGCGTCGCAGAGCGATTTTGTGGCACACGCTGGGAATCGAAACTGCAAAAGTCACGATTTGTTTCAACGCATCTTTGAATGATGAATTTGCAGAGACGTGTCTGAGTTACCGTACTGAAACTCACCGAACTCCGGCTCTTTACTCAGCCCTCCGTCATCCATTGGGTCGATAGGTTTAAGTTTACGGCGATGACCGCCTTTTTTCTCCTTGACGGCTGCAACGCAGTCCAATGAAGCCACGACGATCACTGTGACAGCGATCGTCGCGAGGTAGTTCAGCTTCATGGCGACGCCTAAAAAGATCTAGGATCACTATTTTCCCTTCTAACGGCGCATTGTATCAACAAATCGCTCGCGGACATGAGATGTCCCATCTATATTCAAAGGTTCAATGCTGTGTTCGGATATGTTTCCGGTGCTCTGAATTTCTGCTGACAGAACTGCGGTCAACTTAGAGACACGAGAAGAAACTAAACTCGGGATCGCCCTTCCGACTTTGGTTCCCACGACGACCAGCAGGGAAACTCTGATATTTCAGAGAACTCGGAGATGACATCCGATTCGATTCCCACGGTCTTGCGATTTATTGTCGAACCAACGGTATGCCTCGCTCCCTAGTTTGTGCACCACACGGAATGATGGAAGGAAAGCTCACAGATTGCTGTCTGATCTTTGCATGAATACGAATTTCTTCGCAAAGGAACCTGATCTTTTCGCTCTGAGCTGTATAATAAATCAGCACCTGTCACTGATTTCTCGCGAATTCCGATGCACCAAACCGTTTGTCAAATAAAGTTCGATTTTGTTTGACTTTTTCTGCGAAGTCTGGGTGCAGAAGAAGAACTTCGCTTCGCGGGAAAATTTCAACGGCCGCGCGAGGAAACCGAAATGATGGCGACGGAGACGAGGCGCACCGCGCCGGTGGTGACACCTCATTGACTTGTCCGTGTCAATCTATTTGAGGAATTCCACGAACCGCTGTTGTCCTTAGAAGAGAGGGCGGCGAAGCATTCGAGGAGGAGAGAAGTGAGGACAAACGGACGGAAATAGTATTCCTGGAATCCCGACACGCTCCTGCGGCGACACCGGGTGCTGACGTAGGAGCGACGATGCGGCCGATTCGTCGAAAGCTCACCGTACTCAGGACCTACGATTATTATTATCGTAAATTGAGCACCTCGACCCCGTCTGCGGGCTCCCGCTGGATTATTCAATTTCCCTGGAGTGGAATCCTCTGAGTTGGCGTAAAACCCGCCAGCAACAAAATCGGCGAGTTCTAAATCCAGTAGATGTCCCGTTAAAAATATTCGAGTGTCCTTGACTTTTGTCAGAGCAAGATCCGGGGCACGCGAGTCGCGGGCCCGTCCATTACAAGGAATCAATAGCGATAGCTAATGGCGAAATTTCGGAGCTCACATCTCGCTTAAGGAACGATGTTGACAAAACGGAATTACCAGGAACTCTGGTTTGGTCTATTCGCTTTCATTCTGCGCTGCCGAGGTAGCTTTTCTGAGTGAGAGCCGGTGCGGCGCTCGTTCTTTTCAGCGAATTTTCGATCAGCTTTGAAATCTGAATCTCGAGCCTCGGATTCACCGTCTGGGTCTGAATCTCTTTCTCAAAAGAGCTGGGGATTGAAGTTGCTCGCCCGCACATGTCGATGATTCATTCGGCGCCGAAAGTCCACCGCCAGCAGTACAGCTAGATCTCAGGCCATTCTTGCTTTCGAACGGGACGAGAAGACTTCATGAATCAGCCGAAAGTCGACACAACCGTTAAATGACTCACTCAGACTTCAGAAGCCCGGTCGCATGACGTCATGATACGTGGAGTGCTTTCATCCTGCGTACGTGCCGCTGCGCGTCAGCGAGTTTCACTAAAAGAGTCCTGTTCATTGCGCCGATCGATTCGTTGAATGAAACTCGCCCCTAATAGACTTCGACTGCTCGAATTCCGCATCCAGAGCGAATCCGAGGAGCATCGAGAGAATATTCTTCGGCCACCAGTCCAATCCACGGCAACCCTAGGTATTTCGGGTCGGAGATCTGACCGGGGGAAGGGGAAGGGATTCGGGCACGTACAGAACTCTGAGGCGGACAGGACTCGGAGCCGAACAGAATTGTTGAGGGAAAAAATCGCTCGGATATTCTGCTTATCAGAGGAAGGTCTTTTCTTTGTCCCTCTTTTTGCGAGAGTCGCTCGTCAGTGAAATTTCGGGGGATTTCGGATGTACCGAGCGGCAACAACCTCGACTCGAAGGTCGGTTCCGAAGCTGCTGACAATGAGTCCCATGCCGACGTCGCTGGCGCCCGGTGGGGTGCCTTCCTTTATTTCCTCTGGTCGTCTCCGGTGTAACAGGCCGCTGTTAGTTGGGTTCGAGCTTCCTAGAAGGGGCGAACCTGCCGGCGCGCCGCCGCGAAAGAGCTCTGAGGTAGATGGTATTCGTGCCCCAATGCTCTGCCTCCTCATGACGATCCTCGGGCTAATCGCCCGATACTCACTCATTCAATGCGGCTGATCGAGTCATGTAGCACGCCGATCGATGCTCTGGTGAGATCGAACTCGACTTGGATCCGCGATTAATTATTGGACTCCAGCTCAGTCGCTCCGCTAATTGCACGAAGAGTTTAAAAGCAGCGACACTATCGCTCTCGTTTCATGGCGGAGTGACTTGCGGAAACTCCGAATGAGGTTATTCCTGACTGGACGGCCCTATTCAGAGGCGACGACGGCTCGTCAAACTTTCGCGTCGAAACGACCTTTCAAAGTACCCGCGACTTTCCAAGGGGGAATTCTCAGAGTCTTCAGAGAACCCCAAAGAAACCCCCCGAGCTGCTTAAGACGAATCCTCTCCACAGGAATTCTTCTGGGCTCCCGATGGGTCGGAACTCCGCCGGAGAACAGCCCAACCTCTAATCATCTTCGGTAATTCGTCGGTTCTCCGTTCCGGTCATTGTGGTCGGCGTTGAAGGCTTAGAGAACCTCTATCGAAGAGGTCTCCCGTGTGGCAATTAGGCTGTGCACTCCGGCAAACCTCGGGCCTTTCGGGGAAGCGGCAAATTCAGAGTTGCGTAAAAAATCTCCTCCCTTCCGATTCACGTGTCCTCAATATGTTCCGCATAGACTTTTGACTGTTCACCCCTCGACCGTCGATAGGGGGCTAAGAACCTTCCCGGGTCTGTTCGAGCAGACTTGAGACCAATCACCAACCGCGATTCAGCAATCGTATACTTCACCCTGAGGGCCGCGAACATTATCGTTCTTCTGAATGAAATACCTAGCGATCTTGAAAATGTCGAATGAATGCTGGCGGCTGAGCAAAACACACTGGCGCAGCTCCCCGATTTTCCTTTGGTCTGTCCTCTCCTTGGGTTCCGTCTAGATGCACAGCCTCAGAATCTATGATAATGGTCGAATGCGTCCTAGTTATCGTCCACAGGATCTCCCTCAACCTATGGTGCAACATTACGATAACTCTGGGGGAATTCGTTATTCGGTCTCCCACGTCTGTCGTCGATCATAGTGGTCAGGAATGCGCAGCTCCCACAGTCAGGCACCCCGGGAGCATCAACAGCTCCTTGACCACCGTTCGGGACGCTCACAATCGGGATGAATCTACCATCGAAGCCCCCAGTTTTCATCATAACACGCTGCGTGGATGACGCCGCAGTCTTCCAAAATGTTTTCCTAAATTCTTCGTGCGATCAGATGCAGAGCGAGCCAAGTTATTGAACACAGAGTTCCTAAACGTTCTTTCCATCCAGCGAACTTACTTTGTTCCGATTCCGGGGACGGAAAATAAATCAGACGACGATAACACTAGTGTTCCGGATGCAGAAATCGAACTGAAACCTCTTTCTTCCGTTGAGTTTGCGAAGGCAGAACTTGAAGACACGATCGTTGCTTGAATGAGGCGCCAGTGGTCCTTTGAGGAGGTTCTCGGCGCTTTGTCGACTTCCCTCGCCTCTGTGAGAACCGATGCGGACCCTCTCCTTCGTAGACATGCTCTTGACGTCAGAGAGGGTCGCTCCAACTCAAGCCGAAGTTTCAGAGCCAGCTCTGTGAGCAAGTGGCACGCGGTAGCGACAGATACGATGGCAAAATACTTCTTGTCCGATTCCCGAGCCAGTGCTTGCTTTGCCTGGTCCCGAGGGAGCAGTTTCCTTGATTTCTCCGATCAGATAAGCCCCCCAATCACCTGTTATGAGGTCTAGGAAGCCCCTCACTGCTGAGAGGACGCGCAAATATTAGCAGATTACATCGAGTGTCTCGTGCGTATAAACCTCGGGGAATATCCGATGTGTCACTGGTCAGCCGTCTCAGACAGAGGATGGTATGCTTGCGGAGGGCACGATAGCGGTCGAGCGGAGGGCTGGAGAGGTGGCGAGCAGATGACCCAGATAGATGGGCTGCGAAGCCGGGCATTCACCGAATTCGAGATTGAGCCATTTCCCCCTGAACTCGTTCGTCCAAGCTCGCAGACCCGACCCTTCCTTACGCTACCGGAAACGTTCGATTGCTCCAAAGTCGTATCGTCGAGTCGCTCATTTCCCTCCCCAATGAATCAGACTCTCGATTCCAGGATGACAGCAGAATGAATCACAGTCGACCTATTGTTATCTTCGTGGCCAAGCTGGACCAAGATATGGGTAATGCTACAGTATTAGGCCGAGTCGAAGCCTCCTAGATCTACATCTCGAATTCGACAGCGCACATTCCGTGCCAGAAATAATCAGCAGAGGAAAGTTTCACAGAATGGATGTCCTAATCGGGAGTCCTACCATCGTCTCGTGACACTGTAAAAACTGCTCCATTAGAGGTGGTCGGAAGCTCCGCTGCGACGGCTCACCCCTCCCCAAACCGCGGGCCTGTCCGTTTGGGGCTCGGAATCCGCGCTGAAGGAATTCCATTCCATGGGTTCTCCCTATTCAAAGCGATCGCTCGAGCAAAATTTGAGCGGACGAGAGACTTACAGATGAAAATGAGGATCATGTCCGCGACTACAGATATATTTAGATCAGTGATCGTTACTCCACCCTGAACGTTCCGGAGCATGAAGTATACGATGCGAGGCTCGGTCACTCAACACTGATAGCCTGTAGCCTAGAAGAGGATTGTCCCTGCCATCGAGATTTGAGAGCAGATCGGAGCTTGATCGCGCGGGCTCCAAGCAGGTCCAAAAAACTGATATCGACAGAAAGGAACTCGAAATATGGACACCGAGAGATATCTTCAGAGTTTTAGTTTATTGGAATAGTCCGGGAAGAATCCTAATATGAAGATCAGTTCATCAAAATAAGATTCTTCCGCGGTGAACACAGTAAACATATACGAAATCCTAAATCTTTGGTTCATTTCTGTCTAAATGCAGGACTTCATTCTCGACATGAAATCCTTCTCTAATCTTCCCCCATTTCAAGAAACGTCCGTTGCCGGAACAAACTCCGTAAAAAGTTGACAAGAAGTGATCATCGACGGAGCCTACTTCATTCATTTGGAGCCCCCGATGTCAAAACTATTGAAAACGTGCAACAAATCGAGCAACGACTGCTCTATAGTCTAAGGCTGTGGCGAGACCCCCGGTTCCGTCGAGCCCCCGGCTGCCTGTTTCGGTAAATATTTCCAATGCTTATTTAATCCTGCCATAGGCTCTATAAAAGTGCACTATAAAGAGTTTAACAATCTCACGCTTATTTCATCTCTGTTGGCTCTGAGCGCTGATGAATACTGTCATTTGCGAGCATTTGAAGGAGAGTGTCTGCATCCTGAGTCTGATTCCTGGAATGGGACTCGTAGGCGCATTGTTGAACGAGCATTGAAGTACTGGTGATCACGAGCATGAATCTCAATCTTAACAAGTCAGCGGACTTTCGCAGAGAGGAATTCCCCCCCCCAAGCTGACTCTTGAATGTCGGTAGCTCATGGAGAGTATCCGACACTGGATGGCACCATATAAGAACAACATAAGTACTAATATGCGAAGTATTCCTATGCTTCTCAAGAATTGGCGGTCTCTTTTGCATCTTCTGGACTCCGTCTGCTCCTTGTTCGCCGAGCCTCGATTATATTCATGTACAGGCAGTGGAGGCCCCAGACAACGGCCGTGGCGACGGCTATCAATGCCATGAAATAATAAAGGGCGATGTGCTGCGTCTCGTTCTTCACAAGAATTTCTGTGGATGAGATAGACATTAAGATCTCCACCCAATCGGAGACCATGCACAATGTAGAGCATGAACTTCTGATACATAGGTGGAAGAAAGCTTCCGGAGCGTGGAGGGGCGAACTCACTGAATAGCTTTGGCCTCGGCAATGCGGCTAGTCCGTTGATGAGGCAATGGACTCCTATCGCTAATGGGAGGTTCGCCAGGCCGAGATATTCAGTCAACAAAACGGAGAAGAGGATCATTATCGATCCTGCGGCCAAACCGAACAAAAAACAAAAGAGGAAGAAGACAATCTGTGGGGAAAATATATTCAAATTAGACATTGCGTCAGTACATATCTGCCCTTTGTGGATCTCTAGCTTCCGATTCGAATCGATGCGGAGTACCCGGAAGCGAAATGATAGCCATGACCTCTCGCTCGGACGCATTCGTCATCGCTCGATTTTACTTAATCGACCGAACGGCAGAGCATAGGTCCTGCCGAAAGACGCGCGTATCCATGAATAAGAATACCGGATCGATTTTTCGGGCAGAGTATCGTACCGACCGATTCACTCGATCGCTGACTTGAGCAAACAGCGGCGCAGTGAGTCGAGTTCCGAGAGCAGCCTCAGCTCCACTCGGGGAAGCTTTCCAAGGAACCAATATTGTTCCCTGCTCTCACCTGATGGGAGCTCAGAGCAAGCCCGAAAGTGGCGATGGACACCAGGAGATATCCTAAGGCCATAACGGTCCTCCTACGGAGCACGCCGCGATCTGAAAATGTGAGAATGTAGAGTTCTGCAGATGTATATTACCGTTTTCTCTCGGGAAGAAAATGATCGCATCCACTGGAATCTCACCGGAGAGTTGACCCGAGAACAATCTTCCTATGGCATCGCCGGCGGCGTAGAACCACAGGGTGAACAAGGGGCCTTTACCAGCGAGATCCTTCTCATTCGCGAACGCAACGACGGTCAAATTGAAGAGCACGAGCTCGTATGCGAACACAATTCCAGTCACCTGAAAACACATTGGAATTTCGTGTTTCGTGATGAATCTCCACAGGCGTCGCTTCTGACGATAGACGGATGAGTCGAGATCGGGATTCCGTTCGGTCATATCGATCATGGGTCTCTTACAACAATCAGGAGAAATATCGGTCGCTTGATGAATGCAAGTTGTGCTGAGAGTGGCATGGGAGCTGCATCCGATTTGGCGACAGTTTTGTTCTCTGTAATTCAAGGGTCCCTGCCTCGACTCAGCTCAAACATTGTCAAGGGCGCATTTTCCATCCATTCCGTTCGGGGGAAACTTACCTTCATCACAGACATTATTATTATCCTTCGGCTCCTTCTCCGTATTTTGGGCTGGATACCGCAGAACGCAGGCTCCAAAAACACCGTTCAATATAAGAGCACCAGTGATCAGCAACGTCCACCGGAATCCGACGCTGGAAGGGTCTCGAATTTAATTTCTCGACTCGAGGCTCGAGTAATGTTGGACTGAGCATCGAGAGTGATCAGCGAGGAGCTGTGATCGTGGAACGACAACAAACCTTTGTTCCATGGCCTCGTAGGCGAAAGGCATGAAGAACGAGACGAGAGTTCCACCCATGTAACTTATACCGGAGGCTGTGCTGCGGTTTTTCTTGAAGTACGTGTTTACAGCCACCATGTTAGTAGGGAAAATCATCGACTGACCGATCGCTGAAAGGAGAAAATCGAATTCAAGTCGGAAGACCATGCTGCTGCTTGATTTCATATTCCCTACAGCCAAGATGAGAGACTGCAGATTCTGCCCGAGAAGAGATTCCCGTTCTGGGTTCTGCGACTTTTCGCGTGTCCTGTCCAACGACGGGTAAGCGGGTCGCTTCTTCGGAACCCCGCCACCGAAAATCGCGAACCCTGACGACTACCTATGTAGGTACTCATGCGCGTGGGAATTGCGTACAGCTTGATTCACACGCGGCTGAAGGACCCATTTCGATCAGCTTACCTGTCAAAATCCCCAAGCTGTATGTGATAACAATTGGCGTGTAGATTGCGCCTGCCAGGAGCACACCAATACTGGTCAGGACTATACCGAATGAACTGACCACGGGCAATGGAAGCTTCTTGAGGAGGAGGCCGCTGACCATCGCTGCAATTCGAGAAGGTTGCACAGTTAGCCGCAATTTTCCCCAAAAGGAAGCACTGTCCCGTAAACCGTAAATTGGGAGGCGACAAAGACATCGCGCCGGCTTTTGTAGCCCCGAGAGGAGCTCAGTTGAATCGATCAGGATCGCAGGAGCTCCAGGGAAAAAAGATCCTACACAAATAGTCTTCTCGAGTCCCATGACTCTGAGCACGGAGACTTGAGCCCGGTCAAATGTCCGTGATCCTGGAGAATCTCAGGACAATGCGTCTTGGCCGAAAAAGAGGCTCAATTCTCCAGTGGCATCCACGTCCACGGAGACTAATCCCGGAATCAATAGATTTATGTACGATGCTAATTCGAAGCAGAAGCAGATGATACTCGACTCGAGTCTCAACTCTATTGACCTCAAACACGCGACCATGCAACCGAACAAAATGGTGAGGTGTCGCCGTCGCGTGATGTGCGACAGCTGCTGTACGACCGATCGCGAATGTATTTCATGGTGCTCCCGTTCAGGGGATCCGTCGACGACACAATGATGCCGGGAGGCGAAGACAAGGCAAAGACTTACCGAAAATATTTGAAATAGCGCCGGCCATCGACATTGGAGCTGCTGCCTCTTCCCGGGTCATATTGAACTCGTTTTTGAGCGATAGGTAGAGCAAGCTGTGGAGAAATTCAACGAGTCCGATAGTCGAATCATTTCATGCCGGAAACTCCCCTCCACGAGAACTGAATCGAGCTCCCTATTCGCTTACCCACTGGTACGGTTGACTAATAACGACCAGAACATAATCCATGAACAAGAAACGGCCACGAGCCAGGACACCAAACTGTCGACTTCTATCACTCTCGGCGCCGACGACGGACGAATTTCCTCGACGAGTTCCTCGATCTGCATTTTTTCCATAACAGGCGTAACTTGCTCCTCGCTGAGTAATCTTGCGTCTTGCGGCTCGACATCCTCTGTATCGGGAGACGTAGTTTCAACCGGTGACGTCATGGCTCAGTCCTGAAAGAGAGAGGATCAAGAATTCAGAAAGTCCGAATTCGAGGAGGGAATCAGCGGAGCCGTACCGACAGCGCTGAGCCTTCTCGACAGTGTAGGCCATTCCTAAGTTTCCGACGTCGAGCAAAGTATCGATGCCGCTGCGTTCTCGGAGCTCCAACCGCCGAGCTCGCGGGAGGCCAGGACCGCACCTTTTCAGTCGTAAAAATTTCAGGTGTGTCATTGGACGATGGGCATCTTGTGATCACCGCGTCATCGAGACCATGAGAGCGACTCTCGACACGAACCCGAACAGGATAAGAAAGAGTAGATGCGCCGACCAGCATGGATCCATCGGAGTCGAGATACTTGCGAAAGGTCGATATCCGGGTCGACAATCAAGGATATGCTCATCTTATTGTTCTTCAGACGGGAGACTTTGTATCGAGGTGTTCGGGTCCAGCACGTAGTAATTAGTTCCTAACCTGATCCTATGTTGAGCGACCTGGCGGCGAATCAATAACACTCACACTGAAAAATATCGCGTGGTCTATCGGTCTCAGAAGTGACACACTTCGATAGCTGAGAAAGAACCACACGAGATTCCCTTGTGATATCAGTGGACAAGTCTCTTCTTTTAGGCGTTGGAGCATCCTCCCTCGTCTTCCTTCGACGTTACTTTCATCTCTCTTTCGACTTTAGATCTCGCTAACGGTAGATGGCTCTCTCGAAGCGGATGTCTCCTCTCTTGCATCATGTCCGATTGAGGGAACGATCCCCTACCTTCGGAACTTCACGGAAACCTCGATAGAGCTGGATTGAGCTCGTCCCGGTTGATCCCGAGCATCAGGGTGTTTTAGGCGTCGCAAAGAATACTTCACTCAGTGAAATCTGCTGCCAGCCCTTGATCTTAGTTCAAGATTCAGATAGTCGACGAGATACGCCGAGCATGGATATTCGCCAGGCGCGGCTCTAGGAGCTCCGAAATACCTTCAGGGAATCTTATTGGAGAATGTCCGTAGCAGACTGATAGGAACGCCGATATTGCCAGCGAACAAGTGCCCATTCTTCACTCGCATAGGCCGAGTGACCGACTGGCGGGTGCCTTAGGTGACGTTCGGGGGCATGTGTAAGAGGAATATCTCTCGCTGTCATTCAGTAGAATGAGGAGTTGGTTAAGTTCGAGAAAATAATCTTATCGATTCAGCGTAGACACATCGAATTCGACCTCCGTCACACCTCCATGGAAGTCAGTATCTTTCACTTGATTCAATGGAAATCACCGTACCCATCGGAGAAGGATCTCTGACAGTGGCCGAATAATAATTGGACAGCGATAACCACACCCGCCGTTGTTTGTGACCACGGCTGGCTGAGGAAGGACACTCTGCTCGCAAGGAGCAAGAGCCCCGCTCGCCGTCAATTGACTATCTGTCTTGAGGGAGCTCAATAGAGAACTATCATCATCATCACCATCTGTATAAGGGCGGTGCACAGATTCAGAGATTATCGGGGTGGAGTTCGAGGAAGAATGGCACGTATGTGGCACAATCATGAGTGCTTTTCAACGGCTTCCCCGAGGAGCTCACGGTCGAGCATATTTCTCGGCGATTTCTGTGCGCCGTAAGCGGCTCGAGCTCGCTCGATGGCGAGTAGTGAACAAGATCACAGCTGGAAAGCAGAGCACGGCAGAAGGGGAGTCTGTTCTCCTCCGGGCCGTGGTTCGAGCTCTCTTGCTTTCGCTGATTGTCCGCTCGAGCTCAATCATCCTTAAGGGTCCAGTTTTTTTTGCGTAGGCAGATTTCAGGGCCGCGAGATGTCGCTCCCACCGGAGAATGACATCAGGGGATGGAAACGGAGAGCGCCAGATGTAAGGGAAGGTCTCCTAATCTCGCTGACGATCCAGAAGCTGACGCCGAAAGCGACGGTAATCCGATCGTCGTCGAGCATTTCTGTATGACTCAGGAACAGGGGCTCTCGGATATCGATGGAAAATGATAAACGAAAACGACGGCGCTTAGCGTTACGGGACACGCCCGATGAAAAGTCTGATGAGCGCTACGCGCCTCTACGGATCGTGGTGATTGCGCGGAAAGCTCTGGCTGCACATCGGATGAGCGACTCGTCTCTCGCGTAGAGATCTCGCGGCCTCGTGTCGTCACGAGGCGCTTCTCGCGGCTGAGAGACAACCCGGGAGACGAACAAGCGCTGGTCTTCGCGCGTTTGGTCCCAGCGGCTCATCCGTGACCTTCGGAGAGCGCTGCTCGTAATTCCAAAAAATAATTTGTCTTCGTGCATGACGGACTGAGCGGACATTTGCTCGTCGTTGCGCGACGACGTGCGTTACAGTCCCGCCGACGTGGGTTGTCAAATAGTCCGAGTTATTCGAAGAGAAGTCGAGCTCTCCGTTGAGCTTCTGCTGCTGCTGCTGCAGAACGCAAGGGGACAGCCCGGCAAGCCGTTCACAACGAACAGATAATTGCGGCTCCCCCTCAAAAAGAGTACCATCAGCTCGGCGCGTGCCTCGTCGTACATCCGCGCCGCACCAGCGATGAAGCTCGATGCCTCCGCCAGCTGTTCGGCGGCCGGGGCCCGGCTACAAATGCGGCGGCAGCAGTAGCTACAGCAATCGGTGTTGTTTTGGATCGATAAGGCGCTAGCTAGAGGACAGCTCTCGAGAACTCTTCTTTACGTCCAAGGAAAGAATAAGCGATTCGCGCGTTCGAGACGTCAGAATGATCGATATCATCGAATCTGCTTGCCGAGGCGAAATTGAGCTTCCGTTTCCAGTCGATCTACGATCGAGGAGAAGCTCCGGAATCTTCCCGACCGCGAGCGTGATCGAACGTCAGCGAAGTTCGGCTGAAGACCCGGGGATCGGCTAGGGTTGTCTTCGGCTTCGCGCGACAGGCAGTGCGCGAAGTCTTCACTAAGGCTGGAGAGTGATTTTGGCGAGTCTTCGCGTGAGTCATAGTCAGGCAGTCGGTCGTACACCGCGCGCGATCTCCTTCTCAAAGATTCGCTCTCTCTTTCGAGACTGTCGCACGGTGTCTCCTCGCCAGTCGACGCGTAAATGTCACATGTGTTCTAGCCGAGATTGAGACTCAACTCGACCGGAATATAAGATTCCCGCTCTCCTCCTCTCACCTGGGGACTGTTTGGCACTTGGATCCTCTCTTTCTCAATTGACACACACGGGCGAATAGCTCGGATCACGCTCCGCGAGTTCGCCTGCTGCCTTCTCTGTTTCGCCTCCCATAATCCTCGTCATTGAACTCTGACTTCGGAATCGCGGATTTTCACCGGATCGAACACGATTCCGCATGAAAAGCAGATGAAGGAACTCGTGACGCGGCGAGACAACGCTCCCAGCGAAACATGCGCTTGTTACAAACTCTTGAATCTCGAGCGCCCGTTAGGTGTCCTCGTAGCTTGGGTGGAAAGGACCGTGAGCGAGTGTGTGGCGAGGGATTTTCACGAACGACCCCATCTCCAGTCGACATCCGACAAACTCGATCTCGGGGGTGCAGACCGTGCATTGGCCGCGCTGTTCGCGCATCCTGCTCTCGTTGGCGGTCACTTTCGCGACCTTCGCTAGGACAGGGCTTTGACCAGCTCGGCCGCTTTCACGGAACAAGCGGAGGCGTGCCAGAGAAACGCAGGACTTACAGGGAGTCCGCAGGTCCCATTCATAGCCGGTCCCGGGCTCGTTTAATTGTCTCGTTCGATCAAGAAAGTGAGGATGGTTTCTCCTCGATATTATTTTCCGACGTGTTCCGCTTCTGAGTACGATGCGCGGGCACGAACCATGCGCGTAGACCCTGCGTTTTTTCTCACACCTCATTCTCCCAGTCATTCACCCTCCGACTGGCTCACCTCGGATGAGGGGCTTCGGAACGGAGAGTTCAGATATTGGACCCTCTCCAGCAGCTTCTGAACGGGACGGCCGGATTCTCTGCCTCCCTCGAGCAGAAGAACGGCTTCTGGTCCGTACCATCACGGAGCCGTACAGAATGAGCGGCATCTCAAGCAACATGGAACTCTGAGTTTTCTTACTGAGAACCGTGCCGAGCGATGCTCATCGGACCTCCGTTGAGGTCGAAATAGAAGCATGATTGCGCATCACCATATTGGTCACAATAGGATTACTCTACGTTAGGTAATGCTTTACGGTCGGGAACATTTCCGATATGAATGACAACAAGATACGAATGGACCAAGAGTCTGCACGAAAAGTTTCGACTCCCAGATAAATCACGGTATTCATCTTTGGGAGGAATCGGAACTCCGCGAATCGACGGATCCCCTACGCATCGATGTCAAGCGTCAAGCGTTATTGAGTTACTGATCTAGCTCTGGTCTCTCGAGCATCGTGATGTGAAAATAATCGCCCTCACGTTCTTCCCAGGCTTATACGTTTTCAATGGACCCGCTTCCCCCGATCGGAATACGAGACAGTCATACACGATACTGTACGTTTGTTCTGTTCGAGTTGCTATGTATGAGCGTGGGATGGCGTGACCCGCGCTCTTGTCATCGATTGACGTGCAGTTCGAGGAGACTGACGGTTTCACGCTGGAAGAGGCTTTTTTTTTTGCGAGGCCAGGAATAAAAATGCGTGTTGCAGACCGTGCACGGCGCCTAACGGTACTGTGGGAGTTGCAAACCCACTAAAAACCTGGTGGTTCCCCAACCTCCGCTTTCGGGCGGGGGCGCCGCTCGAATTATTCCTGACCTACATACGTTTTCATGGGCCAGCAGTGTTAGGGGGTTCGTGACGCGGATAGGAGCTTCACTGCTCGGGAGTGATAGGCCGGCTGGCCCCAAGATGGCAATGTTCTCCAATCTCACAAGATTTCGGATTTGAAATTCGTGGGTTCGCGCGATACTTCCCTCAGATCCTTCCTCCCCTCGGTGCTCTTCTGTTCAGGCAAGCATACTCCGGACGCAACTTAAAGATAGGCTGTAGACTTCAGCTTATTCATCATTCTGGAATCGATCCAATCACTTTTAACCCTTGGGCGACCCGATCAAAGAAACTCGAAAACCTGAAAACAATTTTCCCACAATGTGAGATCGAGTCGTTTCCGGTCGAATCCGCGCGCGTCTCTACTCCGAGCGTCGAGTTGCATCGGCTCCAGGGAATGCCTGTGGTCACTGGCGTCGTGTTCATTGAATGCCTTACCCAAGACATCTCAAGTCTTGATTGGGGTTTTGAAGCGTCCGAATCGTTATAATCCTCTGCTTAGTCCGTCGAGCCCGGAATGGCTCGACGTCTCTTTGATTCAGACATGTATTATCTTCACAATCTCGCTCTGGGGAACCATCGAGCTCCGGTGTGCCGGGAGGGTCTGGGTTTGCGAGGGTTTCCACCGAGTGAGAAAACGAATGATGATGGATTTTGATCATTGACCTTCACCGATACATAATCTGCGCACGAAGTACTGTGATCATGAGAAAGTCTTGATTGCTTATGCCGGGCAACAGCGGTTCTTTATGAGCAGGCGGAATGCTCACGGCTCATCCGAGCTTCGTAGATAGGCTCATCGATTCTGGGCTCTTCCTCCGTAGAATCATGCCTGTAGAGCCTGCAATGAGTTTTCAGAGATCGAGCGTTTGCCTTTGATCCGCGTTAAAGTCTTCGAAGCATTTATCTCGAAGTCAGATATGTCGCGAGTCGTCTGGATGGTCTGCGGCGCCTAGCGCTCATCCGCGCTTGCGGAATAATTCCTCGGTAAGTTTGCAGGAGTTACTCTCGGGCCTGTCCTGGTCAAGAGCTCCTCCCTTGACCCTAACTCTGATTTTGGCTCGATTCTCGGCAAGTCTGATCGAGCTTTGTTCTCAGTAGCTCATTCGCATTCTCTTCGCGGCTTGAGTCCAGAATGAACCGTTTGGTGGATTGAAAACTGTCCCTTCGATTAGTGAAACGTCAGACATCCACCCAGGTAGGCGAGCAGAGGGAGGCATTCGTAGCGAACCTCGGAAAATTTCGACTCCCCGAGGGCAGAGTCGGTGATCGGATCTACCCTGGGAGTCTCGAGTACCTACGTCAGACTACCGATTAGAAGTCGTGTGGTCGAAAATATCATTCTTTATTCGGCCCTACTCGATACCTAGGATGGTTTGGTTTTGATCTGCTTCGCTTTCCCCGGTCGATCCGATCGCGATCGGAGAGGTGTCGCCCTCACCTTCGCCTGCCGTTGCGAATTCGACGTCCGCTCTCGTCATTGACTGTTCGAGGACTTCCTCGTGTGCGAAAACGAATTCCGCCAAGCTCTTCGTCACCTCCGCAACATTGATACGAATCGATGTCAGGCGTTCCACCTGTGGTAGAGAACAGCCGACTATTTTGGCGACCGCCGCCAATGGAATCATCGTGTCCAGTGTTCTCGCTATGAAGTTCACTAGGTCCGTTGCGAAGATCTCCGTCAGTCGCAGGAAAGATCTTCTATCTGTTTCAGAGAGAGATTCTGTATGCAGGGCTCTAATCGATTGGGCTATCGTCTTTAATTGCTGATTGATCGTGCTCGCGATGCGACACATTGTCGGTACGAGACAGCACACCCGGAGTTCGCCAAAAACATTCAACACAGAATTACAATACACGGCGAGAGGATACGCCTCGAGGAGGCTCTGGGGTGCGCTGTTCGGGGGTTCCGTCTCGGCGGACGGAAGACTAGATTGGCGCATGGTCGACAAATCGAATGTCTGCAGCAGCTGGAGACACTGCGGGTAGCCTTTCGAGAAATGGTTTTCGCATCGCTGCACCAGAGCTCCCTCGAAAATAGGGACCAACAAGGGCCGGAAATCGACGCCCACCCGACTGAACGAGAGTCCGAAGTACATGCACTGAGACATCAGAACATCGAGACGGCATTCCTCGTCTTCCGTCAGACACATCCTGAGGTTCGAGAGGAAATATTCGATTTTCCCGACAATCCAGCCCTGGAAAATGCAAACGTCCTGCGCGTTCTCGTCAGGAGGGAAGATCGCTTTGTACTGAGTGATGATGTCGAACAAGTGCACTCGACAGAGCTCCATCACGCGGCTGAGCTTCGTGTGCGCGTCTTGGCCTTCAGCACCCGCCAAGAGCGAGTCGAACCACGCACCCCTGGTTTCGAGGAACTTCACTTTCAGTTCCTGTTGAGTGTAGAGCTCCATGCGACGAAGGTAACCGATCACCTTCAAACACGCGGGCAGCTGGATATTGCCACGTAATTGACTCAGGAGCTGGCTTTGCATGTACTGTTGGTAATGGCGCACGTCGTGACCAATGCCCGCGACCAACGGGATCGGAGAGTGACGTCGCTCGAGACGCTTCACGTAAGACGCTAACTCGAGAGCCTCGTCGTAGTTGCCGTTCTTCACGCAGCTCTCCATGAGCTGAGGGATTTCGAGAATTTCGACGAGTTTCTTGTGCTTTGTCAACGTCTGTGAGGTGAGTTTCCAATGATTGGTGATTTGAGCGCATTTCGAGGAAAACTCATCGCACGAGGTCGAGCATTCCGGCAATTTTCGTTTGAGGGAATCCAGCCGCTGGGCAACCGACTGGAACTTTGCGTAAATGTCTCTGCTGCACGTAGCGGTTTGAACGAAGGTTTTGTAATTGTTGAAGGCCAGCTCCTGGGTCGCGTCGACGAGTGCGGTGTGCTCCTCGCGCAAACGTTGAGGTTCTTGAAGCAGTCTGTAAGAATGACGGAACGGAAGTCAAGCAGTTTCCCGCCTTCTTTTTCTCTTGTAGGAATTTCTTGGAGAGGTCGGTCCGTTCCGCTCTTCGGGATACTCACTGCTGTAGACCCATACCGCTGAGCTCGTTCATGTACTCATCACAGTCGGAGCTCCATTTCTCTGCCAAGTCGGCTTTGTTCAAGACTGAGAGAAGCTCCAAGTGAGAGCTCTCGAGCGATGCCATCTTCGAGTGTTGCAACGTCTGAAGAACCGAATGCGGAAATTAGAGTCACGACTCGGCGCTCCGAAAAAGTGAAGGAGGAACAGCTGGGGGAAGGGGAATTGTGAGCCATAGACGATTATTCGGGAAATGAAGCGACAAAGAGGAAATGAGTTGAAGAATGTTCAAGCCTTACGGATCTGCCGAGTTTCTGAGAAAAAGTTCACACCGAGGTAAACCCTTGAAGGAGAGTCAACTCACTCCCGTAACTCGTTTCTGGCGGAGCCTCTCTTTTCCGGAGCATCGAGGCTCGGGACGAGGTTCTCGCCTAGGCCAGACAAGTCGGCATTCGATTCTCCATGTGACGTTTACAACACATCTGATCGGTGTTTCGGTGGTTATAGTCTCGGAGGAGGGACTAAATGACGGCGATGATCTTTGCTTACAGAACGAGCCGGATGGGGCGATTTCTCATGTTCTGAGTTTCCGCTCTCCGGAACACTTCCGAGTTGAGCAAAAGACTGGCTCCGGAGGCCTGGAAGGCAATAACCTCACACAAGGGAAATATTTCGAATGGATTCAGCTGGATTTCCCTGGATCAGCTCGGAGATCTCGAGATGAGATTCCGTGGCATGACTCTTCACGGAGACACATGGTTCTAGGCTATTCGTCGACTCGAGTTATCATCTTCTCGACAACTTGCACTCCGACTCCCGACTGAGGCTCCATTCGTCGAAAGCACTCTTGTTTGGGACAGGAAAAAGGTGCATAATTTCTCTGACGTGGAATCCTTGGGAGAGACTCTTGTAGCCCGAGTACATACGTGGAGCAGGAGCTCCGGCTCCGAGGCGTCGGCCCGCTCCGCGAGAATCGCGTTCCAGAATGTGAGCCTTTGAGATATGTGCCCCATGCCAGGGATGCAATCGATTTGAATTAGAAGTTTTGAGCAATATTGAACAAATCGCTCGACGGCTCCCACGCGGCGAGGAATCCGCTGCCGCGCCGTGGGGATGCGTCGAGCCTGTTCCAAGACTTTCCGCGTCGGGATGCCGCGAACGCATGATGAGAGCCAGTATTTGTCATCACAAGGTTCAAGTTCTCATAGCGGCTAGTGACAACATCTGTGAGTATCATCAGAAGCCGAAGAGAGATTCGGAGACCAATCATCAATATTTTCCCCCTTATCAGGATTTCCTCGAATAGCCGCATTCTCTCCAGAGCGGCATGAGAGCCCCTTCTATGAATTCCGTCAAATGCTGTCGCAGGAGTAACGGCAGGACCTTCATCGCTCCAACTTTAAGAAAATTTCCATCCGGACAATCTATAGCTGTTTCGTCCAGTACTGGGACCTGGAAGGGGAAGTCGAACGCGGACTGGGTAGGCTCATCGAGAGCCGCTTTCTTATACGCTCACGCCTTTCCTCTCGGTATTCAATGGGTGATGCCACCAGTGTATAATTCACAGAAAAATTAAATGGGAGACTCACGCTGATATCATATACCATTAGCTGAGTTGACGGTGGCACGGGTAATTTCACTTTGAACTCGAAGGTGCAAGACGGGATTTCGCATCGAAAAATCCAGTAATAATGCCCTTCTCTGGAACTAGATATTCCCGCGTACCGGAATTCGCTCATGGTCAATTCGCATAGAGCATGCTCGGGCGGACCTGGGAAATGGAACCCTTGTGTCTTCGACCAGCCCGACTGTCATCACTGGCACTCCAGTACTGGCAGATTAGTCAAGCACTGTAGACTCGCCTTCGAAGAAGGTAACGTCCTCCAAAGAATATTTGACCATGCGGCTCAGGTTGATTTTCCTGAAGTCAAAGCTTACGAATGATGGATGCCTGGGATTGTCCTGCGTAATCCGGAAGTCTAGGCCTCGTAAGGGCACTTTCTCCAACATGCATTCGGTGTATTCCCTGATGAGCGAACGCATTCTCTGCAAATCAGAAACGAAGACCTAGCATTGCGTCGATGATTACGCGAAGAGTCAACCTGATTGTTTTTTTCTTGGGAACGTTCCATCTCCAAATGATTTTTGAGTTCAAAAACCACCCAAGAGTTCACGGTAGAAAAGGATGTAGCTCCATATTCATAGGAATGAAAGCTTTGCTGCTGTCTCAAATTTTCGTAAATGGGAAAATAGAATCTATAGAGGGATCTGGTTGGAATTGCGGAATGATCACTATGAGCTCCATGTGTGAGAACGACAGATATGGATCTGTCCCCTCAAGCTGTTCGGTGTGGGATGAAGTCGAGTGTGCCTGGGAACAGCTCATTCTCAGAGCCCCCGAGGACCCCGGCTGACGTATTCTGTGCCCGCTTCCGGTACGCGTTGCGAGCGATTTCCCACGTAACAATCACGATGATGTCCAATTCCCTGGGACTACACATCGATGCGTCTTGACGGACAGGGATCAGGCATCGAACTCATCTCATCCTAGAATAGTATGAGCGGAACCTTGGGGAGTCGAGCTCGATCTCACCTCGAAGTAGTCTTCCATATTTCTCGGGGTGCTGTTCCTTCTCTTGGTTCTAGGCATGATTTGTTCTTCACGGTTTTCGGCTCTTTCCCTCCTCCCCTTCATCCAGTCGAAAAGCAGGAAAACTGACAAGAGGGTCACCATTGTGAAACAGATCCATAACGCTGTTCTCTCACTGTAGAGGGGGAATCCACGCGAAAAGCGCCGACTTGCCGTGGGTGTTCTCGTGACGCGGTGTCGCTCTTTGCGGTAAGTATGCATGTCGTCCCTCAGATCCTCAAGATCGCCAGCTCTCGACATCGACAGTAACCCCGATGTCGTCATACCAGAAGCGGAAGTCAAATTGCTCCGTAACTCCTCCTCTCCAATATTCCAGCTGAATGGAGCTGCGATGTTTTCTGAGGGAAGAGTGGAATTAAGTCCGCCCGAGTCTGAGAGTTGCTTAGATCAGAACTTCAAACAGAGCTTCTCGAGATATCACTAAATCCTCGTCAAGCCACCGGATGAGCTCTCGCAGAGCTCATATCATATGATTGGAGATATCGCCACATTCTTCCCAATACGTGCGGCTCTCCCTCCAGAATGGCTATCTTGGATCAGGGTTCGACGGCCAACGGGACCCACCCCTTAGCTCGTGCTTTTCCTCGATGTCGGAGTCTCTCGGATCCATTTCAGAATTGTCCCGAGGTTCGGACTGGGATGAATCTCTGATACCTTCCGAATAAGGCTCCATTGGGCCATCGATCACCATTCCTGGCCACTTTGTTCGTCAAGAATCAAGGAGATGGCTTTGAATCGGAGGAACGAGATGGGATGGAGCTTCGTTGCTCAACTTCAACGAGTCAACGAGGCGGCAAATTTCTACTCAAACCGTAAGCTCTCCCAAAGACTGAGCGCAAGCATCTCCTAGTCGAAGGATACGTTTCCGTCCCGTGGAGCATGATTCCATGACGGGTCGTCGGCGAATCTCTACTTATTTTCTGAAGAATGAGATATCCTCTTCTCTTCGAGGATGCCTCCTGTCGCGTATCCGCTCGGACTTCCTGCCGAGATGGAGAGGATGGTTCTTCTTCTGATACAAGCAGGATTCTGCGCGGTCCGTATGATTGACTGGTGCGCCGTTCCTACAACGAGGCTCATCTGCTCAGATGGGACGAAACTCGTGAACCGAGTATTCTCCCTGGAAACGCGCAGCTCCAACTACGGTATCGGCATTCCATCGCTTTCCGGAGGCCATCCCTGAGGTTCGCACGGTGAGCGACCGGACCGAGAACTGGCGTTAGCTCCCACCCTCGCAATCTGCGCAAGCCCCTCCAATCTCAGAGGTGACTGATCTCGCCGGCGGAACTCGAATGATTCCGAGTCCAGGGGTTCCGATGTGCCGATCTCAAGCTGTCGTGGAGGGTTCCAGTTTGGAGATCGACGATCCATGGTCGCCGTTCCGGAACAAGTGCGAATCTACCCCTTTAGGTTGCCACTTGACGACCGACTCAGGCACGAAGTTTAGAGGGGCAACTCGAATCTGGAATTCGCCGACATGTGCCCGATTCTCGAGTCATGCCTCGCGCCGACTCCTCTCTCATTCCCGAAACCAGTCCCCCGATCGCGGAGAGAAGAACCCGAAGAGATACAGATCGGTCCATGTCATGATCTCATGATGCATCGGCGGGATGGAGGCGCCTGTGGAATCAGAGCTCCGTATCTCACGACGCATTTTCGGAAGTTTTCAGAAGAGTCTGGAGGGTTTATAGTTTTCTTCCTTTACAGAGTTCCACAGCGATGGAGTTGTCTACCCTCATTGCATGGGCTGATTGAGGAAACGTTGCCAGCCGGGTTTGAATGATTTCGTAGCGAATTCTTGAACAAGCTCTCGGAAGCTCCTAGCAATGTAATTCTTCGCTCTAGCACGAGTGTATTTGGGATATCTGTAGAACTTATTACACGTCAAGTTGAGCGGCGGTGGGAACTGAAACGGAGCATCACGATTTTAGGTTTCGATCATCGCTTTGCACCCTGCCTCCTTCTCCAGGGCGTGGGTCCGCGATGTGTAATGTCCGCGCTATGCTCGAAGAAACTCGCCTTCATCTGGAGCAGAAACATCGACTCATCTCGCGGTGAAGGCAAAGACATCGAGAAGTCGAAGTTGTATGCCCCCGATCTGCAAGTGAAATCCTCAGCGGCGAAAGCCCAACTCCATTTAGCGGTACCACGGTAGATCGCACCTGACATTTGCAAGCTCCCCTGGACGAAAGGAATAGCGGCTGGAAATCCGAATCCGAACTTATTTCAGCTCCCTGGCCAATGCCATTCATACGAAAAGGGCTCTTTGGTTCATACGAACCTTCCGGGTGGACGGAGAGGCTTCCGTGTCTCCTGATATTATCCGTCCCTATCAGGTGGAAGCGAGCGAAACCAAACATATCATAACCCCGCTCGTCTGTTTCTATCGACGGATAGTGGAATCCTTGGGAGAGATTCCTTATGTGCATACTATAGGCTTCGAGAGACGAATCCAAGCGTTCCTGAATTCCCTGTAACTCGAAACCTGTACGAATGTTTTCAGCTCTCGCAGGGAGGATTTATCGATGCTTGCCGGCCTCGTGTAATCGAGTGGACATGCTCGGAAAGGAGAATCATGCCATTCGGGGATCAGGACCGGGATCCGAATTCCTAATGATGAGTCAGGTTTCGGCCAAGGAATTTCTTGAAGCTGAATGAGTTCGCCCCTCGGAGCATAGCATCGATCCGGCTCCGCGCTTCGTCTTTCACGTAAGGCCGGGGTACTTCACAGGAGGCTCGCGATAGAGCCTGTTGCGAAGGAGGCTCGCTGCGGTGCTCCCGCCTCAGATTTCGGATTTCCCAGTCGTGAGGCTCTTCTGGAAATTCCGCCGCATGGCTCATTCCGAGATTCGGCCTGCCCACGCTCGGAGAGCAGGGTAGAGTGCAGGGAGGCAAATCTCCGAAGATTTTCCCGCTGCCTCAGCCTACGTAAAGATACGGCACGGTATCCCACGTCGGACGATCCGATTCGTGCGGTAAATTCGGTGGGCTGCTGGTGGAGGTGAGGTTCTGGGGGGAATCCTCATCGTTTCCGCAGGGGTGGGAGACCAGCCGACCAGACCCAATATCGCTGGGCTGCGGTGCGACAGCCTAGATGCAATGATTTCTAGGTTCCAATTCCAGTAAGTTTTTTCGCGTACCTTCAACTGAGAAGCTCGTCGGGCCGCCGAAGTCTATAATATCTGGTATCGTCGGCTTAGTTGCTCTAGCGTACCTCGCTCTTGCCACAACCAATAGGACCGCAAAGGAACTGAAAGCGAGAGCGGCAAGAGCGTTTTTCATAGTCCTTCTCGTGAAGGCATAGGACGATGTGGAAGCCGGAGTTCCGCTCCGTAAATGATCAGTCTTGAGCGAACTCGGCGTCTCCCCGTCCGGTGTAGAAGATATGATTCCAGGGGATGCGTCCGGCAGCGCTACTTTGCTTTCAGCATGCTCAAATGATTTCACAGGGATCATCTCCGATTTTGAGAACGATCATCTAGGATATAGCTCGACCTGGGCCCGGATTCGGAGAGACGCTGGAATGGATAAGTGGAAAAGGATATGTGAATCATCGGAACCACTTTTCCGTGCCGGGAAGGTCGGAGTATCCTACGTCTGGAGGTGGCGGATTGAAACGGAATTCTGGCGATTCTCGATTACGGTCAAACGTCGCCGTGAGATGATCAGATGCCTTAAGTTCCTTGACGGAGAGCGGAAAGAGATGTGAGGCGACCCCTCGAGTTCAGGTACTCCAAGATTCACCATGAAAATAGGCGGCTGTTCGCTCTGGTCGAAACATGACACGAGTCTCGGTTTTGATACGGGCGGTTCGTCGTTTCTCTTGAATAGCCTCCAGATTCGAAGTTTGGAATTGCTCCTGATAATGAGAGGACTCGTCCGGTCAGACCTTCGATAGGTGGCAGCGCAGGCGGACATTGCAGCGAGCAACCTCCTCTCCGCTCATAGAGACGCTCTCAGCTCTCATTCCAATACGCACGGGGAAGGAATGAGCATTTTCAAGTCGGAGATTGCTACGGATCCTAGCATCATGTTCCGGAACGAAAGATCTTCTTGCGAAGATTTCAGCAAAAGGCGAACCCTACACATCTCTTCGGCGCACTTCGGTACTCTTATCCGACAGCTTCCCCGTCAATAGAGTTTGTCTCACAGCGAGCCGGGGGCTCGGGTTATCAGCGAGCCGGAGTTTCATGAGATGTACCGGAACTTTGACATCCCTATCTCTCCGTCTAATGGAAACCACCCCATGTGGCGAAAGGCGGAAGCGAAGAGACTGACGAGCGCCGGCGTGGAAAAGATTGATGTCCGACTGCTCGGTGAAATTCAAACGCTCGGAAATCCCTTACAGCGAAAAATTGCACGCATGGCGATCCCAGGCGTGACCGAACGGGACAGAGGAGCAGAGTTGTTCGGGACTGATAGAGAGTGCAAAGCAAATCCCCGGGGAAACACTCAGGACCGTTGGAGCTTATCGAAAAACTGCAAATATATTTCCGGTGCAGGTACGAGAATTTATTTACAACGAAATTTCGTCTCTTCTAACGTTGACTTTTCCTGTCAACTTCTTTTGTGGTTCCAATTCGCAGCCGATTGATTGTTGGAGACCAATTCCAAAAATCAGCAGCCATGGGCTCAATCGAATATGTGAATCATTGTATACATTGATTGAGGGAACTACATGGGGTGCCTGAAAAAGAAGTTTCCGACGATTCCGATTTCTGTGTCGGCTACCCTCACGTTCGCTCTATTTGATCCTTGGTCGATCTTCGTTGAATTCGAATATCGCATCAGTCGAGGAGAGAGGCTACGGGATCTTCCGCGTGTTCATTTGACTAATAAATTAATACTAATATCCTCTCTTCGGCTTTCGTGTCTGCGTTCCGTTCTCGCTGAAATTCCATTCCGTTTCCAGCAAGTTCACTGTATCTCTCCGACAGCGCTATCCCGGAAATTCCACCCTTTCGGTGTGCCTTTCCTTAGCTCACCACAGATTTCTGGTATCTTACGATGCTCGTTGTTGGAACGGAGGATGTGGACAATTTTCGTGACCGCTCGATGATATTCGGTTATGGTGTGCCGTGCCGAACATCCGTCCGTAACGAGCTGACTCTCCGCGCCGTCTTCTGCTGGCTCTATAGTGAATCATGTCATCTTCCTCCTGGGCACATTTCTCCTTGATCTCCGATCTCAGATCCGTGGTAAGTATTCGCCGCGAGTTTCTCTAGTCGTCCCGGGCATCCCCGTGATCATCTATTCTGCCTCGGTACTTGGAATATTTTTCCTTTTCAACCTCCACGGCCGGCGCCGTGGTCCGCATCATCGTCATTGCGGTGAACAGCAACATGGGTCACATCAGGAATCGTGGATTCGAAATGTGAAATTTCATGGATCTGTTCAAAATCTAACAGTGGCTGGTAGATAATATCATAGCAGTCTTCGGGTAGTATTCCATGGTCTGCTTTTGTTTGCGCTCGATATATTCATATCATATTTATTATAATCATCGACATCATCATCATCAATATTATAATTAATATCATCGTCAATAGTATAAGTTTTAAAATCGTCGGTCGGTAATCATCTGCATCATCTGATTATTCTGGATGACGCCCAAGAATAGAGTGAGGGAGATAGTTACGAAGATCAAGAAAACCAACTTCAAAAATCTTCCAGCAATATTTACGAGTTTACAACAGTGGTTTACGTTGGTCGGTCGCTGGCTACATCGACGCTTGCCTCATTTGTCCTACACCGCTCAGTCAGTCCTTTGATTCTGGGCTTATCGACCGGCGGAGAAAGGCGGGCAGCAGATCGGTCGGGCGGTGCGGGAGACGACGGGCAGCACGTGGACCCGGTGGTGAATCACTAAGTATCCGAGAGCGATGGATAAATTACAGAGACTGAATCCACGTTTTCGAGGGGGGGGGGTTCCAGCTCGGAATACCCTCCGGATCTCTCGCGAGTCGCCGCACAGCGCAGTTGATGAGTCGAGCCGGCACAGCGTGACTCGCAGTCAAGGTATGTGTATTTCTCTCCACTTCTGTCAGTCAAGTTTTCGTTCAAGTAAAGACGGTCTGGTCTTGAATCTCGGAGTCTTAATTCGCGTCTAAAAAGTATCGTTAACAAATTCGTTCCCTCGAATCGAGAGCTCATACATATACGTCAACTCAATACGTTGTCGTCATAATATAACACCGGATAAAACCGCTATTTCTTATTCCCTCGATCGGTAGCCTGCACTGCAAGTTTCTTCTTGCCGTGAGGCGTGCTACCGCTTGGAGACGGAGCTTTGGGATCGTGCCGCGCAACCGAGGGCCCTGCGAGCGTTCCCATTAGCTTATCTCGATAATCGTGAGCTCTCTGGGCCTCGGAGGGCTCCTCGTTCCGCTTCGCCATGACGAGGACCTTGACCTTCGAAGGCACTTGGGAGTCGGGCTCGGGATTCTTCCGTTTGTGGGTTTCGTTTTTCTCCTTCTGGATGTTCCGCACCGAAGCTAGCGCCTTGTGGAACTTGGTGGCCACTTTCGGTGATTTGTCGCCCTCGGACTTTTCGCCTTCTGAACTATCGTCCTCGCTCGTGGACACTCTCCGCTGCTGCGAGAGTCGACTCGGACCTCGAGACATCTCGTACCGAACAGGATTCGTGAATATAGCTTCTTCGATGCTTCGCTTCAGCTTTTGCTCCTGGTCGGTCAATTGAAGAGTGTCCTTGAGTCGAGCTTCGATGATGTTCGCGATTCCGATGTTCGCGTGAATGTTATCTTTGGACGAAGCCGAGCCCTCGTCCTGGCCCTGGGCAGTCGAGGACTCGTTTTCGGACTTTTCCGACTCGCCGTCCTGAGTGTCGCTCTCGGATCGCCCGTTGCTGGCTTCGCCGTCGTTGTTGTTATTGTTGTTGTTGCTACTGCTGGTGTTGTTGTTGTTCGTAGCGCTCGAGGACGAGGTTGTTGAACTGTGGTTGTGGTCTCCGTCCTGGGCTCGACTCGACGAAGCGTCGTGAAAGATTTTCCGGAGTAGGTTGGTGGCTACGTCTTCGTTTTCGATGAGAACGTTGCCCATCCTATCGCCTATCAGATCCTCGCAGGGCCGTTCTACTCGTTCGTCGTCCGCGGCTTCTGCCGTGGCCAGTCTCTCATCGACTAGATCTTGATCCTGGATCCCGTCTTCGATCCTGCCCTCCTCGGCCTCCTCGTCGGCCAGGGTGCTCAGAGCTTCTCGCAAAACATCCCGGGCGCTTACGCTCTGAATACCGTCCTCGGGATTGACAGTTGCGCTCGACAAAACCGCAACGTTGTCGTTGACAGCGACATACCGATGATGATTATGATTATTACGGTGAAGAAGATGATGCTGCTGCTGCGGCGGCGGTGGTTGATGATGAGTGACCTGACGAGATTTACGCGGATCGAAAAGATCCTCATCGCATTCGCTGCCTGTGACCGAGGTATCGCTGCCCTCCCAATCGCTGTCGTCGCCTTCGAGGAGATTCAGGGGTCGTCTCAACATTGGGGGTAGATGCCCCAAACTGGGGACTACGGAATCACCCAGTTGGTCGACGGCGACGAAATCCGCTCCCAAGCCCACGTTATCACATCCCGAACGGATAGCGTTCGGAACGAGGAGCTCCGGGAGCCCCTCAATGAGTCTCTGTTGGAGTTTCGCGTCGCTGCGCAGGATACTCTGAACGGATCGGCGGAGTCCGTCGTCGTCCTTCGCCGGAGAACTCCCGGACTGGACAGCGCTGTCGAGAACTTCACGTTGCCAGGCCTTGTAGTCGAAGCGGCCCTCGTGAGCCCGCATGAAGCCCACAACGGATTTGACCGCATCGCGAGTCAGCTGCTTGGCGCCCGAAGCCACCATGATTTGGAATATGTCCCGTGAGGATCTCGATGCGGCCAGCTGAGCGATTTTTGATGCATGACGTTTCGAAACATTTATCCTGCCGATCTCGTCTTCGTGTCCGTAATGCGAAGCGCAGACTGGAATGAATTGGAGAGATGTCAGCTCGTGCTCGCCCTATAGCCATGTTATTGGACCAACCCGCCACTGGAAACGATAGCGACCAAGTCTATGTGGCGCGGGAAGAAGCTCGACTGGCGATCGCCGCGAGATGCATCGAACTGACCTTTAGCCTCCCATAAACCGTCTCGTTTAGTCGACGCGATGATCCTTGCTGTGCAGCGGGTCTTGGCCTTTACGGCACCTTTCTCGATTCGGTATCGACCCGATCGGGAACATTCGAAGAACCACTCCTTCCCACACTTCCGGCGGAGGACAAATGCACACTGGGATCAGAAGCGGAAATACGTTACAATCGAAACTCTCATCATTCCATGAGGTCGCCCCTGGACGCGGAGCGGACAGAGAATTGTTCCCGTCAGACCAACTCACCTTCAGTTTACTTTCCATACGAGTTTTGAAAGCTACGAATTTGGAGAATGTGTTGAACACGTAAATATTTTCTTCTGGCTTCACGGTGTGCTTCTCCATGAGGTGACGCACGAACGCCAAGCGCTTCGATGTGGTAAATCCTGAGCCTTGCGAGGCACAATCGATACACTGGAATCGGGAGATCGATCTCGCGCGTCGCAAAGGAGCTGGTTCATTCTAGGAGAAGGGAGAAAGTTGAATTTTTCAGATGGTTCCATGTTATCTGTGTCATTTCGCTCCTCTCTCGACCGATTTGGCAGCGTATGCTCCTCTGGGGTTCCAGACATGCAGACTCACATCAGCCAACAGTACTTTGGTCCTCTCGTGAATGATTTTTCCATCTTTCCGCACAACCCGGAGCACGGACTTGAAGCGTGGGCTCTCACGTTCGTCTTCGGAGCTCTCGATAGAGAAATCGCTATCCACCTCGAAATCGGAGTCCCTGCAAAACGACCACATGTCAGCTCCTTTGTTCAGCAGGAGACGACCTCCGACGATCGATATCTTGAGCATCGCTCCTCAGAGATCCTGACCAGGATCGAGGGCTCACCGTTGAGTTGGGAATGTGTTCTCGAACGTTACGGGTCGAACAACCTTTATTATCCGCGAGCTTTCGTTCTGATCTTCAGGGCTGCTGTGCAAGAACTGAAGACTGAAAGATCAGGAGCGAGTTAGAAATTCCTCTCAGCTGTACGAGGTGAATTCTCTATCAAAACTACGACAGGGGAACCGGAACCCATGGGCCGTCGGGACTCCTCGAGAGTTAAATGCGTTCCCCTCACCATTCTCTCCGGTTGGCTTACCTGACTGACATATCTCTCACTGACGAGAATGCGGTCGCTGAAGTATCCCGATTGACCAACAAAGTCACATGGCTCCTGGCCGAACATTTCGGCGAAGCGTTCCGTTCCTGCACAACCATCGATTGATCATCTCCGGCAAAGTTATCCGAGTTGACAGCGGAATTTGATTTTTGACCGAGAGAGGGCGCTTCTGCGGATGACATCTTCTTGTTTCTCGGCGCTACTGAAGCTCGACGGCCCTGCGGGAAAATTATGAAAACGATGCATTACATGTGTGAAACAGGTCGGGTTGACGGGCGGCGGTCGCTCTAACGTTGTTGTTGCCACCGTAATCCAGATCGACGTCACGAATATTCTCCGTCTCAAAACTAGACGCTCGACAAGTGTATTGGGCCTCCTTTCGTCGGCAATACGGTAAGCTGTCTTGAATAATGAACGAGAGCTTATATCAGATGCCGCTCTCGAAGTTCGTGCAAGAGTCGTATCGCTAGATGGACTGATCCTCACTCAGACGGAGAATGAACGATTCGCGACCTTCGGCCGAGGCGCCGAGAAAAGGGACGCCAGTGAACGCGTCTGAGATTCCCGGTCGGGAGGGCTAACTGGGCTAACTCGACTCCCGGGTCCTGAGCAACAGACCATAACCCTCAAGTGCAATATTTACCTGTGGTATCGCGACGTCAATATCGAGGTTGGATGCATGGCCGTAGTGAGATAGTATACAATACACGGAGACCTTTCCGGTATGCACGCTACGCCGCGCGATCATATGGCCAATACAAGGTTTCCACCTGCAACGTTCGCCGATTGTTCAAAATATTGTTTTTCGTTTTTTCTTCGTGTTGTTCAAATGAGCTCGTTGGTCAGTACTGGACGCTCCATGGTTGACTTACCTGCTCGAATCAAACTGTTTGGATCTCTCTAACCAAGCGCAATGGAAAACTTGCGATTCGAGATTCTGATTCTGATAATATTGCACTCTGTGACACGGATAGGGCTGGGGAACAAAATACTGAAATCAGATCACACAGTCGAGCGGGAGAATCCCAGAGAATACTGTCGTCTGCTGGACTGGGCGCAGCCTAGAGGCCGTCATATCTATTGCTTCGACGGCTAGGTACAGGAGAAAAAGAAAGAAGACGATTCGATACCTTAACGAATTCCGCACGGGTCTCAGCTTCAAGCGACATTTTCCATTGCTGGAACTTGGTCCAGTCCGGAAACTCGAGCATTCGTTCGTCCACCTCGATGTGGTGCAGACATCTCAAGTGAATGATGAAGCGCTCTCTGTGAATGGACTTGAAGCTGCAGGCTTCTTCAAGGCATTGGTAGATGAACTTTTTGATCGGAGTACTGTGTGTTGTGAGATTCTCCTCGACTCTGGAAGAGGAGACGTGCCATGTTCAGCATTTCGAACTGGATCGTTTGCGCGGAAAACCTCGTGACAGAATTTCGCCGATCCAGCGTTTCGGTTTTTTGCAGTCTGAGCTCGAATACAGTCGACGATCGCCTGAATGTGCTCATTCTCCAAGTCGTGTCGCGAGGCGAGGGAAAATCGTTGTAAAAAACGGAGATAAATTACACCAGTTCACACCAGCTCCCCTCTGCTATAGCTTCTGCTTTATCTTGACTGTAACGTTCGCGACCGTTTGCATTCTATAAAACGATTATACTGACGATAGATGCCTGCTCCGTCACATTTAACGAAGCTCGATACCCTCTGAGACTCTGAGAGAAGAGACCAGAGACGGTCCGACAGAGATTTGGAAGAGACTGCCCAACTGGCAAGACCTATTGGCGCTTTTTCTCTGGGTAGTCGACTTTCGGAACGAGTTGAAGGGAGCTTTCTCCATAGAATTGTCCTAGGTACTCACGTGTTCTGCGATTTGGGATCTTCGAGATGAACTCCAGCTGAATCGAACGGAGCGTTGTCCCCGGCTGATGAGATCTGGGAACGAGAACGAATTCCTGTTTTGAGCCGGCTGATTGGATTACTCGTTATCCGATACTAGTCGCTGGGATGAACGAACTTCCAGACGCGCATCTCTCAGACTCGTAAACTCGCTCTCTCAGTGAACGTCTGGATGACTCCGGTCTCCAAGATGGGAACAAGACCACCTCACGAACCGTTAGGAGCCTCTCGCGCAACGTCCGCCTCTGGGACTTCTAGAGTCTGACGGTGGTGATCGGCACTCAGTCGGGCGAACTGAACGAACACATCGGATCTCTGAGCTCACATTTCCTCCGGGAAAGTTCTCCAACGCTTCCTCATCGGATAGTACCCGGAAGACGGGGATGTCGCTCGAAAATCGACACGGGACGAATCGTCAGTAAGGAACAAAGACGGACCAGAGATTGACACTGCCGACGGCCTAAACGACGGAAGCGACGTCATACTTGAATGGATAAGGGCTTGCGGAGACATTAGCATTTTTATTAACTGGACTCACAAACGAGCGAGCAATCTAATCAGCGCGGCGACCATCGGCTGCGTGAACCACCGTCAAAACAGAAAGGACGCTCGCGGACAACCTTCCAGAAAGACAATACTAATAGTAACAGCAACAACATCAACCACAGCAATCCCAAGCGATATTAATATCATTGACAAACTTCGATTATGCAAATGTCAATCACGCACGATCCGAGGGACCCTGCCGGCAGCCGTATATCAGAGCGTCATCGACGTGAGCGAGGAACCGATATCGGCGCGGCGCGGGAATTCTTTTCCCGAGGAGTTTTAAGGAACTTTGAGGGAATCAAGCCCGAAACAGTTCAGCGGCACTGCTCAGAAAGAGTGTCCGCCGTCTCGAGGTTCCCGAGAAATCTAGAAAAAACGGCTTGGAACTAAAGAGCCGAGTATCGCGAGAGCGATCATCATCATCTAGAGTAATAAAGCGATTCGACGCTGTAACGAACGGCCGCCGAATCAGCCTTGATTGACCGCGCAGCGACTTTTCTTGGAGTGGTGCCGTGTGGATGGAACGCTGAGATCTTGTTAGTTTGACCTCTTTCTTTTGAAGGTTCATAAATTCGGGCGCATTTTTTTCCGTCCGCTTCCTCCTCCGGGGGGCCCCACAGGATCACAAATTAACGTCCCTCTTTTCTCACAGACACACTCATGTTGAAGCACGGAACCGAAAGTTACCGAGACGTTCGCTCGGACCGAAGATACCGGAGAGCCGAGTTTGTTCCTAAATAGAGAAACAATCCAACAGCACCGACCATTTCCTTCTCAAGCAGAGTTACTGCTCGGAACTGTCGAGACTGTTTGGATTTCCTCCTCCCTCAGAAAATCTGCTCTTTGCGGGCAGAACACGGGACCTTTGAACGTTCGATCCGGCCTTTGAGATGGCGGAAGAGAAGCGCAATGATATCTGACTGGGTCGAATACAATCAATCAGAGATTTCATGGGACGAGCAATCGAACAGGAGAAACTCGCACCGTATTTCTCGTTTCTTCGGTATCCCCAAGTCGAAACGATTTATTTTCCTCACGGAAGGGAATGAAGCAGAAACCAATCGGAATATGTCGTTTTCCCGTTCCTTCATGGGTACCGGCGAGGGAGCCCGACCCGAGAAGGATCGTGTCGGCTGAGCTCATCCATTTCGGAGCCGTTGTTCACTATGCTTCCAATAATTCCAGTTCACGCCTGGATCGGATTCTCCCAAGCCGGAACTCTCTGCCGATGTGCATTGTCCCTACGGCGCCGCGGCACCGCTCCGAATCGAGAGCGGAACGATTTCAGGAACTCTCCCACCGTATCCGTGGTATGTTGGGCGTCACATGATCATCGGAGACTTGTCGGTCTATCGCTCACTCGGAGTCTGACGGGCGCGATGTCCTTCAGAGGTCAGTCCTGGGGTCAAGTTCAGATGCTTTGCGAGGACGCGAGCGGACCGGCCGATCGGTCACTGCAAGTGTCTCGTCCGAAAGCGAGCCACCAGTCGCTTCGTTCGAATGTGACTCTACAAACCGCAAAAGAGAACGAATGGTCGAACAGGGATAGCAACGATGTCTCACTGAATGGGCTAGGGGGCCTTCGTCCATAACGTGGCCACTACGGGCGCTCAGCGGTAATGATTCCACATCGGACCGGTAGCAAACGGGGCAGTCTGCCGTGTGGCTTCTAGACCGAAGAGAACGGCGAAGGAAAAAATGCGGGACAGAAGTTTGAGTCGAGTCAGCATCGCCACAGTCTTGGACGGGAGAATCCTCGGCTCCCCGCCCTCCACAAAACGTTTTGCACTAACTCGACCCTGGTTCGATGCGAGGGCTCTTGCGTCGCCAGATGATTGCCAGTCTAGGTCGCTCTCCAGCTGGAACTAGGCGCTCAGAATTTCAGATGACCGCGAGCATTGCAACGATCGATTCGTACGTCGGAGCCGAATGGAGCGACAAAACGTCTCATACTACGCTCGCGTTGTCGGATCCAACCTCAAGTGGGGAAGCAATCAATGAAAGCTTGTGTGCGATGAAAAATGGATTGATAAATTAGCCTTTTCATTTAACCGGCCTGCTTGTTAAGGAGAATGACCTCATCCTCCCGCCGCGGCCGGAGCAGCTGCTGTCTTAAGCCCGTCCCGGAATAGGTCCAAAAAGTCACGGCGGGAAGCGAAAGCCACCGAGGAACTGGCGAAAATGGTCCGGGTGCAACGAACGCTGTACGGCCCCAACCGAGTGGCGCTGACTGTTCAATGTCCCACGTAGGGATATAGCAGCCGCCGCCGCCGCCGCGGCCGCCGTTGTTGTTAGCGCGCCGCCGCAGCCGCCGTTCACTACAAGAAGAAGGTTTCGTTCACCTTACCACATCGATTCCATTCACGGAACATCGTGAATGGGAATGCTCGACCCAACCCCAATTATTCCGTTCGTTTTCGCAGACTCGTGTTTCTCTTCTTCCTCCATGCATTAACGATCTGCCAGCCGGGATGCAACTCGACAGTCGTCGCTATTCATTCTTACGCTTCATTAACGAAAAACTCAGCCTGAGCGTATCCAGGACGGGCAGAGGTTCCTTTTTGAGGATTACGCTATTCACACAGTCTCCATCACAGAATGATTTTTTTGGAATGCGGTACGGGTCGCAGAAAGCTCTCGGCTTTCAATTATACACGGCTTGAGAGTCTATCTGAGCCGCTGTGTAGTGCCGGTGAGCGTCGACCTCATCGTATTTTCCGTTATCGTGTGGAAACCTGCCAACGAGAGTTCGATCGACTCGGCCGGCTGAGGTCGTCCCGAGCGCCTCATCCCCGATGATGATAATCGTTGCTTTAAAGCACTTCGAGAGTTCGCGCGGGCTCGCGAGAATGCTCTCTCCTGCCACTGGCGCGGCGACATTCATTATTTCGTTTCCCACATTTCGAGGCGCGTGTGCGCGGTCTGCTTCAGTCAGTTATGTCGTTTCAGAGACAGTGACCTCCGGGGAAACCCAGCCCGGTGCTGTTTCTGGCCACCGTGGTATCGAGATCAGTAGCCTGGGCGGCAGATTCGCTCCCTCACCGCACTCACGTTGAGCCCATGAATAGACGTAACGGAGAAAATCCCTGAGCTTTCGAGAACGTTCGCGACCGAGTTGTTTTCTCGCCGGCGATGACCCCACGCTCGGCGCGGGAGCCTAGTCAATAGTTCCGCGCAGCAGCCGTCGCCTTAGGGATAGGCACACGGAAAGGCAAACCGTAATACGCAAGGCCGATCGATCCCTTGAGGAGGCGGACCGTCGGCGGACCCGCGGGGCTGACCTGCCGGACGGACGGACGGTCGCTCGGTCGGCCATCCTGCCTACCCAACCATTCGAACGCAGCGGCGGGTCCGCTCGCGAACGAGCGAACCGTTCGTCTACTGGAGCGGAGAAGCTTGCTCTGATGTTTTCCGAATATAGATCTGCTGATGTTGCCGTCGTCGTCGGGATCGTTCTCACAATGTAAAACGTATCGGCCGCGATGACGACCGCGGCTCCTCGAGCTCGAGCTTATTCTGACCGAGGCGACCCTGATTCTTCAGGAATACTTTCGAGGAAAAACTCTCAAGTGCGCAGATGATTCCCCCGGGCTGAGAGCATCAGCCCCAAGTTCCCCTCTGGACGGGTTTTATCCAAGGAAAAGCTGAGCATTTCTGACACCTGCGTGAGGTCTTGGGGGAGGGGAAGAAACTCTCGGCAAGGATTCTTTGAAAGTGTTTCCGCTCCACCCTCGACGCACCAGTCGAGCTTACGCGGGTCTTGTCCACTTCCGACAGATTGGCACACGTGCCCCGCGGCTGGGTCGGTCGGAGACGACTTCCGGCACCGCTCGAGAGATCCCAGAAAGAGTTTTCCGAACTACCGACGCCCCACGAGCAAATTCTCCTTGTGTGGGTATTATGCCCGGATGGAGTCTTGAACCTCTTATGCTGAGTAGAGGAAATGTCGTTCGCGGATATTAGGTGAAGAAGTATCCGTCGCCGATGCATGATCAAAAGTGTATCTTTAGGTAACGAGATTACAATAGCGAGCACGCATGTAATCACGTTAGTCAACGCGCCAAAGGCTCTTCTTCGCTTAGATAACGGAAACAATCAACCGAGAACACTTGGGCGGCCGACCAGATCGGGTCGGTTCGCTCGGATACGAGGCTCTCGCCATCATTTGATTAACCGGAGAATAAATAATTCTTATTGTGGGGAACGTTCTCAGATATCCACAAGCGTATGCTTGACCTTCCGCTCAAAAGTGAAAAAAATTCATCGAGCCGTCGCGGTCACCGCTGCCGATTGCGACCGGAATGTTTTACTCCTACCATTACGATTGCCAACCCGACCGACCGGCCGGCCGATCAGCGGACGGCTAGCTAGCGATTTTCGAGCGCTCTGTCGGTAAACTAGACTGTGCTTACTCACCTGTTCCTCCACGAGATGCTGTTTGCTCAGACGGGGAGATTTCGTCGGAGGGAACACCGTCAATTTCTCAGACAAGATCGGCAAAGGCGAAGTCGGCAGGCATCCGTCGCAGTTGACTCCGGTCAAAAGCGTCAAAGCCCCCGAGGAACTCATCGGTGGGCAGCCAACGAGAGCCGTTGCTTTGGAGCACACCATCTGTGCCTGCAATTCCGGAAAAGAATTCTATCAGAGACGAAGTTTTAGGACCTCGCTCAACTCGTTGCTCTTGGTGGACAGTGAACGCAACGGCAGTTATTCTGATTGACACCTAGTAGGTAGAAGTAGTCAAGTGCCGCTCTCGACCGCAGCGTGGCGCCCTTTGCGAACGCGTATCAATCGAGTCACAAGTATAGTTACGAATAGCTAAAAGGCGATCAAGAGTTTAGTCTGGGCGCTTCCAGATGATCGCCAAATAATTCCTCTACGTCTCTTTTCCCAACAGCGTTGCCAGCTCAGCCGGTCGGTAGGGGTGCTTCGAGAGAGATCAAGGAAAAATTTTCCGAGGCAACGATCGGAAGCCCGTACCGGACGGGGTTCGCCACTACTTTCCCGCGAGTAATACATCTGCATCGCTAAGCCGATTGCGTGCCCTCACAACGTCCTTCAAAGTTACACAAGGCTGGACTCGCTCGTTGTCGTCGTCGAATTTTCGAGAGAGTCCCGCACCGAGTCGCGGAAAAGACTCGAAAGCTCCGTCGGATGTTTTGACAACAGAGTCGACCCGATTCCCGGAGACTGGAAATTTCGCTTTGTTCTGTTTCGTAATTTCAGAACTTCAAAGCTAGTTCTAACAGGCGAACGCGCGGGGAGCGAATTTCATGTGGGGTGTTCCCGGGCGAATATTTCACGATTGACAGCTCCAACATGGGAAAACGAGAGTATCCCGATCCCTTCGGGAGCCTAATGGCAGACTACGGCCATGGCAAACAAGGTAAGCAAGGCGGTCGACGAGTCGCACGTCAGGCTAATGTTCGATGTTCGGCAAAAACAGGTTACCTCGACTTTGCCCGGAGGGATCTTCTCCCTCCGCAATCCCCCGCCAAGGTCGAAGTTACCTCTAGCGCACCTGCGCAGCGGACACCTCATCGTAATACCAGGGACTCATCTGGATCTGTCCGATTCAGCGACCGACGGGATTTGGAATTTCGATCCCCCTCGCAAGCATTTCTCATCGAACTAGTCGTAAGTTTCGGAGGAATTCCGGCCCCAATACATCGCGGATGAAGTTCTCGGGGTCAGAATCCGAACATTATATATTTTTAGGTATGTACTGCCGACGATGACTACATCATGCGGAGTGCCACCGATAGGGACGGGAGTTTCTTTGTTTCTGAAAACCCTCTCCCACGCACGAGCTTCTGATGCTGCTGCACAGAGACAGTCTTAGGCTGACGGCCGAATCGAAATGAGGAAAGTTTGAATTATTATACGCGCTCGCTCAAGTGGACAGTCAAGTCGATCGGTCAGACGGCTGAGCGAACGGCATCTCCGTCGGCGGGCACACAAGCCTCGAACGGCAGGCGGAGGGAGAACATGATCCTTCATTCGTCCAGCCAGTAATAATTCCAATAGCTCACTGAAAACACGAATTCGATTCTCCAGGAACGCTCACTCTCCTGCGAGCTTCGGCAAAACGCGGATGAACACCACCCGAAACGAAGATGACAGACAGCTCGATTGATCGAAGACTGAGAAGGCTATTTTGATGTCCGAGCTGAACTGTTGAACAACGTCGACAACGCCGTTGAGAAGGCCGATGACGGTGCTCATCGGAGTGACGTGAAGCTGATTGGCTTGCCGTTGTCTGAAACTCTCAAGCACCGCTGGGCTCACTCAGTTAGCCGCTCGGATGAGGGATTCGAATGCGGCTAGTCTAAGGTCTGGGACAATGGCCTTGATCCGCCTGCGGGGTGCGCATCCACAAGGTTTGCCTATTGCCCATCAGAAGGTGAGACCGCGCAGGTGACGCCGCATCACCGAGGCAGGTCGGGAGCAATCGCAATCGGCTGAACACAACAATGTGAAATTGTTCTCGATACGAATTGCGCGGTGGTCTCCTCCCGACGGTGCCGATCGGCTTCCATGGGATGGACTAATTGAATCTCCTCCTCCTGCATGACGGGCGCCGACGCAGGAGATACGGAAGCGACGGACGCCCGACTGAATATCGAGTGTCTCTCGACCGCTCAAACCCTTAACGGGGGACGGGTCTCCCGTGAGGACAGAACAGCCTCGTCGGTTCCCTCTGAGGTCGTGGATGTCTCACTCAGTGAAATGCGTCTCGGCTCCTATCGGAATAAATCCGCGGGCACAAGAATATCTTTCCGCAACTCCCCCGGGTCCTGTTTCAGCCTTCTTGGCGTGTTCTTCTATATATCAGCTAGAAAAGCCAGAACGGAATGACGAGCGGACGACCTCTGACTAAGGGGGCCGAAGGACAGACAAATAGACAGAGGCACCGGCCCACAGCACCGCGAGAACATCGAGGTGAGTGGAGCCGTCTCTTTCGAGAGATTTCTGAGTCTCGGAATAGCCTCAAAACTTCGTGTCCATCGCATCGATCGAATCGGTCAACGCAGCGGTCCTGCGCCATATTTGGAGAAAACGGTGCTTTCTTGGTAATAATTAATGGCTGAATCGCTTGAACTGGCAGTTCACGGCAACGACAACGTCAACGCCAGCTCCTGATTGAAGCGGGGCGTTGCGAGCGACTCCCTCCGCGCTGACCGCGGAAAACGCGGAATCCTCTGCTGTCGCTGTCAAGAAGCCGTGACAGCAGCGCTCACAACATCCTCGCAGCCTGACCCATCCCGAATTCGGAACAGTAATCCGAGCGAGAATGGAGTCGATGGCTAAATATTACGGGCACGCATCGAGGGATTCGGTGCTCTATGCTCACGCATAAGAAGCTGCGCTGTAACATCGCAATACTGCCCAGTCATAGTCGACCAGTTCAGTTCGGATTTCGAAATTCACTTCGAACTTCGAACCATAATCATGTAGGTAATCGAGTCATACTGAATAATACTGAATAATAATAAATGATAAAACACCACATGGCAACAATGTCGCGGAGGAGCTAGGAGTAGGAGCGCGCCGAGCGTCCGAGATTTTCCGGGACAAGAACACCCCTCTGTTATGTAAAAACAAAGAGGAGGGAAGGACGGCGGCTGCTCGACTGTTCTAAATTTGCTACACTCGAACCCGGTTCAATAATCAATGAGATCCCGTCGGCGCGACCGACGGGTGTCTTCGCTACATCGGGACGCCAGAGGACATCCGACGAGCCGACTCTGGGCTTGACATTCATTTATGAGCTCGACTTTGGGTCTCAAAGAGCCGTGTGCCTTGACCGTGGCAGCGGCAGCCACCGCAACATCATCATCATTGTCGTAACCTCGCTTCCTGCGCTAGGGAAAGGAAAATCATTCCAGACGCTGTTGAAGCGGTGCAGAGATTATTTCCGACCTCCGTCACTGACTGCCTTTCGAGTCCACCAGGGTCACACGCCGAGAAAGTCGAGTCTACAGTTTCCGGACGAAGTCGCCGGATCCGTCGAAAAGTTCGTCGCTCTGGGCCTTCGTTGGAAAAGCTCCTTGAGAATGAGTCGGAAAGAAACGATTTCATATCGCTACAAAATGACTTCCATGAGTTTGCACTCGAGAGTCGCTTGAAAAGCCGCGGTAGCGGTTGACGAACGATTCAATGCCTTTGAGAAATATATTGGTAAGTCTGGTTATCGAATGATTACATCTACGGCTCCGGGTAATGGAGGTTTTCTCTGTTTGCCCCCAGTGCGCAGCATTCTCTCTTCCGGAAATATCGGTCTGTGTGTTTACGCCACGACGACTTTCGGACACGAGTGGCACGCCAAGGTGCAATATGCCTGTGCCCGAGCCTTCCGACGGCACGCACGGACCGCGACTGCGTGAGCGGAGATCCGCGTCATTCGCCACCCCATGGATACCACCGAGAATTGCATCGGTGCAGACGGAAACAATTACGGGAACGAATTACGTCAAGGGCATCGAGCTTCCAAGATTCCTCATACGGTAGGGCCTTCCGCACAAAGGACGCCTTGAGTATTCGAGGCATTCGTAGCTCGGCAAGGCGAGCGGTTTCCTCAAGAGCTTGCACCTGTAGCGATACTGAGGCTGGATTCGAAGCAGCTAGCCCATAGCTAACGAGAAGGCGAGCGCGAGTATTCAGGAAAACACCTCGTCGAGTAAATCAATGAAGACGGCAGTGGCGGCGGCGCTTAGGGAGTCGGCAGCAGCAACTCGACCTCGAGTTTGTGTTTTCAACTTGTGACAAATTTAGAGTGCTCGACCACCACTGTCGGTGCCGCTACCGCTGGTACAAACGCTGCAACGATGACCGTTTGAACCGCAATTACAAGAGACGAGGCTCTGCGCTGGCGATCGATGTCCGTTAGAGAGTTCTAGATTCGAACCCGGGCATTGTAAATCAATTGACAATCTCCCACAAACACAGTATCCTACGCCGTGGGTGAGAGGCGTAGCTCCCTGGCCCGTCATACACTTTTGATTTCCGTTCGGGTCTTACCTACTCTCGGTGCTTATTTCTGAGCACACGGCACAGTTGTTGTTGAACCGTTGTCGATCTCTTTCTCGATTCTCAATCAGTCAACTCGAACGAGCGGATCTGCACTTGCGGCGTAACAATCGCCATTTCCAGGTGTCTCGGAGCGGTTTTAAGAAGTCACTCCTCACAGTCAGTCCGACAGTCAGTGAGACTTATTGACAGGTAGCCGGGAGTCTCCCGGCTAACGCACAAAAACTAGCACCAACAACGACTCTCAGGGGAAGGAGCGAGGGCCGTAAAGCTGCACGACGTCGTCTGTCAGCTAATGAACGATGCTGCGGGAACACCTTCAAGTCACCGAGCAAGACCCTAGTTCACGGTGGATACACTGGCCAGACCGAACGAAGCTACCGCCGCTGTCGTCGACTCGCTAGAAGTCTTGTACGAAGCAGCGTCGAGATCGACGGGGACTCAACTTGAACAGCTTCGACATGAGCAGCCGCAACATTCGTAGCAAAAGCGAGCACAGCGTTTGTTGGCTAGTTGGTTGGATGGTTGTTGGCTAGCTAGCTAGCTGTCTGGCTGGCTCACTCGGTCGTTCGTTCGTTCGCTCGCTCGCTCGGGTTCAACCACCCCGGCGTCGAAGCGACGGGCGGATCTCTGAACGCAGCGTTTGCGACGACGGGCAAACTTCAGTGCGCGACTACAATCTGTTCCCTGAGAGTCCACAGCAGGCCGAACAATGTTCGCACACGTCCGAGATCGCTTCTACGGCATGTAATAACGTCACCTGTATCTTGCGAATGAACGGCAAGCAACGACGGTGACGGCGGTGGTGGAAGTAGCGGCGGCGGCCGCGGCTACTGGCAGCTCACGGAGCGACGGCGACTAGCCACTGAGCCAGTAAGGAGGACATTCAACCAACACAACAACCACCACCAATGGGAGCAGCGGCGGCAGCAGCGGCCGCAGCGGCAGCCGCCGCCACAGTACTCACCTGGAATTGAATGGTTCGAGATTCGGGCTGAAACTCGATGGAATGCCGACGAGTTCACCGACACAGGGGCACCGACACAGCCACTAGCTCACTGGACTCACGAAGACACTAAGGACCGGTCACACTCCGACGGAGTTCGCGGACAACTCCAGCTTTAATGTCGTCGTCCGTCGGCCGTCGTCGTCTTCTCCGTTGACGAGCGCTGGCTGCTCGTCTGCCTGATGGCCGCTGCTGCTGCGAAGTCATTTACAGCGGCGGCGGCGACGGGAGCTCCGGATACCGAGACAACAAGAGCGCCAGCGGTGGTGGTGGCGGCGCATTCGAAACCGAAGAGATCGGCTATATTTCCGTTTGGAAGATAATTTCCGAAGGACGGGGACTGACGCTCCGTATAATTCAGGGTTACCCGAAGACTTTATTCCTAATCATTGCAACAGCGGCACGGTGCAGGTGTTTTTATTTGAAATTCGGTTTGTGCCCTTGTACGCTTTGAACGGCGTACTTTTTGCGCTTTTACGTGTGCGTAAGATAGCGTACAATTGTATGTTAAGTCTATGGGAGGTGCGTACAAAAATAACGGGGGTGAAATTGCACCGATTTGGAATTTGTCGATGGGAGAGTGTAAAGGATGATTCCATGATCTCTGATAAAATTTTGAGCATAATCGGGCGCTTGCTTCGGCACTTTTCCAATGCTGATTCTTCGATCATAGGAGCTCGAAAATCCGCGTCAACAAATCCTTAAAAAGACGGAGTCGCTTCGCGTCCCAGTGAAGCATCGGACTTTATTTTTGAGATAAGTATCTTCGAGAATTTGACTGTAAATCAAGGCGAAAACCGTCTCAACTCCTTTCCACAAGTTCCATTCAATCAAGAAACTCTAGGCACTGTAGACTCTAGATCTAGATCTAGAGGACTTGATCTCCCAGTGACGTCAGACACTCCCCTCGCTGGATATCCTTTCCCCCCCCCCCTCGATGATAGGTATGACAGCCAGAGGAAAAGGTATTGGCGACGTCTTGGAAATAGTTCCCGAATCATCTCCGAAGGCTTCGTCATGGAGAATGAAGAGCCATTGAGGAAATTCGTGACGGTCAAGAATGCAAAAAGCTGGGTCTTGCAGTGGTTCTTGAGAGACGGCAATGAGGCTCAGTGTACGCTCTGCGGTAAGGTGAGGCGCTGGCTGATGGATAAGGTTGTGCTGAGCGTAAAGTTCGCGAGCAAGCCGCGAAGAATCCGTATCCGAGGGATTCGTAGACGATTATCACCGCACAGAACATTGTGGGGTCTTGCAGAAGAGAACTATGCTGGGGTCCTCCATGGGTATATGGATTCGATGAAATTGGCTTTCGTCCTCGATCTCAGTGGGGGACCTGCGTCGTATGATTCTCATCGAAGCTATCTCATTTGCGATCGCGGAGGGAGCTTCGAGCTCTGATTCCCTGAGAGAATACAGATCAGACGGAATTCGCGTATTACCGCAGCACGATCCATACAGTGCGTGCTCCGAATTTGAGAAGAGAATCCTTCTCATAGGTTCTTAAGGAAGATCGGACAACTAGCTCTCTGATCAAGCAATCGAGAGACCCCGGACCGTAAGTTCGGCCTGGAAAAAAGATCTCTACCGTTGCACGAATCTTCGCTACAACCAGAGGAGAAGACCAGAGGACGGCAGCAGTCAGCGATTTTCGATGCCTACCTCCGCAGGTCCGTCGCCGTCGAATCCGACACTATTTTTGCTCCAGCACTTGAGGATTTTCGCGGTCCTGGTCTCGCCGGAGCCATTGGCTTCAAATCTTCGCGGGCGGCAGCGGACTTCTCCTTCGGCCGCTGACGCAGTGGCAGAGGCAGAGAGTTTTCAAGCTGCTCTCTCCCTCGGAGAAACATGGCCGCCCCGCCACCAGCCGCCAGGTGTTTGTGTTATGATGTAATGATAATGGTGATCATTGTGCCGCCGCTGTCTGCCTCCCATAGGAGAGAAAGCGCCGCAGCCGCTACCCAGACAGCCGACCAGCCGCCGACAGAGCAGTGTGCGACGACGAGTGCTGATCTAGAAAAAAAACTACGCATAGAATGGCGTGGCTGACTTACGTTTTCGCGGCTGCTTTAATCTGTGGAGAAGCCTACGGAAATGCGGTCGTTTTCACCGAGAGCACTTGGAATGACATGCTCCAAGACGAGTGGATGGTCGAATTGTGAGTGAACGTTAGACGAAAGTCAGCGCCAGTCGAATAGATTTCTTATGGGACGACGAATGCGCATCAGCACGTGATTCCCGAGTTCTAACTTACGAGAGCACGTATTAGGTGCGATAAGAATGCCATGTATGGTATCCGAATTACCATCCTAGCTGTCTCGGGTCACGTGGAACTGTTCCGACGGAGAGATCAAATTGGTTTTGATGGGCACGACTCCGGGCTCCGAGAGCGGGGAAAGCTTACCGTCGCCGATGCGGGATTTGATTTTCACATCCTCTACGGTATTGGTCTTCATGGAAATACCCAAGATGCGGCGTGCTAGAATACTTGAAGGAAGCCGATAGGCTTGAAGTCAGCTGACCTCGAGTGACATCGCAATCTCCGGGTAGAAAAATGAGGCGAAAACCTATGTCAGAGATTCGGATCGAGAGATTCTGCTGAGTATCACTGAAATCTCTCTAGACGTATGTCGGGATATCACGTGGATCGAATGTTTTCGCATATCCATCGTGGATCTATGTGGCGTTCGTCATGTGTCGTTTTTGATGTGCCTCGGAATGCCACGGCGCTGAGTTTCAAGCTCTGCCCACGCGAGTCCGAACTAAACGTCGCGGTCCTCGATTTTGGATGCTGTTACCATTCAAGTTGTAACAGTGACGTGGGATCGTCCTGGACGGATTACTCCGAGAGATTCCCTCTGCTGCTCCTATCAAAGCCTCTGAGTTCAAATTCATTCCGTGAGATCCCTAATAATCCATCGCTGCAGAGATCTCGACGACTTATTCAGACGGACGCTCTAAACCGGAGATGCGCGAAAAATTATTCGGAGCCTTCCATCGACTGCCAATAGAGCGCAGTGCGTGACCGACTGCATTTCCTGTCAAATTTCACTGTGATCGAATCCGGGGAAAGCTCTTTGCCGTGAAGCACTAGAGCCTCATCGAGGGATTTCCTCGAGAACAATATCATTCATTTGGCGAATTATATTTCAGTTATGCGCCTTGGTGCCCGGCGTGCAAGGCTCTCGTGCCGGTCTGGAATGACTTCGCCGATTGGGCTCCGCATTTGAACATCAGAGTTGGTCAGGTAGACATAACGCAAAATCCGGGCCTCTCGGGACGATTCATGGTCACCGCGCTCCCAACGATATACCATGTCAAGGATGGAGTCTTCCGACAATATTCGGGCGGCAGAGATCGCGACTCGCTGATGAATTTTGTTCAGCAGCAGAAATGGTCGCAGGTGAAGCCGATCTCTAACTGGAAACACCCGAATTCTATTCAAATGTCTACTGTGGCTCAGTTTTTCCGCTGGTCGTACCAGATCCGCGCTATACACACCCACCTGGTCGACCACACCGGGCTGCCCTATTGGTTGAGCTATGCTTTGTTTGCTCTCGCTACGATTGTCATCGGAGCGACTCTCGGACTCCTAATCGTAGCTGTAATCGACTTCGTGTTCCCACCGAAAGCTTTGGAATACCAGCGGATGAGCGAGTCTGTCTCGCGGGGAAACGACAGCGACCTCGCCGAAGATGAGAGCGTGGACCAATCCCCTAAGGCGGAGAAAGACAGTACGGAGTCGGCGTCAAAGAAGAAGAAAAGTAAAAAATCGATTGAACCTGTCGGAGACGGCACTCTGGATTGCTCTCCGTAGCGATATTAGTAACGAGCGGTTACATATAGAGAATGCTTTTTCTATTCGAATCGATGACGTGAAAGATGGTGAGTCTTCCGTCGTGCGCGACGCGTGTACAAAATTCCGTAAGAAATGAGAATTCCCTCTCAGATCCACTGTAATTCAAAGGGAGCTTCTGGCTCCGCTTTCCGTCACTGAAGTTGTTAGACAACGAGACCTGTAAGAGCAGCGCAAGAGGTAAAGCTGCGCGTTTCAACCGAACTTTTAGGGTTGGCGTGTGTGTATAATATGATCAAATACCCAAAAAAATTTCGTACTGGGAGCTAATTGAATAATGCTCTGCTTTTGATGCAAATAGTTTTCCCGGTGAGCAGCGTGAGCTCATTAATTTATTTAATTAAAACTGCATGTTCAAGGTGAATATGTTCGGATGATGAGCGAAGTGGGACTTCGGGAACAGAGATATGCGAAGCCAATAAATTTTCGTTGATTATTTTTGCAAGAAAAACAAATCGCTTCTTCGATCCTGGCTCAGAGAAGCGGGCATCAAGCATGAATGATGATACGTGTTATGAAGATCATCGACTCCAACATTTATTCCAGGAAGTCAGAGAGAGCTTCTCCGATCTCTGGCACTGTACAGACATCCACAAGTATACAATGTTCCCATCAGCGCTCGAGCTGATGCGCAAACTCATGCGAAAGTGACGTGAATAAAATATCCGGAATTTGTTACAGAGATGGATCTCTCGAATATGATTCGAGGCAGTGCTCCTCTCGGAATGTACTACAACCGACTTTGGCTTAGAAAACACATCGACTTGCGCGTGTGATCCGACCCAAAGAACATATGTTGCACATAGCGAGGGGTTCAGACTCAGGGGATCTCCATTGGCACATTTTCCTCTCGATTCGCCTTATCTTTGATGTTTTGGTACAACTGAGTCTTTTTTGTGTCCGGGTTGTAGCCTAACCACATGCTTGTGGCAGGTCTCCTGCTCATGTTGTCCTGCGGGTGAGGAATTCGAAAGGTGACGTCAGTTAGTTGGTCGGAATCGGATGCTGCGTCCGATAGTTCGAAACACTTCGGAATGGGGAATGGGTTCGAAATAACGACTTGAGCGAGAGATTCTCTAGACAACAGATGTCCTCTATACCTCAGGAGCTCACCTTTATCAATCCTAGGAGAGACGTTTTTCCAAGAAGATCAGGAGCCACTCTAAGTTTTTTTGGCTTGATATCCTCTGACGGAGACGGATTTTCGCTCGAATGCGACGCTTTCGGCTCAAGTTTAACCGATTTCGGCGCGTCGAGGGAAGCTGGAGGGAAAATGATATTTGAGGGTTAAGGCACATTCAGAAACCAACGACAAGGTTTGGCAGATACTGCACCGATCGCCGAGCACACGCGTCAGGAATTCGAAAACTCAGTGCAGAAAGTCGAAGTATCGGAGCGCTCGATCAAACATTCTTCAGTGGCACAGCCCAGTGTTTGAATTCAGGCATATGTTTTTCATCCGCGACCCTCAGGGGTCCGTGGCGCAACGGATAACGCGCCTGACTACGGATCAGGAGATTGCAGGTTCGAATCCTGCCGGACTCGTTTTTCCTCGATTACGCTAGGCACGAGCGAGAATGTTCCGGCGTAGAGTTGATAATCAAACGGAGAATCCCCAGTGAGGAAAACTCTGAGCGTCTAGATGCGGGGACGATCAGATTTCCCCCCAGGAAAACAGCGAAGCACCGAGCGTTAGGACCGAGCCGCCGCCATTATTACAATTTTTTTCTTTTCAATCCCAGTCTTCCTTTCCGAAAAAGGAAGAGCGCTGTATACAGATAGGGTTTTTATGATAAACGATTCAGCATTCGGTATCGATATGGCTCGCAAAGTCTGCGTTGCCCCGTGTTACCGGGGGACGCTTGGTGGACGACTTTTGGCGCCAAAAGTGCGCCTCGGTCTCGATCATCGAAAGGCCGCCGGCCTGGCGCTCTGCTTGGACATGAATCGGGTGGTACATTTCCTTGTCGATTGCGTTTCACGAAAAAGTCATCTACGGCTTGCCTTCGCAGAATTAGAGACCGGAATGGGCGAAGGCGGAAATATGTGCCAGCGGGAAGAGGAAGAGTTCGGAGGTTCAAAATATCGCCCAACGTGGGGCTCGAACCCACGACCCTGAGATTAAGAGTCTCATGCTCTACCGACTGAGCTAGCCGGGCACATCTTTAACAGCGAGAATTTGCTGTTTTAGCAAGGTCCTCGGGCCGGTGAGGAGCTGTGGGAATCTCGTGAACCATCGAGCTTGGCTCTCGGTATAGACGAAATTGAAGGGCGAACTTACCGACTGTTTCCGATTTTTTACATTCCAGAAGACATTCCAAGACCTGCTGATGTTCGGCGGTCGTGCAGTAAAGTCTAACCAGTTGTTCGAGCTCGGCCCACAAGGCCCGATACTGTTCTTCTTTCTTGAGCCCGCTCTTCCCGCGTGGACCGGCAGAGCCGGACGACAGAGGAAGAGTACTCCCTTTCGTTTCCATATGCATCATGTTCAGTATCACCTGTCGGGGGAACAAGGCTTCAGCGCTGAATGTCATGGAACTATGTATTGCGTTAAAGTAACAGCCTTAGCCTTGGTCCGACAAATTCGATGAGACTCTGAGCGAGAATGAAAATGATCAAGAAAAGTTCTCCTCCGGTTATGTCGAAGGGACACTGATACTTCTGCATGCGAGCATCCCGAGGTCTCGAATCAGCATTCTACCACCCGATGCACGAGCTCATTACAGCAGACGTGGATTGGGCTATCCCAGTCGATACGAACGGAACAACTCAAACGGAGGCATCATCACTCACTTTTTTGCACTCCACAACTTGATCGAGGGTTATGCTTGGTTTGACAATGATACTCAGGAGCGGCTCCAGATGACTTTGAGCATTGTAGACGGAGGTACTACTGATTATCAGCGGCCAGTACAGAGTCGTCCTCGATATGCTCGCAAGCGTCATGTCGAGGGGATTCTCCGTGGTGGGTCCTTTACTTGTATCGTACGGAACTAGGGAGTGGTCTTTCATGAAAGTCCCGAAATCGGTGATTCTGTAGTCGGTGACCCGGCCTCCCGTTCCTTCGCTGATGCTTGGAGGGTCTTCAAGGGCGGATCTTCCCGTTCCCAGTGTGTGAATGTAAATTTCACCGCCGTGACTCGCCAGCATGTGGCTTAGTAGTTTGGATCCTGATTTCCTTGGTAGCTCCAGCATCACGGTCCGACCGGTCAGGAGGAAATTGGTCAGGCAGGACGACGGTCTCGAGTTAATATCGACCGGGGTGATTCTGAACGCCGCCGTGCAGTACTGGAGCTCGTGAGCCGGAGCCGTACGAGGGGTACACCACTTCAGGGTGACCTCGTGCTTCTCGTCGCTTTGATCCACCTTGAAATCTGAATGCGCAGCTGCTGGATGAAGTAATTCAACGTCATAGTTCGCAGATGAGTTTGCGTTTTGTTCTTCTTTCATTGGAATGCCTGGGAACGGAATGGAGAAATCAGGGCACCGTCGCATCCGTGCACGGGCGTCGAGAGAGGCAGTACCCGGATGTACCCCGCCCGGAACCTCGCGATCTCTCGATGAAGCGGCGAGATCGCCGCCTCGCATATCCTGGATATCCATGTGACCCTTACCTGTTACTGTAGTGATGGCGAGATCGTAATGCACCTGTACGAGTTCACACAGCTTCTCCGATAGGAAGTAACCCGAAGTAACCTTGTGAGCTTCAATGGTGAGGAGGGTCCCATATTTTCTCTGCGAGGGAGCTATCGATATTTCCTTGGTGCCAGGAGAAGTGTGGATCAGAATTATTTCAACTTCTTGTAGAGGAACCTGTTTGTCGTCTTGTGTAGCGACCTTGTTCACGATGTCCAGGGTCGTATTAAGTTTCTTCTCGAGTTTCAGAGTCTGCAATAAAATCAATTTCGTCACACCAATACTACTCGCTCTCTCAATGCCGTCTGGATACAATAAGCATATTCAGTGTCGATGACGCTATCCTTATTGCACAACGAAATAGTTTTGTCCGCTGGGGCAATAGAGTTTTCAAATAGGATGAGCGCACCTCGGTTTCTCCTTGCAATTGGGTGATGACTATGACTCGACCTCTGTTGACGACTTCGGTTTGAAGATCCAGGTTCGTCCTCCTCTCGTGTTGAATCTCCGACGGCTCGCACAAGGTTCCCAGAGCCATCTCCACCGCGCGAACGATGTCTAACTTGTTTTTCGCCGTCGATGGCGGCGGGATCTGAGCAAGGAGATTTTGAGTAATTTATCGATCAGCTCTGTGTATTGCGGCTGTCAGAGAAACGGCAAGAACCAACCTTTCCGAACGATGCCATGACTTGCGATACACTCTGTTCGCCCCATGTGTTCAGGAATCGCGTGTCTTCCCCATCGCCAATCACGAATCTGATCAAACGACCTAGGAGAGGAAGCATTCTTCACACGATGAAACGATCGATATAAGTATTGTAAGAATTATATGGCTGAGCCTGCTCTCTTCATTTTTTGAACCGAACAGAGCATGGGCTCACCTGAGGGAAAGATGTCCCAAACTATACGGCAATACTCGACTGAGCTCTCGACGGAACAACTCCAGAGAGACTTCGAGATGGGAGCTAGTGGGATCAACGTTCTTGTTTTGGTGATCTGATCGAGGTCGATCATCTGCTGACTCGATGCCAGAAAATCACTCCCATGATCCAAGACCATCACCGTTTTGTGAGAAAGCGGGAACGACATCTGTAAGAGCACGCTGCTTAGGTTCGATAGAGTGAGCAGCTTCTCAGAACTCAATATGAGAATCAGCTTGACCCTTGGTCACAAATTCCATCTGTGAGGAGCAGGGTCTTCCCCGCTTCGGGAGACGGGCCCGCTCAGTGGAACTCGCGCGAGTGATCTTTTTCCGTCGGAACCGGCTTATCGAAACACTCGGTTGACAAGACGAAACATCCTGCGTTGACCACTCACTTTCGGAGCTTTAGCTGCGCTGTGGAACTACGCGGATCGCAAGTCCCTGGCGAGCAGAGATCGTCACCGAGTTTATTCCCTCATGGAGACGTTTCACGGGTCATGGAGAAAGTAATGATTATTGCTCTTCCTTCTGCGGGCATTATGAGGGTTGCTACCTACTCTGGATGTCGGAGGGAGATCGTGCGTCGTCTGCTTGTGTGGGAGAGGGCGAATGTGAGATCACAAGCAGAGGCCCTGGAACGAAAACAGACTCACGTGTGTGAGGTCGGCATTCTCGGATTTCGGTGGTATTCGGCTGTTGGAAGTATTCTAAGCGTGAACCAGCATGAAGAAAAATAAGCGGACGGCTTCCGAGGCTCTCGAGGATAAGGGCGAGCAGGAGCGATTCGTAAGTCGAGGAAGAATGCTTGCGCCTCATCTTCGGGATGTAAGCAGCGCACATCGCGTCAATGTTTCACTCTATCATTTATGTTTCAGACAGAGGTTGTTCAAAAGAGAATCAAGGTCGATGACGATCCCCTGGCTCGGAAACAGCGTCGAGTGGATAGGGAGAAGGAATTCGCGAAGGAGCGAGGCGTGATTTACGTCGGTCACATCCCGCACGGTTTTTACGAAGACGAGCTGAGGAAATATTTCTCACAGTTTGGTGAAGTGACGCGGGTCCGAGTTTCTCGAAGCAGGAAAACAGGTATATTGTCTTCACGAGAGAAGTATACGATACGTTTGGCACCAACCGGGTTCCCCGGTATGATACAGGCGGCGCAATTGACTTCCTTCTCTGAATTCAGGGGGTTCCCGAGGCTTCGCCTTCGTCGAGTTCCAGCATGACGCTGTTGCTGCGATCGCCGCCGACACCATGAATGGTTACTTGATGTTCGATCGACTCCTGAAGGTCAACGTCGTGCCCAAGGAAAAGGTTCATTCAGACATGTTTGCACTCCGGTACCCCTTCCCACTGAACCGAGAGATCACGAGAACTTTCATCAACGCTGAGAGAACCGAGACCCGTGATAAGAGGAATAAGAAACTAAAGGTCAAGAGATTCAAGAAACAGTTGAAGCATCTTCAGGTAAAACTATCGTGTTCGCTCCCTTCCATCCGGCATTAAATTAGTATCTACCTTTCCCGCGCCCGGGATCCGAGGGATTCGCAAACGTATATCGGTATCAGCACGGTTCTCTTTCCAGGACCTCGGTATAAGCTACGAGGCCGCTTTCAAAACTTCGGACGGCTCGAGCGTACGGCCGAAACCACGTAAAGCGAGCGAGGAAGCGACCGCGGAACCAGAGCTTTGCGCCGTAGAATTTTCGGCGGCGGCGGCGACGGGCGAAAAAAAGTCGGCGGACGCCGTAGCAATCTTCGGCGGTCCGATAGACCCACGGCGCGCCGCGGAAAGGTTTCTCGCATTCAGAATAAGAGAGTGAGCTCCAGTACTTGAGAACACAACTTGCTTCTTTCATTATTGAGTTAGGACAACTCTAAAAACTCCCTACTGTCATGTATTAATAGAGTTTTAGTCATATTCGACGGATCCATCGAGCAGCGTTTCTCTCTCGTAACGTTCCCCGCGGATGAGAATCTTCTTTCGACCTCGGCCGACGTGCCTGGAATTGACAAAACGCTTCGCGCGAGCTCCGTCACGTTAGGAAGTACTGTGACATTCTTCTGCCACCATTGCAGAATTCTGTCGTCGCCGAATTCTGTTTCGTTCAATTTTACCGGGAGGGCGAGGTAGCGAGCGACCTTATCGGCCAGTCTCTCAGCGGGAGCGGGAGAAGCGGTTTACTTCGTCACTTGGGAAGATCTTTGCTTCTTAAGAGGACTTCGATGCACGATCAAAACGTCATCCTCACGTTCGTCTGCCACATCCGTATACTCATAGATAGCTTTCAGTAGAAAGTCCGCAGCATTCCCACCCGGTATCTCTGCTTTGGTTCTCGAGATATTTTTCATTCCGGGATCCAACACGGCTCCGAGAAGCTCCATGTCGTGGAAAGGTCGCATTCTCGCTGTTAAGCAGCGCCGTAACTCATTTGCCAGGTCTCGTCGGAGTTTGATTCCGTCATCTTTCAAATCTGCAGTGATCTCGTCTCCCAATTTTCGGAGATTCTCATCCACGTCAATTATGCCGAGTACAACTACGTCGATGGAGGGTTTTCTCAATGACTGCATGAGAAGCATGAGATCGAGAATTACCTGAAATAATGCCCGGGCTGCAGTGGTGCGGAGCTGCGAACTAGTTTTTCCCCATAGAATGTCTGCATGAGGTCGCATAAATCGTAATTGAAGTCTGTGATATCGTCAGAGCTTTTTCCGACTTGCGAAGGGCGACAAATGCAACTCACTCTATAGTGCTTCGCGATGATAGTAATCGCATCTCCCTCATCCTCAGAGGGAATTCGTAGGATCCGATCCTCCTCAGGACCTCATTGAGAACCTCGTAGGAGGTAGCAGCTGACTCAAATAATCTGCAGACAAAAGCCTATTTAGTGGGGACATTCTTGAGTTCACAATGAGTTCTTCGTCCAGTTTGAAGTCCTTCAAAGTCGCGATTACCTCATCCAGAATGGCGGGACCAGTATGATGTCCGGCAAAATGATCTGTTTTCAGAGGAATGCATTTTAATCTGAAACTTTCGTCCAAATAATGGACGACGACAGTGATGTAGGGAAGTTGACGGTATCTGTCGGTCCAGGTTTCGGTCGAAACATGAAACTTGAGGTATCACTACGGTGATGATTTCTTTGAGATGGCAGAAAGCATCATTCAGAGCTCCCCTCGATATAGTCTTGCGCCCGGGAATCTCCGAAGCGTCTGTGACGAGTTTTTTGCGCAAGAAGAAATGTCGCAGCCCTGATGCTTCGACGAAGAAAAAGGGGAGTAAATCTTCGCTCATCCAGATGGCGAGATCCCTGGCTAGATTAAACTTTCTTGCCCTCTCAGATTTAGCGGGCACAGACGCTTCCTTCTTCGAAACGACGTCTCCCAGGACTCCAGCAGTGTGCTCGATCGTTTACCTGTCTCCGTCACACTTGGATGCTGGCGAGCAATAAGGTTGAGCAGGGTTTCGTGATTTGACCATGACCGCAGAGTATCTCCTTCTGTTCGAGACAGAGTTTGCAAAAAAACCTTTTCTGGCTCTGCTTCATTCCGGAGTGAAAATGAGATGACCAAATATACGCCGCACCTGAGTTGATCGACAGATACGAAGTGATCATTACCCGATGTTACGAACTTCGGCGCCAGGGAGAGATAGATTGCAACACTTCAAAGACCCACGAGTCCCACACATTCTCTTAGCGCTACCAAAGCGTGAAAATCAGCCGTCCCAACAACGCGTGTTTGGGGGCTCAACGTTCGGAAATCACCACCCCGAACAATTAGAACGATCCGATGCTCCAAGGAGAGAATCTCTCCTAGGGGGCCGAGAGAGTAATCGATGTGCACAAAAAACAGTGAGTCATTGTGTTTTCTCACTGCTTCGATTTCCGTCAATCCTTCGCAGCCTGTTCTGGATCGTTCCGAGTTATTCGCTTATGCGCTGTATGAATTTCACTGTGTCTCGTGAACTCTTTCATGTTTTTTCTATCCCATAAAGAGTGATGCAAGTCGGGCTCGGCGCGCCGGCGTGCCGCTGCGCCGTCGTGCGCCGTGCCCCGGTCTCGGCGGCGGCGATCGGCGGCGAATCCGTGACGCGGCGCACAGCTCTGCGTGGAACACACCCCGCTGATTGATTCCGGCGATGAGGACATCCACTTCAAAAGGCCTCCGAACACCGTGAAGAGAGTTAAAAAGCCGAGACCTCCTCAGACTGCTACACCGAACTCCACGGGAAAGACGAAAAGTCTGAGACAACCACAGCGTAGTACCCCGAGCACCGAGATGAAGCAAAGTTCATCTATGGAAACACCGAAGGGAAAGGTTTTCGATAAGACTCCGACTAACAAGTCGCTTTCGGCGAGAAAGTCGCTGCCGACCAAGATGTCTATTGCGGCGAAGAAGTCGAAGAGTCCGAAAGGCAAACGTCACAGTTCCTCGTAAATACAGTTGAGCGTTTCCTCGGATTGATTAAACTTGTGAAAGCAGCACGATTTCCTCCTTCAGTTAGCGAGCTTCCAGACATGAGTTAGTCACCTTGGATCCTCGATCCTGGAGTCTCGTGCTCCCCCTCCGCGGCAAAATAGACGGTTCTCCGTCGTCTCTCATTTTATTGAGCTCAGGCGAAGATCAAAAATCTTCAGCATATTCGATGAAGAGAAACAGAAGCGCAAACCACTGACTTGTTGAGATATTGGGGTGTTACTGACTAATTGCTCTCAGTATTTCCCACGTAATTGCTGCCTTAGCTAAGCTCGCTGATCACGGTATTCTGAACCCAAGTTTCGTCGAAGGATTAATCAAGGACATGTGTAATTGGGATTAATATCTTTCGCTGTTCCACAATATGTCCTGGAGCGGCCTCCATGTTCTCATATATAAGCTGTATGAGATAAAGAGTTAAACACGGATCATTCTGTCACCCGCAACCAGTTGCCTCCCGGAATTTTTCAGCATGACTCAGCCTTATTTCGACACATTCGAGGGGGAACTAAGAAACAGACATGACAGATGGAAGCAAAATCTCGCTCCCTCTACCGTAGAGCCTCGAGTGACATCGATCCCTGGATATTTTTTGTTGCTAGGGTTCTCGTTTATAATTTATTGCGTGGCGAGTGCAGATCCAAGTGTCAGTCGTCACAATCCTGGGGAAGACCTATTTAATTTTTCTCTGAGTTGTCAAACGTGATATCTGGCTCATAGAAGCCACGAATCGCGAGGAAAGTGTATCACATGATCCGTTCGATAGCGTGTAGATAAATGCGTCGTGTAAGAGTGGAATCCTCTCTGAAGGCACGCTTCACCGCGAATCACAGCGACGATGAAGTTGAGGGTTTGAGAATGTAGAGCGAGGTACGAAATGCAGGTTAGTGTAGCGGTTCAATGTATTCGTCTCGTGGTCATAAGTACGGTGTAGCGAGTCGGGAAACTCTCCCGCACGGTATTTCCGTAAGTTTGGGAGAAGCTCCTCCCACGCAACACGATGGATTAGTTTTGGCTGAGTTCGGTTTTGGCCCGGTGGTCGAGAATGCCCAAGACTGTGGAGCACATGGCCTGCGCATTATTCTTGAGCCGTTCGGCCTCGGCTATGATGTCGCGTCGGATGATATCATCGGCGAGATCATCGCAATTCGTGAGAATGTTGAAGTAACCGCCGAACGAGGCGGTTTCCAGAACTTTAACGCCTACCTGCAGATCGGTTCGCGAGGCAACATTTATGATTTTAGCTAATTCGCGAACCGTCGGCCACAGCTTATCTATTGTACGGCAAAGACATAGTGGGACGTGTATCGCGTGTTTCACGGCGGCCTGTATAGATTCTTCCCGCATCGCTTCTTCTTCCGCTGTAGTCTTCGGAAGTCGATTGGCTGCGACGATCCCCTTGTAAGCATCGGAATCAGCGTCTATGAGCGGCATGAGGTCCTCCATCGCCTGATGAACGATTGGGATATGTTTTCGCATTGGTTCGTCGAGGTGCTCCCACGCCTTGCGACCATACGAGAGTTTTCCGACCATTGCAGCTAAAGCCGCGCCCATGGTCGCACAGGCCGCTGCGACTGTGCCCCCGCCTGGAGCCACGGTCCGAGCGCCGATTTGATGGACGAACTCCTTCACCGACTTATGCATGAGCAAATCTGAAGTATCGTCGTCCAACATATATTCGATAATTCTCTCTTTCGCCACGAAAGGGGAGAGAGAAGCGAGACCCAGCCGGTTGATGACGAGATGGATTCTCTGGTTATCTTCGAGTATGAAGAGTTTCTCTTTTTTAATGTAGTATTCGGCCGCATCCAGCATCGCTTTCAGGGGTACTAGGCCAACGATCTCAGAGCCGGTAACCGGTAATTTCATTTCGGTTGCCTGCTTTGTGATTTCCTCGAAAACTTCGTGAAATGCCGTTATATCGTTATCCAGAATGTTACAGGACACCTGGGCGATGTTGTGCTCCTGGAGCCACCATCCGACCGCTTGGAGTTTCTTGAAAATGCCTGGTTGAGAGGGGCCCCGACCATCTTCTCGAATGTTGAGCGCCAGCTTGTGAGCTTGCTCTTTCGTGGAGATTAAATTGACGTTGTAGGCGATGAGGAATTTTCTCGCGCCGGACATGGTGGCTCCCCAGCTCGGTACGAATTCACTCGGTCCGTAGTCGGGCTTCCACTCTGGCAGCTCGAGTTTGTTGGCCAGCCCTTCGTACTCTCCGGATCTGATTTGTGGTACAGTTCGCCGGTAATCTTGACGCGCAGCGTAACCGTACAGATAAACTGGGACTCGGAGCTCGGAGGAAAGTTTCTCGGCGAACTTACAAGCGCAGTAAATGCACTCCTCCATCTCGACTCCGCGGACAGGGATGAAGGGACACACATCCAGAGCACCGAGCCTGGCATGTTCTCCTTTGTGCTTACTCATGTCAATGAGTCTGTGAGCCACTCGGGCGGCACTGAGAGCGCCTTCAATGACGGCATCGGGGGATCCGACGAAAGTGTACACGGTGCGGTTGGTCGATGCGCCTGGATCCACATTCAATAGAGTGCAGCCGGTCGTCTGCCGGATCGCCGTCGATATAGCATCGATAACCGAAGCATCTTGGCCCTCGCTGAAGTTTGGCACGCACTCGACGATCTTCGATCGGAGAACCATTTTCGAAATGGACGCCGCCGGTAGAGCTCGCCGGCACCGAAACGCGACTACTGGAGACTGTCGTCAGTGCGAGACGGCTGGCAGACTTCCATCGGGATATCTGTGGAACAACGAGATTGCCAGGAGATACTCTCTTTCACTCACTCAGACACTAGTTCACTCTCCAGCAGATTATTTGGCACGAAAATGAGACGGAGAGCATTCGGACCGCTCCCTGAGCTGGAAAATTCCCGGGAGACTCTGACGGCTTGCGCGAGCGGAGTGCAAAGTTTCGCACGAGTTCGTGAAGTCCTAGAGCGATTCCGCAATGCCTATGGTCTAAAAAGAGTGACAGACACCCTCCGGTCCCCCGGAAAAACAACCGATGGACTCTTCGAGCCGGAGCGCTCGATTTCGGGGAACCCGAAGACGCTCTCCTGCCCAGCTCTCTCACCTGAGAAGGCTGCGAGAAAGCTTGGAACCTACAGCTCCCTTTAAGCATTAAGATTGAGTCGAGCTGTCAAATATGGGGAGAGCAACAGCCTCGCATAACACATGGCTAGCTGGCGGGAAGTTTCGAATTGAGCGTGTTGTGATATCCGAACCCTCGGATCCATCAACGCTGCAGAAGTATTGCTGATAGAGGAAACTGTAATTATAGTCTCGGAGCACCTCGTGAGCAAGAATGCTCGCGGGGATGGGACGAGCTCGGATCTTTCTCTCCCTTCCCACGCGTGTGTGATCGCCGGAGGAGAAAGCGAGAGAGGCTTTCGGCATATCGGCGGTCAGAGAGCCGAAACAGCTGATGACCGCGCTACCCCTCTGCTCTCACAGAGAGTGCTCCGTGTTCGCAGAATGATTTTTCACGAGTACGTGCTTGGGCGTCGTTAAACCACGGCAGGATGTTGTTCGTGAGGAGTTGGTTGACTCCACGGCAACTACGACGCTTGCTCTCGTGTTGGTCGTGCAACGCGGCTTCACAAGAGGTCATCTGCTCCCAGTGCGGCAAGATACAGCCTCCTCAGCAAGAGGTCAATTATTTCAAAGTTCTGCATCAGGAGGAGAAGTTCACCTTGAGAGCACAAGACCTGCAGAAGAGGTTCAGAGACATGCAACGAGTTCTGCATCCGGACAAATTCGCGAATTGCTCGGAGGTAAGTCGACATCATTGAACGTTCAGTGGAAGTCTCCCATCAATTTTCACAGCAGTGGATCTACGGAAGCCCCTCAATTGATCCTCTCCCCCAGAAAGAGAAGAACTTTTCGGCAGATCAGTCGGCACTAGTCAATCAAGCTTACCAGGTCTTGCTCAAGCCAATCCAGAGAGCGACCTATCTGCTGCAGGTGCGTGCAATCATACGCTAACGTTGATATGACTCGATCACTCCAATTGCGATATTTGTTCGAATCCGATTTCCGATGGATGGGTGGATCGTGATACTCAGCAACTTTTTCGCAGTTGAAAGGCATATCGTTGGCCGAAGTGCAACTGTCACAGGAATTCCTTCTGGAGATGATGGAGTTCAACGAGGAAATCGATCGAGCAGATGACTCGAAGAGGGAGGAGCTGCTTGGACAGATCGCCGAGTTCGAAGAATTGGCGATGGCAGAACTCCAGGAGCACTTTGCCAACAAGAAACTCAGCGAGGCGTCAGAGAGTTTGGCGAAACTGAAGTACTTTGAAAACCTCAGGAACCGGTTAAGTTGACGCGCGACGGTCGGGCTAGCTCGATCTTTGTTGATACATCCGAAACTAATAAAAAAACTCCGAACAGAACAAGAGACTTTCTCCTCAAGAATTTCAGGCCGTTCCAGATGAGCTAGAACGGCAAAACTCCCCGTTCGAATATAATAGGCTCGACATCTTATACGTCCTTCTTTAATTTAAACTTTCGCATCGCCGCATGCGGATACATCATCGTTTATCGGGAGGGCAACAATGTGACAGTCTTGAATCCATGCAGCTTAAGCTAACTTCCGCCTCTTCGCGGGATTAAAATTCGATGACTCCGATGACGAGTTTCATTTGTGAGCTAAATTCCTGGCGGAACCTGATTCTTCGTCTGGATTCGAAAATAAATGCTCCACTATGATACCCACGGTTATATCCACTCGCCTCGTGACACGATTCTACATCTTGGACGGGAACATGCTCACATGAGGAAGACTATTGTATGTTTAATAGTCAGCCGTATCGGGTCGTCGATAGCCCCAGCGGGTACAATGCTGGGAACTGCTCACCTTCGTGGTAAGGCCGCCCCCGATTGATATGCGAGGGTTCGATTGATTCGGAATCAGCCAAGTTCAAAGCGAGAGACTCTCATCATAATTGACTTAGACTATGGCACTGCCGACGTCTCTCTCGCCGAGATGGCCGATCTTTCACCATTTTGGTTCGCCCATCATAACTGGAAGGGCTTCACAAAAGGTGTACACGAGGATCCTTGATGTATGTATATGATGTATGTATAATATCTCTCTGGTTAACATCCAATGGCTGCATGTCCTGGCGATGACGCCATCAGCCCTTTTCCAAATAACCGCGGCGTCCGGGGATCGGTTCAACCCTTCTCGCTCGCCACGACTTCTCTCGAATATTCAACAGCGTCGAAAACAATCGGGTCCATAACTCACACCACAACAACCAGTCTTTGGTCTCAATCCCCTGCTTAGAATTAGATATCTGGCTCGTATCACAACAACGCCTGACTCAGCAGAGAGCGTAAAACAAGACCTGTCATATAACGTCTCCTGTCATCCTGAAAATAGATGGATTCCGCTGATTCTCTTCCCACGGCAAAATGTTTCTGCCTCACAATGTTCAGACCGGAATCCCCACGATGATTATCTAAGTTATACGACGAGTGATCCTTGTCGATACACGGAATGCAGATATACTCTTGTAAAATTCGTATACTAATTGATGATTGTGGTTCTCATTGATTCCATCCAGGAAGGCAGGAACTTGATATCGAGCCGATCTACGGGACTAGTTCGGAACTCTTCTTCCATTCTAAATTCTATCTGGTCCACGCTTCAATGTTGTCGACAGACGCGAGGAGATCCAGTAAGGCGTCCGCGAGCTTGTAGACGAGAGCCCGGTTGAAACGCTCCTCTTTGACGGATTCCAGCATGCTCAGGATGAATTCGTCAACCGGTAGATATGCGAGGGTCCAAGGAGGTAAGCGGTTCCGGATCGCCTCGTGGGCCTCTTCCAATGTTCGCTCGCTTGGCGAAACCTCACCACCTGTATAGAGATTCCTCGTCAGAATTTTATGCCGGAAACATGTCAGCATCTGAATATCAATTCGCAGCCATCATTCGGGTAGACCTCACATTCGGATGGGGATTCGTGGAATCCGAATAGGAAAACTCATTCCCCACATACCTTGGGCGAGTCCGCTGATTAGCAGATGGAGTCTGTGCAGGACCGTGGCACAGTTATGTGGCGAAAGACATTCTTCTAGCTTCTCGTTCAGCCATTCTTCGAAGAGCCCGCCGACGAGACCCTCGAAACTCGTCAGAAGACACGTGAAACGGGAACTCTGATGGTTCTCCAGCGCGACAGTTATGACGTCCAAAATCGCCCTAGTCAAAGGATCAGCGATAGTGGACGATTGAGAGTTTTGCGAAGAGCCCCGACCCGACGAGTTGAATGCCATTTTCAGGCTTTCGGTGTCCAGGAAGTCTCGCATCTCTTCCGACTCCGGCTTGCTCCCCGGCAGCGGCGTTTGAGAATGGACGGGAGAGAACTCCGGAGACGAGGCGAGATCGAAATTGTCGATATAATTGAAAATGGCCTGACGCAATTTTCGGTTTCCCGCATCGACGTCGTATTTGATTTCGATGTTGCTGTGGAGCGTCACTTCAAACCAAGGGGGGGTCGGCGTTCCCGAGACAACATTCCCATCGGTGAGGTCTCTCGAAGATTCATTCGGTAGAGCTGTTTTGAAAAGATCGAGGGCTCCGCGGACCCCCTCAGCCAGCATGCGATCGATCCGTAGGGGGTTGTGGCCCGAGTTGATGCCGCCGGTGAAGAAAGTACTCGGATCGCCCATCATCCCCGTGAATGTTTGGAACTGTGGAGTTCGAACGATGTCCGATATGGCGGAGAGTTGCCGAAGATAGTTCTGGAGATAGATAACGCGATTCATGACATTTTTCTTATCGTTCATGAACGGGTTGGCCAGCCACCTCGACGGGCCCTTGATGCCGCGGAGCACTTGATCGTATTTGCCCATTCTACTGAGGGCTGTCTGGAGGTTTAGGAATTCATTGAAGCGACGCTTCGCTTTGTACGTGGGACCCGTCAATCGGGGCTGATACTCAATGCAGTAGACTGTGTACACTCCTTTGCCGTGTTCGCTGCGCGATTCGGTTTTCGTGATGTTCATTTTATGTAGGCAGGAACTATCGTTGAAGTTGTCGGCTTCGACGGCTCGCTCGATGTCGACCGATGCCCGTATCCGCATGGGGCTGCTGCGGGGCGTGCGAGACAGCGTGGGCTTCTTCGCGGCTACGAGCGCGTCCAGGAGATCGTTGACGCTGGGTTCCTCAGCTATCTGATCGACACCGTCGAGTTCATCGTCGGCGGAGGCGACACTCGGTGTGGTGTCGAGTTCTTCGCCAATTTCCGCCGGCGGAGGGGTGCAGAGAACAACTATGAGGTAGTAGATGACCTGAGGTCGGGATATGAGGTCTACCAACGGGAGGAACACATCGCGGCAGATCAGGTGGAGGATTAACATATGTGTGGCTCTCGAACTGAGCACATCGCCCGGCTCGACGAGCCGTAACGCGCACGTAGTGAGGCTTTCCAAGTAAAGCCATTCAGTGTGTCGATCAATAGCCGCCGGATGGTCCGGACCCAGTGCTTCGGAGGACTGTTGACAGCGCGGTAAGTGCTGCAGGTGGCCACTCAGAGTCTCGAGACACAACTGCAGCGCTCGTGACGGGTGGATAAATGTCAGCTTATGCGATAGCTCCAGGAATGTGTCCTCGAGTATTCCCTCCACGTGTCGGGGAAACTCCTGGACGCCGGACAGGGGCTGAAACCACGGCTGGATGAAACCCTGCAGGATGCTGTCAACGATTCCTGCAACCTCCGTGTGTAGCTCCGGAGTCAGCAACAGCGTGTGCGGCTCCGAGTTCTGATAAATGCTCGCGACGGGACAGAGCTCCTCTGGTGAGAACGATTGATTTTCGCAGTGGGCCCGGAGCGCTCTCAGAAGCTTGTGTAGCAGACACGAGAGCTTCGAATGCATGGGACGCGATGCATATCTCCGTACAACAACATAACACGCGACTCCAATACAGGTGGCACAGGCAAACGGCAGTATCCGGTGCATCACGTAAAGAGGTACTAAACAGACCACAAACTCCATCTCGAACGGAATGACATCGGTAAACAGTCGGTGAGACGAGCGGTGGAGAGTCTCCGATCCGGCTTCGACGTCTCGGGGCTCCGTCTCACATCAAGCTGTGCGCCAACTGTTATTGTTGCTGAAGTTATTGTGATCAAACGCCCACACAGAGCGTACAGTCATCCTTCCTTGTTCTGGATCGAAAACATTCCGGGAGCATTGTATCCACGGAATCCGGTGGAGCACGGCAACTCCCTCCTATAGGACGTCCGGGACGATCTTCAGGTCTATTTCAGCAGCGAAACCTCACGAATTTGACAGCTGTTTTTGAAGCAGCTGGTGTGCGCGCCGCCATCTTGGTTTGAACGCACGTTTGAAAAGTGCGCGCACTCTACAGGTGGCCACCTGGAAAGCAACTGCGGCGATCAGGTACCTCGGGTAAATGGATCTCTGAACGAATGTCCTGCAAATCCATCGCTGCCGCCGGATGACATTCAAAATTATTTCTCTGCTAGTGACGTCAAGCATGTCGTCCTAGCAACGGTGGAACAACGACAAAAAAGAAGAAGTATCAGCTGAGCGGCCGTGGGCTGACAAGAGGAATACTTTCAGTGCAGTGAGTTAGAGACAACTCGTGTTCGAGCTGTTGATTTCGCTCGAGGGATTCATCGACAGTTGACTCCACTGCGGGGAATCGTTCTGAGCTCCCAACGTACTCATAATCCGAGGTGAGTCGTAAGAAGCTAGTGAACGGAAACGCTAATCCAAAAGCAGCAAAATAGATAAACGTGACGTCCGTCTGCATTCTCAGTCCGAGAAGAGTTGGAGCTCGCTAGCCGATTACAGGGAATTACGGCTACCGTTTTCACCGTTCAGAGTTTAGTCCTTCCGGCGAATATGGGGAATGTCTCCCTGGCAGTTTTCCTGAAGTTATCGAAGTAGAATCCTCTGTGAATTGAATGGAAGTCGGAAGAGATGGGTTTCGTGTCTGTGGGTGTTTGCTCGGGGAGACCTTGAATATCTGGCCGATTCCTGGAGCTCCCGGATATCACAGATTTCCGAAAGTTTCTCGCTCGAGCTCAGAAATGAACCAAAAGTAAAAGGAATCGTTGACCTCATTCGGGGACCCCGTTCGGCGGCGTACACAGCTACACTCACCGGCGTATCCCGATTCTTGACCTCGATTTCTAGTCCGTCCAACACGTTGTTCTCGGATCGAGGTTCGCAGTCTCCCTAATCTCGATTCCATTTTCAATGGTGCGGACCTTCACCAGTCGCTCCGGAAGCGAGTCTCTATAAATTAGTGATTGAATGGCGGCCAGTCGCATCGGAGGTCGCTTGCCGCATCATCGGCTCGTATGCGTTGGTGTTGATCTAAGGCTATGCACGAATTACCGTTCGTGAGTAATCCTTGGACGCCAAGACCGAATTCTGATTCCGAAAGCGATTGAACGTTAAATTCTGTTGCTCATTTAGTGGGAAGGCTCGGTCCTCTCTTCCATTGATCCGCTGTGACAATTCCGTATCGATTGTCGCCAGTTGAATTGAGCCCTGAGATTCAGTGGAAGCTCTGGTCAGACGGGAGTTTTTCGAAGGCGATTTTATTCAATCAGGAGAGAGATCGGTGATAGATTCATTCTAGCGACTTCTGCCGCACGGAATTTTCCCCGAGGGACATTCGCGCGAATCGCTACTCAGATGAGCGATTGCCGATATAATGACCCTAGAGCAGACCCGCTGCTCCGGGGATCTCAGCGTCGGTCGCTCTCGATATCCGCAGTGGACGATATCCCTCCTGGAAAAAGCTCTCCGGATCGGGCGAATTTGAATGTGAAAGCAGGGAGAAGAGTTTTTCTCCCGTGTGCCGGGACCCGCGCATTCCATTGGGCATGATCCGCGTAAGGACTGTCACGGTCTGCCGTTGTCAGACCAATAGATGGAGCAATCAGAATTCGACCGGAGACGGACCCAGTTATATGTTTCCAAGGGAACAGACGTTGGAGGGAATAGAAACTTCTTCCGGCAGGCTTTCGGGACGAGAAAGGAGGAGATATGACGTGGGTCTGCGGAGTCTGCGGCTTATTCAGTCCGACGAGGGGAGAAAGAAGTCTCGTTTCGACTTACGAAAAAAAGCCACGAATGGACTCATCTCCTAGCACCGTTCGTCGTTCAATGCCAAGCAGGAGTTATCTCAAGGAGAAAATAGGATGATGACGTGACTTGCACGGGCGGATCGGAAGATACCGAGAAACTTGTGGCAGGCGGCCGTCCGATCGGAGGAAAGACTATCCGATTCGCCCCTCGTGGCCCGCTGGAGATCGCCGGGTTCATTAGGGAGACGGCGTTCCAAAGATAAAGAAAGACAACACGGAGGAGCATTCAGGACCGGAGGAGACGGGCTTGAAGAGTCCTCGAGAGTACCTACCGGAATGGACTTCACTGCCAGCTTATTCGGGTCGTTGAAGATCTCGAGCGTGGACGAACGCCGGTCGTTCCATGGCATGGCTTTCCCTTGCAGAGGGTGATTGCGGGAAAAATGGTTTCTATGCATGAGATGAAACCAGACAGTCAGCTCCGAAGGGCCTATCGCTCTTGTTTCGCGGGGTCCTTGGTCCCGATTATCTCTATTGGAAGTATGAAGACACCTGTACGTCCCTCGTTCGATTCAAATGGAAAACAGCTCCAGCCGACACATGGTCAGGAGCTCTCTGGATGAGCGAACGGGTAGGGAGCACTATCGGTCTCGATTGTCCCCAAATTATTGACTAGGATCCGTAATGTGTCGACAGACCAGTTCGGCTTAATTACTTCCAAGACGCTTAAGGAGGAATTATAAGCTCCCGCCCTTACGTTATGAGGACTCTGCCCTCAAATCTCCCCCATCGACATCTATACACTTAGGACGCCAAGGCATTGTCCCGTGGGAGGAAGTCTGAGAGGAACGCCGGACCTTGAGGCTAGATCGGAAGAACGGCAGGTTTCACTCCTGGAAAGATTAGCGCGTCTTTTCAACAGTACGATATGGAGCTAATCGAAGACACGCTGCCATTGAGCGAGGATGACCTTTTGCTTGCTCGACTTTCGGTCTAAGGTGCTGAGGGTCCGACTTACGGCGATCAACTGTTTTTGTGTCTACGGCGGTGATCTCTTCAGAGTTTTCTTCACTGAGAGCTTAGACCCGCGCAGTCGCAAAATGCTCCATAATACCAACATGAATAAGTTCCGGGAGCGAACGCAATGATTTCTCCGCCGGAAAACATCGTAAACATTTGGAAATTCGAGCCTTTATGCGAACAAAATGAAGACTTCTCCTTTATGGCGTCGATCGATTTAGTATCGCGCTCGAGACCAAGTCTCCAGTCTGGCTCTTTATTGAGAACGAGCGTTTGAAGAAGGCGCCGAGAATAATAGGAAAATATCACAGAGGAGAATATATTTCGACGTGAAAACGTCTTTTTTGCCTTGGTGACAGACCGAATGAACTTCGTCATTTGACCTTGAGAAGTTGTCCAACTTCGACGGCTTGTTGCCCCAGTTCCCGCGCGTACTCTGGTGCCAGGATCGTATTTTATCATAGCTCAGAAACGGCATTTTCATCAGCCTCACGTTCATTGGGCTCGCTCTCTTGTGGCGCGCACGCGACCTATTCTGCAGAGCCCTCTGAAATCGCTGGGAATACGAAGAATAATCACTTCGACGAGCTCTAAAATCATGCGGAATGGAAAGAATCCGCGCTATACGGTACACCGAAACGATGCCCACCAGCAGAGAATATCATTTCAGTGGAAAAGCATGTCGTTCTCACGCATGGGTTGAAAAACATAGCGGATTTGACGTCCTCGGGATGACCTTGAAAATTTGGAACGACGAAGTCAATGCTCTAATTTGGCTCTTGTAGGTACGACCCCTTCTTGTTGGTAGTTCCCTAATCAATGGCACGGCCGGAACGAGCGAGTTGGAATCGTCGAAAGCGACAGGCGAATGCTTTATCGGGCGCTGCACGTAAGCGGCCGAAGGCATCGATCGCTCAGCCTAAATGAGCGTTCATTCAATATACGGGCACCGAGCTGACCGGGGACGGAGCTACTACATTCATATGTATTTCCTCAGATTCTGATGCTCCAGATGGGTCGTCGTCTCCGGCAGAGCCACGGACTGTCGGGGCTTTTCCGGCAAGTATAGATCAAGGCGACGCGACGTCGCAGTCACAAGAGATCCTAAATTCATTGTTGGCCAGATTATTAATTTGCCAGTCGATGTAGATACTATGGTGCGGTGTCTGCCGCGGTCAATTATGTCAATTATCGTTCGAATGCAGTAGGAATCACGGTTCAAAACGGATACGGGTGACGTTTCCACGCCATCCCACCGGTAGTACGTCAGGACTACCTGCTGTTATTTTGCTCCGACGCACGGCATGGAGATCCCGATTCGTTCCTCTGGTCTTTCGACTAATAATGAATACTTGTCCTTGGCAGAAACCTAGCTCGGGACGGGCCTGCTGAGAGCCACTGTATGCTCGTCGGAGAAACAAAAAAAAGACGGAAATGAAAGACATACAAAGCTGTTCTGCGAGCACGAACGGGAACGAAAGCGTGAATGAACCATGTAGACGGTTCATGTGCGCAGCGGCGCGGAAACTGAGAATGGCTAAACATGTCTGAGGACAGAAGTAAGTGAGCGAGGAAGTTAGACGGGGAATGCGACAGCGTACGATTAAGAGAAAAATTATCCTGCACATTTCCGGAAGAATGAGGGATCCGGCGAGGTAGGACAAAAACGCTCCCCTCGAGCCGGACCCGAGGGGAATCAACGAACAGCGACTGCGGTCTGGTTGCGGAAGCTCCTTGCACAGAGCGGTGTTACTTTAGTACCTATCACTTGCTGTGAACGTTGAGCTCCATTTTCTCTAGATAACGTAGTGACCCGGAGCTTGTATAAACGATACGAGAGTCCATGGCTGCCCTTGGTTGCGATGTCACAATAAGCCACGGCGCGGCGTGGTCGGCGCCGACTCCAAACGGGTCGTGTACGGATGGTTCTGGGTCGAATAGCTCTCGTGCTTGTGCCAAGCCGTATCGTATCGCGTACGTGCGCGCGCGACGGATTCCACAGGGGTAGGCGGGTAAGCTGGAAAGCGCTTTCGCAGAAGTCGAGTGAAACCTGTGTGTAGGTAATCAGAGGAGTGCTTCTACTTTCACTCAGAGGATTGCGCCTGCGATGTGTTGGGGTCGGACCTCCATTTGGATTAGAGTTCCCAACGGGGACCCTTGATATTTAGCTGCGGATATCGCTTCAAAGTTCTCACAGAAGAGCTCCGTGACGCTTTTTTTCGCTTGACGACACGACGTTCCCGATTTTCCGTTATTTTTCCGCGAGAAACATATGGGATCTGTCGAGGACGGGCCTCCGCTTTCGCTCTGAGCTCAAGAGACGGAGCAACGTCATCGGAAATCGAATCACTGACCGTAACGGATTCGAATTCAAACTGACGCTAATTTCTCATCCCCTTGTTTCGCTTTGACTCGCACTTGCGTATAACGAGGAATATCAATAACGAATCTGTAAATTTTAGACACGAGAGCAACGCTAATGAAAGTGACGGGAGCGGGGCAGGATTCCGACTCGCTTCTCGTTAGTCCTCCTTTCGTTTCGCAGCACTTGGACGAGCTGGCTGCGGGCTGCGAGCCTGCATAGCGCGATTCGCAATGATCCCCAGCGGCTGCCT